TCGGTCGCGTCCCTTCCCGTCGTTCTTACAAATTAAACTTAAAGATATACATATAGCGACGCGGACTCGATAGATCATTTAAAAAGAAATCATTATTTTATACACTTTTTTACTATACCTTGAACCGTTTTTGCAGCGTACGCCTCGGAAACCCATGATGATAAATAATTTTCCCGTTCTTTCTCACATCTTACTGTATCTTCGCTTGTGGCTATTAGTCACAGGGCGATGTTATAGCCTATAGCCTTCCTCGATAAATTTTCTAACTAACACAAAAATATTCTTTCTAATCGAACCCGCAGTTTCTGAGATAAGCGAGTTAGTTAGTTTCGGATGCTTTGCAGCAGCCGTGGTCACGGTAAGACGGCTGCTGCAAAGAATTTGAAACGTCGGGCCGAAGTTAAAAATAATTTTCAAATAAGTTTAACTAATATATCGCGTCTTGAACCGTTAAAGTGTTTTATTTAAATGTGTACTACTCGCGTAACCTATAGACAGTATTTAATTACCTATGATTTCAAATCTAATCATTTATTTCATATACACAAAAATATATATATATTAATTGTGTAAGGCTTTCACGGCCATCGTTCGGAAAAGTTTGGACGCCGTTTCATGTGCTGCGCGAGTCGTAAATTTTTTTTAATGTATAGTATAATGTATAGATTTTTAATTTAAAATAAAATTAATAAATTGGTGGGACAATTCAGGTTTTATGTACTTGGAAGTAGGCATAACACAGATTGTCAGTAATTTTAGACTAATATATACACTATTTCCTTACAACCTTTTCTTAGTACACGAGAAAGCGATTCTATGATGCCTTTATTGCATTAAAATTGATTCAAAACCCGGTCATGGACGTACTTTCCCCGTTCGTATGTAAATGCACCATACAGAGGGAACTTTTTGTTCGCTCCATTTTCTTTATTACAAAACGTATTGTGCTGTGCTGCAGCTTAAGCGATAACCTATTTTCCGTCATCTTTGAACGTCGGTAAGCTTCAAAGAAGTTTTTAATTTGCCTTCCGTTTATAAGTAGATGTAATCTCTACTTAATGTAGTTAAATACATACCTACTTATAATATTCTACTGTTAAACATATACATTAAAAGTATTCAAAGTACATAAACTTGGTGACGTTACCGGGACTCAAACCAGTAATACGCGGCGCACCTTTTCGATGCTTTGCACTAAGCTAAAAACTGATGCAAAATTTATGTAAAAATCACATTTAAATATTTGTGTATACTGTCTATAGTTTACGCGAGTAGTACACATTTAAATAAAACACTTTAACGGTTTAAACCGCGATATATTAGTTAAACTTATTTGAAGTCTCCCCGTGACCACGGCTGCTGCAAAGCATCCGAAACGTCGCGCCGAAGTTAAAAATCATTTTCAAATAAGTTTAACTAATAAATCGCGTTTTAAACCGTTAAAGTGTTTTATTTAAATATTTGTGTATAAACATCGCTTAGAATGAAAATTTATTTGGATTTTGTTTCATTTGGTTGCTCTATTACAGTGAGTTATAAACAATAAAAATGTCAAAGTAACGTCCCATTTAACATTTAATTAATTTGGGAATATGCTAACTACGAAAAATAAAGAAAATCAATAAAAGATGCTAACGTGAAACGACTCTGTCTGAAACTCAAAATTTAATTTCTTTCGATAAAATATATTTATTTATTTCTATACAATTTTTCTACGATATTGCAGATGTCAAAACATGGTGGTACAGAGGTTAATTTATTTTTTGCAAGTCTCATTAGTATTGCCTGTAGTTTGCGAGAGTAGTACACATTTTAAACCGTTAAAATTGTTTTAATTCAAATGCGACACGATGAAGTTACTTATATCGGTCAATTGGCGACAAAATGATTGTGAGTGGCTCAAATTGTATTTTTACCGTTAGAATCCTTCGACGTTAAAATAACTGTATTACGAATCTTTATTAAATGTTGCGATAATGCTTGTTTTTTCATTTATCTGTGATTTTTATTATTTATTCTAATGTAATTTTGTTGTAAGAGTTTTGAAGATTTAATTATTACCTTTTTTAGTTGTCGTAATCTGAAAATTTATTGATTCGTAAGTATTACTACAATTATTTGAAATACTTAACAAACCCATGAAAGACTTTAGTCCCAATAACAATATTTAATATAAACTCGCAACAATAAATCATTCTTCTATTCCGAATTAATCAAAAAACTTAATAAAGTTATGTCATCGAAAATTCTTCGTGCGTTCAAAAAGAACTAAGCAGAATCTAGGTCAGTGGCACAGATAATTTCGCAACAACTAAACATTCTTTTTAATCCGGAAAAGCAATCTATGGATTTCTCAAGACGGACGGTGAAACGGTCCAAGTATTTCCGCAAAGGAAGACAAATCACTTTCACGACGCTTGCATTGTAAATAATTATTTATCTGTTTCCGATTATCTATCTCGCATTACCGTTAAGCGTAATCGTAAAGTTTTCTCGTACTCACCTGAATAAATCCTCCGTTCGAGCCACTGTCACTGATCTAACACTGGCACTCACAGAATTAAAAAAAAGAACACCGCTGTCAATCGGAAAGCGCGCGCACTGCCATGGCGGATTGCAGACTATCGTAACCCGCCAAAATACGGGGCCAAAGTGAGTTGCATAACAGTTTATTACAGCATATTACATAAAAATCGCCGGTGGGCACTCAGTATATTATGCAAAGAACGCTCGATCTCGATTTTTTTCTAGGTTACGAGACGCGTCGTGTAGCGCGAAATGTTTTTTTTTACATGCGCTGCATTGGTCATTGCAAGACGAAAGTTACCTGCACTGTGGCCATTGTTCGTGACAAGTGTTCTGTATTCCCCACTTTTCGGTGGGGTAGACTTCTTGATCTTAAATGAATGAATGTCTGCGTCGTAATGATTTAGGAGGGTCTTACGATAATGCAATTGTGATGTGTTGCGCTCTAGATCTTGTCGGTTTATTGATGTTATCTATAATAATTATGAACTGCTATAAATTAACCAAACAGACTAGAAAAACATATTTACAAAACATTTAATTACGTTTGAAAAATACGCTCGGAGTACTACGTAATCGTCTTGTATTCAGTAGTTATATAACTGCAGTAAAATCTCTGCTTACCTGAAATAATATAGTGTTGTCTAGAATTCGAACCTTGGTACTCCATTAGTACGATATCATATAAATAAATATTAAGTTTACCACTATCATATTAAGTATTGCGGCGTGTTTTTTTTTTACATAGTTTAAGCACTTGTCTCATATTATATTTAAAAACGAGATCTAAAAATTGTCAATGAATTTGTCTATTCATAATATTGTTATTTATTTTCTTTACAGCAATGTTGTGCATACCTTTATTTTAAATTATTTTATAATAATCATAAATCGAAAATAAATGGGACTCGGTAGCTCAATTGGTTAGAGCAACAGCACGGAACGCTGACGATGCCGTTTCGAGTCCTGCCCAAATCGTATTTTTTTCAATATAGTTTTGTTTTTTAAAAGTTGTTTTTCGTTTTGTAATTTATATATTGCCATCGTGTGCAATAACATGTGAAAAATATTAAAGTTTCCAATAGATTATATTATGTTGGTTTTAAGTTATATGTTATATATTTATATATCTTAGTTATATATTTAGTTGGTAATTAAAAATTAATGAGACTAACAGCCCAATAAAAAAAATAATTAGGTATATTGATATAGCTAGCTTAGCTTATTCTGTATGTCTTTACCGGGTAGATTTTACAGGCTTAGACGAATATAGTTTAGCCTTTAAGTGTGATTAATTTAACTTATTAGTATTCATACTAATAATATATTTACTGTGACGGTAGAATAAATTTTAAAAATAAATAAATGTAAATAAAAAGTGTTAGTAGCGACATTTCAAAGCGCCTGCTCATTTTTTATAGTCAATAGTCTCTCAATGGCGTTAAATCGAAGCCATCCTATATAGTATATAGACAATTCTTATTTTATTATTATTTTATATTATGTGGCTTGCCAAGTATATAAGACAGATTGATATAATGTACAGATGTTAAGATATTAAATTAAGTTTCGCTTTGAATTGTCTTGAAATAGGTAAAGTCTAATGGCGCATGCGTTGTCGTATTGCGGGAAAAGTACATAAATTTAGCCGTATTGAGTAAATTCAAGTCTATTAGAAAAGTTTACTAAGGCACGCTAAAACTTAATAGTTATTGTTCATCATAGCATCGCTTGGTAACGGTAAAATAAAAGCACATGTGATTTCGTGTGTGTTTACTTGTTAAATTGCTTTACAAGATGAGAGAAACTATGTTTCTAGTATTATTTCAGCTAAGAATTGAATGCATTAACTTGTTTACTAAATGACCGCCTCTGTAGCCAAATGGTTAAAACGTATTGCCTAGCATTGCGTTATGTGCGAGAGGTTCTGGGTTCGAATCACAGAGGAAACGAAAAAAAAAATTTGTTCCGGTCCGGTAGGGCACAAAAGTCTGATCAACTACTTGCCTGTTAAAAAGAACGGATCAGTAAAACGGATGTGTTCGCCCCACGCCCCACAAGGGAAAACGGGATTTCACTTTATTCACTAAATAACAAATTGTCAAAAAAAAAAACACAATCTGTGGTAGCAGTTTAAGACTACAGATAAACAATCAAATGTCACTGTCAATTCCATTAATATCAAACGTCAACATCCTAAATAGTATTGATTTTTTTAATTTGCCTATCCTATCTTATGAAATTAAGATACTTATAAAAAACATTATAAGCTTATATTATGAACGTGATTTGTCGATTAATTTGCTTGCAAATATTGTTGAATTGATAAATGGTAAAAAATATTCGTGATTCGTCCTAGTGTATACTTAGAGAAAGTAGTTCGTTTCGTTTTGTTTACATTCTGGAAAGGCTCAGACGAAGAAGGTGAATAGTCAATCGCTAAACAAAAATAACTTTATACCCTTTATTTGAATATGTTACCTAGAAACTACTACACCGATCATGACCTACGACGTCGTCAAATCGATACGTTAAAGATCTTCAACGATAATGTTACTGAGGTTAAGGAAAATACTGAATATAAAGTGGAATTCAATGCAAATTCACGAATCATGGTGATAAATATAAAACTAGGAGCGGACTTCCCTAATGAAAAGCCAGCGATTTTTGTTCACCCCATATTTAATCATCCTTGGCTAGCTGAGAATTCTAACCAAGTCGTGGGTGCTCCTGGTCTCTTAAACTATACACTACATTCTGATTTAGGTAAGAAGATTCTTTATAATGTAGAGTTTTATTAACATAGAGAAGGTTGATACAAAGATTTTAAATTTTCTCTATAATCACTTTTGGCTCATTGTAGTTGCTATTTTAACATATTTGATTATAAATAGAACTTTCTCATCAAAATCAGTTATGTTAAAATATTTTTCTAATATGTATGCATACAGCTATACCTAATATTTACATTGCTTTTTTATATGCTTCACTTCAGTTCTTTGATATCATTGAAGCATTTAATATAAATAAAGCACAAATCCTTAAATATATAATGTTTTTCACTCAAATAATTATATTCTCTTTAACTTAAATTTTATTTGCAGATTTACAATTTAAAAGAATTCAAACCTTTGTGTTATTTAACAGGTAGAGTTGTACAAGCAATCATAAGAGAATTCCAAAGATCTGTCCCGAGTTTACCAAATGAAGATAAGTCTACAGATGTGAGCCCTCAGTCCCATATTCATGCAAACTCAGCAATGTTTCCTGAACTGAATGATCTAAGTATAGAAGAGTTACAGGAGGTTTTAGACAATCCAGACTTGCAGGTATTTCTTGTGATCATAAGAGCTAAAATGCATTTAATTCGACATACAAATGCAATTATAAAAAATAGCATGTTATTAATTATTATTGTCTATCGGGGACACCCTTGACAGGACGGGTGATCAGTCCACGCTACTCACCGACCAATTCACCCATACGTTATTAATTAGATTTATTATTTTCTTGCGGGGAGGCAGGTTCAGCCAGGTGATCAGTTCACAGCAGCTGTTCACCACCCATTTCTCCTTTCTGCATTGGTGGAGGATCATCATTATTATATTTCACTATAATACCACCAAAGACAGATTTTTTTCTATATACCTGATTAGCATAAATTTATTTGTTACTTATATATCCTTTCACTGTTTAGTTTTCCATATCCAAATGGCCATGGTACTTAGTATATTACTAAGTAACATAGTCATACTAAACACATTTAAGGTTTAGACAATCGTCCCGTTTTTTTTAGATCATTTGAAGATAAATCATTATTTCATACATACTGTTTAGGTATCTTAAACCTGAACTTGAAGGGTTTCCGATGACTTGAAGGGAAATCCATAATGACAAATAATTTTTCGCTTGTATTAGTCACAGGCCGATGTTTTATAGCCTAAAGCCATCCTCGATAAATGCTCTAACCAACACAAAAATAAATTTTTCAATTCAAACCCGAAGTTCCTGAGATTAGCGCGTTCAAACAAACTCTTGAACTTTATTATATATTAGTATATAATATTAACCCAATTTTAGAAATTATTTGAATAAGTTTGAAACCTAAAAATGATATTTCCTAATAAGTTTACTTTAAATAGTTGAAAATATTTCAGGACAAGTTATTAGAAAATAACCCACAGCTAGCGGAAATCGATTTGGAGACAGAGGAACTAATGAACAGCATTGAGGAGATAGCGCAAGACAATCTGGCTAAGCAGCAGATGCTAGACGATATGAAATCTAAGGTTTGTCTTACTATAATATAAATCACTTAGCCGGTTAAAGCTTCAGCTTTTTGTTTGAGTCTGTCTATGGTTGCTGTGACTCGATGAAAGTAATTCGAAGGGTCCTAGTTTAAACTGTTAAGCGTTTTATGTTCCTATAGGCATACGTCACAGATAAAACACAAATTTGTAATGTAGGCTTTATGTGACACGATTAAAAATTTTGGATCAGATCAAATTAACGATCTTCTGCATACTGCTAAAAAGACAACGGTCGCTGCAAAGCATCCGAAACGCCGAGACGTAGTGGAAATAATTTTCGAATAAGTTTAACTAATATATATAGTGTTTTAAACGGTTAAAGTGTGTGAGTACTAGTTGCGTAAACTACAGACAGTATTCAGATCATATTAATTTACTATCCATATTATTTCAGGTACTAGATGGTATATCTGCTATAGTTCAAATGAAGATGAGCTATGAAGAGTTACACAAGAAGTACCAGCAGCTCTGCGAGGGTTATTCACCTCATCGCATCAGAGATTGTCTGAAGGACGCAGCCCTTACCGCAGATGAAGATGCTGAAGCAATTGCTGAACAGTTTTTATTAGGTACTAGCCGTGCCAGCGACTTCGTCCGCGAGAATCGTTATTTGGGCATCCAAATTAGGTTTTGCAAACCCCGTCATTTTTATAAACTTAAGCTGTTAGCCACGACGTCGATCGCGTCACTTCGCGTCGTTCTTGCAAGCTAATCTTAAAAGATAGACATATAGCGTCGTGGACTTTTTTTTTAATTATTTAAAGAGAAATAATTCTTTCATACACAATTTTTAGTTATCTTGAACCGTTTTCGCAGCGTACGCAACTGAAACCCACAGAGATGAAAAATTCAACCCGTTTTGTTCACTTTTCACGCTGTATCTTCACTTCTATTAGTCACAGCGCGATGTTTTATAGCCATTTATAGCCTTTCTCGATAAATGTTCTAACCAACACAATTGGAATCCGTAGTTCCTGAGATTAGTGCGTTCAAACAAACAAACTAACTCTTCAGCTTTATATATTAGTATAGATGTGTCTTGGCAAGAAAGAGAAAAAGAATGAAATGGGCAAAGGGTAAGGTTTAAAAAAAGATCTTGGAAAGAGTGAAAAATCCTTATCAAGGGAAGTCAAACACACTGTTGTATAACAACGCTGACAGTATTATTGATGCCTGAAAATAATTTAGTTATTTATTCAAATTGAAAACTTTCAATTGCCACAATTGTTTTAAAACAGTTTTTATCACCACAAAATTACTTAATGAAATAATACATAATAAAAAATAGATAAGAAACGGCAACTGTTCCCAGTCTCAGCTGTGCTGCTCGATTCTGGTCACACTCAATGACTCAACAGCGCTGGGTATAGTAGAAAAAGAGTAGAGTTTATGAGGTAAATTCATAATAAACTTTATATGGCCTAATCTCTATGAGTAATGACGCCACGCCCACTACCCCAATACACACCACTACAATCCGCGCTTGTCAGAGTTTTTATAATCTGAGACCGCGGCGGACAACTCATAATTCTTCGAAAAGTAGACATCCTGTGATGGGGTAATTTAAAACCCCGTTGGTTGCGTCTAATATTTAGAGTGTATCTTGTCTCGTCCCATTCTTATTTATTGTAAAAGCTCTCTCATTTCTTACAATCGGGGCTCGTGTAACTAGTTCAAGTCCCGTCCGTGTCGTAAATTTTATTCAATCTAACTTTATTTTTTTTAAATTCGTTTAATGCTAAAAATAAATTAACTTTAGCGTAACGAAGTTCGCCGGGTCAGAACACCTCATACAAATAGCATTAGTCGCAGAATTGTGAACAATGTAGTTTATTCGTAAATAAATTAAACTATGAAGTTCCGGTCACGCGTGTGAAAAATCGATCACTAATAGATTCATTTGGGCATACCTATACTAATATATAAAGCTGAAGAGTTCTGTCCTGTTTTGTCAAAAATATATACGGATACTGTACATTTAAATTAAACTAGTGTTTAACGGGTTTAAAACGCGAAATATATTAGTTAAACAGCAGTTGTCCGAAACTTCCAGTATTTGGCGTTCTATAAAGTCCGTTAAAGTGTTTTATTTAAAAAAAACGCATTTTTACACTTTTTACATGCTTACAAGCAAAGACTGTAAATATATATCTAGACGTAATCTAACATGTTTGAGAAAAATATTTGCTGTTTTTTTTAGCGACTTTACTCCTCGTCTGTATGTGTGTTTTTTACTCTTATCAAAGGTTGCAAAGGTTTGCAAAGGTTGCCTGGAAGAAATCGTCGTAGGCGATAAGGCCGCCTTTGCACAAACTTTTTCTTTACTTGTATATATTTAATTTAAATGTCTATTCTACTTTGTTGTAAATACACTTGTGCATTAAATAGTTTTATTATTATATTTTAGAAGCACGATGTACCTGTTGGGAATCGTACCTGCGACCCGTTGATTATGAAAACGCTGCTTTTTTGAAACCAACGAGCTCTTATAAAAATGTTTGTTTCAGGCAATATATCCGTGGAAACTTTCGTCCTTAAGTTTGCGGAGAAGAGAGCCCTGGGTCAGGCGAGACGAGCTCGCGAGGAGAGACTGGGCCACCAGCTAGCTCAACTTGATCGCGCCACTACTTAAATAAAGTAATTAACCGCACGTGCAACTATCGTGTGTTTAAACGCGAAATATATTAGTAAACTTATTGCTGCAAAGTATTCAAAACATTGGACTTACACCGCTGTCAAACTAAATAAGATAATTAATATATTTCGCATTTTAAACCGTTAGAAGTATTTTATTTTAATGTGTAATACTCGCGTAAACTACAGACACATGTCGTGTTATCGTATCGTATATGTGGACGTTTGTCTGTTTTTTTTTCATTATACGTAGAAATCGACAAACATAATTGCATCGGCGACTAACAGGCTTAGTAAGTGGGACTTTTAATAAAAATTCTCACGAACACTGAAGTATTGTTCCTAGTTTACGCTAGTAGTACAAACTTAAACCATTTAACGGTTTAAAACGCGGAATATATCCCGATCCGACCGTTGTAACATAGCAACCGAAATGTAGTTAAAATAAAGAAAAATAAGTTTAAAAACATACTTTGCGTTTTAAACCATATAGATAATTTAATATGGTATATTTAATTTTCAAGTATTTCATATTTAAAACAATCGAACGTGTTTTATTTAAAAGCTTAAAGAAGACTTTAAACTTAAAACATTTTGGACAATAGAGCTAGTTAAAAAATAAGTTGAGTTAAGTCCTATATCTTCAAAAAGTATGATAGTTTTTACTACAAACATTTTGGTCTCATCTTACTATAAAGTAACAGACAGACAAAAAACTATAAATTGAGCTATTTGATCTTATTTGTATCTACTGTTTGCTACTTAGATAATATATTTTAACTGTCCTTTTAAAATTTAACCTTTTGTTAAAATACTATAACACATTACGCGAAGTAGTATCAATGGGTTGAAAAAATTCGACGATGACGTGTAGGACTCGGTTGCTCAATTGGTAGAGCAACAGCACGGAACGCTGACGATGCCGGTTCAAGTCGTGCCCGAGTCGAAAATATTTTTTCAATCTGAATAAATATTTGTCTTGAATTGAACTATAGCTACGTAAATAAATTTGTTTGCTTCGAATTTAAAATGTATCGAAATATACTTCAAATATAGACTAACAACATAAAGTTTTGTATTTCTTAATCGAAATTGTAGATATATGAATAAGTGGTATCTTTATTAATTAAATTAAATTAGTAAGCAGTGTGCAATAAATAACATTCCTATTGTAAATAATTATGTTTTTTATAAATTGTTACAAATTGTAATGGCGTTGTTTTTTGTTTGTTTCCCCCAAAATTATGAACTACCATTTCTCCGCGTGTGAATGAACATGGCAAAATCTATACCAATATACATAAAAAGCTGAAGAGTTTGTTTGTATGTTTAAACTTGCTTATCTCGGGAACTACGGGTTCGAATTAAAAATGTATTTTTGTGCTGGTTAGAGAATTTATGGAGGACGGCTATTGGCTATCACAAACATCGTGACTAATACAATCCTGTGACTAATACAATCCTGTGACTAATACATGCAAAGATACAGCGACAAATATGAATGAAATTGGGAAAATTTTTCATCATTATGGGTTACCGAGGTGTATGCTTCAAAAAAGGTTGAAAATTCCCAAAAAATATGTATGAAAGAATGATTCCCCTTTAAATGATCTAAAAAATGTCCAGAATACTGAATGTCTATCTTTTAAGATTAACTTGCAAGAACGACGTTAAGGGACGCGACCGACGTTAGAAAGAAGGGGTTTGCAAAAACAAATTTGGATGTCCCGAATAACGATTCTCGCGGGCGAAGTCGCTGACACTGCTAGTATTTCAATAAAAGAGCTATCACAAATGTCACGCAAACCTAAGCGACTTCGAGAACGTATGGAAAGTTTCGTAGAATAAAGAATGAAGTTTTCAGTCACAAGTACCAGTTTACCTAAGGTAAGTAACCTAGAAAACGCAGGAGGCTTTATATCATAGACAATATAAAGCCCGCGTGTGAGAGAGATAGTGCGAGGAGTTCTCCTCACTCTAACTTCTGGACTCGACATCAAGTTTGCTTTTTAAATCCAGAACGACAAGGATCTGATGGGATATCGTTATGAAAAGGAATTACGGTAATTTTTCTTTTAACGTTTATTTTTCTAATGATATCAATTATTTTCTGAAACATGTTCGACTTGGGCTGGAAATCTGGACATTAAATACGTAGTAGGAATATCGATATTCCGTCCGGGCGACGAGCTACCGTCCACACACGAAGAAGCCGTGATGTTTAATCGCGTTTCGACGTCAGTCTGTGGATTTCCGAATATCCAAAGTCAAAATAGGCCGACAGCGCATCTCGTTGCTATAGGTTGGGGTATTTCACCTACCATCAAGTGACCTCCATCTGTCTGTCCCCTTCTATCATTAAAAAATAAGTTAATTTTACTTTGACGCTTATCAATGAGCTCCAAGGCCCTGGAGCTCTGCACCACCTGGCTCTACGATGGGTACTGCTTGGATTCTAGGTCTGGGATCTACAAGCCTATAGAGGTTGAATTGCATTAACCGCTTGTCCACAATTTGCATATGTTTAAAATAAAATTACCATCGCCATTATTTTTATACAGAAATTCTATGCATTTTTATTCACATTGATCGTGGCGTGAAGTAACGTGACGGAGGTGGAAACCTTCTGTGAAGCAATAATTCAAGCCGAAAATAATAAAATCGACTATCATTAAACGATTATTGATCGATTTAAGTTGATAGTAAAAGATAGCTTTTTCGTGCTTTTAAAGTTTCGTCCAGCACCATGACGTTCCTTGAAGAACGCAATATGACTCAAGTGCCCGATATCAAGGAATACTTTAAAGGAAAGAATATATTTATTACTGGGGGATCAGGTTAGTTCTATAGTTGAGATAACAAACCGATATAGATTTTTTTTAAAATAAAACACTTTAACGGTTTAAAACGCGATATATTAGTTTAACTGATTTGAAAATGATTTTTAACTTCGGCTCGACGTTTTTTACTTTGACGTCAGAGACGTCCATCTTTAGTCTCCCCGTGACCACGGCTGCTGGAAAGCATCCGAAACCTTGGGCCGAAGTTAAAAATCATTTTCAAATAAGTTTAACTAATATATCGCGTTTTAAACCGTTAACATTGTTTTATTTAAATGTGTACTACTCGCGTAAACATGGACAGTATTCGATATACATTTCTTCAGAGTTATCCCGACCACGGCACAGTCATTAAAAAGTACATGGATTTTTTAATATTTTGATTATATTTATTTAATAATGCATAAACCGAGCATTATTTCGAGTACGGGGAGACTCTTTCCCATAACTACGACGTCAAATAATTTGTAATACCTAATATATTTCGTGTTTTAAACCGTTAAAGTGTTTTAATGTGTTCTCGCATAAACTACAGACGAGTTTATTTCTATTTTATTATAGACCTTAAAATAACAGGTTCGTTGTAATTATTAAATAAAACATTTTTAAAGGTTTTAAATTGGAAATATAGGCTTAATACTAATAGTGTATTTATTTATTGTAAACTCTGTGTCCATAACCTCTGTAAAGCACCCAAAACGTCCAATCCATTTTTATATCTATTATTTAAATACTAAAATAAAAACCCGACTCGAAATCCCAATTCTAGACCTTGTGATCCTCAGTCGTATATACTATATACTAACCCGTAGAGGCGTAGACAAATAACAAATATGCCAGATAGTAAACCATACAAATCAAAATATCTAAAAAATATGGAATTATTAAATTACATACTATTATTGTTGATTCGCAAATATATTGATAATATACTCGCAGTTAAATAAAACACTTTAACGGTTTAAAACGCGATATAGTAGCCGTGATTACGGCTGTTGAAAAGCATCCGAAACGTCGGACCGAAGCTAAAAATCATTTTCAAATAAGTTTAACTAATATATCGCGTTTTAAACCGTTAAAGTGTTTTATTTAAATGTGTACTACTCGCGTAAACTATAGACAGTATCTAATATACTCGCAGGTTTTATGGGAAAAGTGTTGATAGAAAAACTACTCTATTCGTGCACTGATTTAAAACAAATATATGTGCTGTTGAGGCCCAAAAAGGGGATTTCACCGGAAGACAGAATATCAACATTATACGAAAGTGAGGTAAGTATTTATTTATTCAGTAAAATAGGGTGACAGCGCGTCTTGTTTAGATTTATATGAGGCCGCTAGAGGCAGTGTAGCCTAACTGCAATTTTATAATTTGTTTTATTTATATTTTTATAGATAAACCTTTATCTATAAGAGCACAGTTACTGAACGTCGAATTAAATAAAATTGACTTTTTTTTAATAAGTGGTCATAAAAGTGATTTTGAATATTAAGGTTGTTTGGTCCTTAAATAATGGATATTTATTTAATTTTGTGTCATCTGTGACAACGACTACACTCTATAAAATGACTTCACTAGTTCTCTATGGTTTGAAATCGGCCATATTTGTTATGGTCTTTTGCCAAGTTAGAAAAAATACACTATAAATTAGGTTAGAGGCTCAAGTCCTGATCATATCAACGAATCATTTTAATTAACAATAAGTTTATCATTTATTTTTTATTTCTAGTGCTATGATCGTTTGAGGAAAGAAAAACCTGACGTTTTCATGGCTAAAGTCAGCGCGGTTGCTGGAGATGTGGGCGAAATTCGTCTTGGTAAGCATTGGTCAAAGAAGGTACTTCTTTGAGGGCATGGGGCGAAAACAAGGCAAGTTGATCAGGCTTGTGCTTTGCCCAACCTCAACATTTTCCTTCTGGATTTAAGTCTAGGACCTCTATTGCTTAACGCAGTTCTGGGCGACGCATATAACCTTCTAGGTGACGGCAGATACAAAATATTTGAACGACTGTAAGCCTACTATACTGGAATTCGATAAAAAAAAATATGTTCTCTCCAGCTTAATTCAACTGCAAATACATACGTTCATATCTTGTCTCTGACGGGCTTGTCGGTCGTATGGTTTATAATCAACGGGTCGTGAGTCCGATCGTTCGAGATAATTTTTCTGAAACATCTTGGACTTCGTCTGAATCTGTATATCAAACGGATGGTACAAATATCGAAATTATGTCCAGGTCATGAACTAGGGTCCACAGATAAAAAACAGTGAAATTAAATCCCGTTTTGTTCCCTCTGTGGATTAAATATCTAAGGCCAAAACTGGTGCGATAGCACATCTTGCTGTGATATGGCTGGGGTACATTACTTTCCATTAAGAGAACCACATGTTTGTCATTATAAGAAACTTCAATAGGAAAAATAATTCCTATTTGCATATGCTAAATGCAAACTCAATGGCATGTTGCTTTATTTATGCAATGACCTTTTGATATTTGCGTTGACGTATACGCATGTAATCATCATACATTCTTTAGGGGCTAAATTGTCCAAGTCCTTGTCTTAAAACGCAAGAAATAGTTTTGGTCAGGCAGTCAAACTAAATTCGATTGACTTAGCTGCGCAGAGACAGAAATATGTCTGTTGCATGCATATTATTAATCTTTTATATGCATTTACATTTCAGGTATATCTGACGCGGATAGAGCTCTGCTCGTGAGAAATGTAAACATAATTTTTCATGTCGCTGCGAGTGTGAGGTAGCTAATAAATTAATATGACATTTTATTACATAAAAAGCTACTTGTGTATGGGGTTCGAATCCTTGGTTGTTAAACTGCTAGTTTTTAAGGCGCTAACCAAGTATTTCATTTTTTATTTTATTAGTTCTATTAAGTGTGTAAAAAGTAATGCCAATGCCAAATGCTTACGCAATTTCAGGTCTTCTATGAAGAAGCTGAAATATTCAAAAAAATGCTTTCTATTTATATCGTTTGAGGCATTCTTAGTTTATATATTTTTTTTAATTCACAAATCACAGATTTAATGTTAAGTTTTCGTAATTATTCCCTAGTACGAACACACTAAGACTTAGTTCTTGTAAATTGTATGACCAAAGAAAATGGATCAATTATTTAACGTGCAAAATAACCTTTTTTTTTATTTTCCACGTTACGCACTGAGTGTGGAGTACCATCCACTCTTACCGTTCTGTTTGCGAGCCTTTCTCTACCAGGCAAGTAGGTGATAATACGATAATACCATTATAAACAATCTCAACTTTCCTTTCTCTCTCCCATCTCGGCTCAGCCTTTCCGAAGAACCAGCGGATATTAACCACCAGAATGTCTTGCCCCTGCTGTTCTGGTTCTTTTATGTTCTGTGCATCGACACATACCCCTCTCGCGTGCAATGTATCAAACCTTTTAATTTGACAGGTTCGATGACACTTTGGACCGTGCAGTGAAATTGAACCTTCGCGGCACCAAAGAGATGATTGACTTGGCATATGAAATGCCGCAGTTGGAGGTGAGTGAGGTGGTGCTCTTCATGTGACTGAAAAAAGCAATTTTCAGTCACATGAAGAGGCGAATTTTGCTGAAACAAAAAAGAACAACGATGAAATTAAAGTACCTTATAAATAGGAAGAGAGGTAGTTAGTTCGGAGTTTTAAGTTTTGTGTTTCCATCAGAGATGTGCGATGGAAGTGTGTCGTTCGAGTAGTACACATTCAAATAAAACACTTTAACGGTTTAAAACGCGATATATTAGTTAAACTTATTTGAAAATGATTTTTAACTTCGGCCCGACGTTTCGGATGCTTTGCAGCAGCCGTGGTCACGGGGAGACAAAAAATCATTTTCAAATACGTTTAACTAATATATAGCGTTTTAAACCGTTGAAGTGTTTTATTTAAAAGAGAAATCATTGTTTCATACATTTCGCAGCGCACGGAACGGAAACCTATCCTTCCTCGATAAATGATCTAAATATATATATCTAGGCATCTGTACCTAAACGGTATCAATATTTATATTCCAACTATAATCTCCGTTCCTGTCTTGATTACTTGTTAGTGACAAATATATACACTTAAATTACATTTTCAGAGCTTTGTCCACGTCTCCACAAGTTACTCGAACGTTAACCAGAACTGCATTTCCGAGACCATGTACCCACCACACGCTGACTGGCGACAGACCATCGACGTGTGCCAAACCATGGACAAGCATAGTTTGGAGATATTAACACCTAAGTATATAAAATTATAGTAATGTATTTCATTGTATACCCAGCTAACCGACTCTTTAGCTGAATGGTTAAGTACTAGAGGTCCTAGGGTCGAATCCAGGGAAACAAGAGACTCAGATGAAAAACTCTTTAACGGTTTAAGTCGCGATGTATGTTAAACTTATTTGGAAATTATATTGACTGCGGCCCGTCGTTTCGATTGCCTTGCAGCAGCTGTGGTCATGGGGACACTAATATACATCGCGTTTTAAACCGTTAAACCGTGTTTTATTTAAATGTGTACTACTCGAGTACAGTATGTAACAATAGATTGTTTCGAGCAGGGAAGACTTGTCAACTACTTGAACCGGACACGGAGGTCCTAGGTTTAAATTCGAATAGATAGTTTCCGACATGGTACTTGCAGACTGAACTATTAGTGCAACAGACACGGAACTATGTCTGCCCGAGCCGCTGTCGACAGACAGAGTCGCAGCAGACGACACTAAGTTTTTAAATTAAATCATGTAATAATATCGATTACATTGCAGGTACCTCGGCGAGCTTCCAAACACATACGTGTTCACCAAACAACTGGCTGAGCATGTTGTCTATGAGCAGAAAGGCAAGATGCCCATTATCATCACACGACCTTCTATAGGTAACGCTTATAAATAAATCTTTTTTATTTGCCATTATTTCAATACGATATTAGAAAAAGATATACATGCGATTACATTAAAATAATTGAGGCCGCTAGAGGCAGAGTAGTCTAACTGCAATTATATGACTTGAGTTATTTATATTTTTCCTAAGTCTAAAAATGTTAATTCTTACAGATATAAGTGTACAAATTCATTTACGCCTAAGTTAATTGCGCAAAAACATGTTCTTTTTTATAAGGTTACTCTGCAGCCTGCATTAATATAAAAATAAATAATTTAATTGGAAGGAAAGTGATGACATAAGGGTCTTGCGTCAGCATAGGTTGCAGCTCACTTTTTAATGATAGGGGAGGATAGTCAAGCATAGTTCCTTTATGGTAGCTTAAATAGCCCATATAGCATCAAAATATAATGCGCTACTAAGTCTTTAGACATTCGGAATCCACAGGCTGAAACATTGCGGCTTTTTCTTCTATGAAATGGAATTTCGATATTTCTAGCAATCATTTAGTATCCAGAAAAATTATAAATTGATTAGTGAAATGTTGGACCCGGTGAGGACCGTTTATTATTAACCGTACAGTGCTACCATGACACGAAGGAGTCCGTCAATCACAGCTATGCTACAAAACTGATTTGGAACCCTATTGTTCTTTTTTTTGTATATATAAAAGGTAAATAACATCTGGATCTCGTTCTAATTCAAATTCAAATTTAAATTCAAATCCTTTATTGCCATAATAAGATATTTACAAACTATATTGTGTGCATAATAATAATATAGTAATAAATATATACGAGCGGCAATCGCTACCAGTCTCAGCTATGCTGCTAAATGCGTGTTTTCAGCCTGACCCGACCATAGAAGGAAAGGAGAGTAAAGTAAGAGAGTTAGTAAAGTAATATAATATAAATACAATTCCAAGATTGCAATGTCCCAACTTGGGATCCGGTATCGCCTAGAAAATAACCCACCGAGAATCTAAGAAACTCAAATGTTTTCATTTTTACAGTAGTGTCGGCTTACGAAGAACCGCTCAGAGGTTGGAATGAGAATTTAAACGGTCCAACAGGCATTCTAATCGCTGTTGGAAAAGGTTTGTTGAACGCTATACAATTCTTACCTGTACTAATTATATACAGCTGACTGGTTAGTTTGTTTGAAAGCAATAAATAATTTAAAAATCTAAAATAAATTGAACTCGGTAGCTCAATTGGTAGAGCAACAGCACGGAACGCTGACGATGCCGGTTCAAGTCCTGTCCGAGTCGAAAATTTTTTCAATTTATTTTCGATTTTTAAATTGTATAGTGCCTTCGTGTGCACATGTAAAAAAAGTAATAAAGTTTTCAAGCAATAAATAATATAAATGTAATCACGGGAGCTACTAGTTCGATTTGAAATATTATTCAATCTCTATATATATTGCCATGTGAAAGATATTAGAGATTCAGTTTCACCTCGATTTCAGGTGTCCTAAGAACTGTTTATGGTAAGCCTGACCTAGTAGCGGATTACATACCCGTAGACTTCGTTATTAAGCATCTGATTGCTGCTGCCTGGATCCGAGGAACGAAGAAGTAAGTGATTCCTGAGTAGACTTTTCTCTTGTTCTACTCGTCATTGTACTTCAATGTTCATGCATGGACTAGTTAGAGGTTAAATACTGTCTATAGTTTACGCGAGTAGTACACATTTAAATAAAACACTTTAACGGTTTAAAACGCGCTATTTTGGTTAAACTTATTTTTAACTTCGGGCCGACGTTTCGGATGCTTTGGAGCAGCCGTGGTCACATCCGAAACGTCGGGCCGAAGTTAAAAATAATTGTCAAATAAGTTTAACTAATATATCGCGCTTTAAACCGTTAAAGTGTTTTATTTAGTTAGAGGTTATCGGTTTGATTTTTCGCTGTGCTCGAGTTCTGAGTCGATTTCATATTTTAATCTATACATAATATATAATTTATAAAGTTGAAGAGTTTGTTTGAACGCGCTAATCTCAGGAAATACTGGTTCGAATAAAAATAATTCACATGTGAGCATTGTAGAGCATTTATCGAGGAATGTTTCAGGCTATAATCATCACACCGCGATCAATAGGAGTTAAAAAATAAAATCGGGAAGTTTATTTTTCTTTGAGGGCTTCGCGCCATGTGTGAGATGTTTTGAATATTCAGAAATTCACAGATTGAACCGAAACGCGATTCGGCCTATCTGTAGTGGTTCGTGTCCCGGACCGAATTTCGATTTCCACTACCCATTCAATATCCAGGTTTCAAGACGAAGTCCAAAATGTTTTAGAAAATTTATAAATTCATTAGAAACATGTTTGAGTATTAGCCATACGTACCATTAGACCAATGAGAGCCCGTCAAATTATTAATTATCAAATACTGTCTATAGTTTACGCGAGTAGTACAAAACCAAATACCAACTTAGACGGAACAGGTGGCGCTAGCGTAGTAGTTTCTTACTTTGGCGTCAGAGACATCTTTAGTCTCCCGTGACCGCGGCTGTTGCAAACCATCCGAAGGCCGTAGTTAAAATAATTTAACTGATATATATTGCGTTTTAAACCAATTTCAGATTGGAACTCACTGACGACATTCCAGTCTACAACTGTTGCGCTGGTAACCTCAAAACTGTAACTACCAAGGAGTTTGGAGACATTGGCTTTAAATATATCAGTGAATTGCCGCTAGATGACAATATGTGGGGGTGTTCCGATGATGTAACGAGCTCCAGGTTTATGTTCTTCCTCAGTGTAAGTTGAGCTAAGCTGCAAGAAGCCTAAAATAAATTACGAATTAAACGTGTAGTAAATGTTATTATATTTTTAATGGTAGCTGATATGCCCCAGCCTATAGCATCTAAACAAGATGCGTGGCGACCTATTTTATGCTTTAAGGTAATTTTAATGGGTGGACCCGATGGGAATCTGACATACGACCTATTGATTAGCCATAAATAGCTACCAATAGACTGACCAGCCAAAAATTAATAACTTAATTACAAATTAACAATATGTTTTAATGTCTTTGTTAATAACATATAAGATATAAAAAAACACTTCTTTCAAATTTAAAAGCGAGAAATGTCAAATCAATTTTGCTCAAACAATTTAATCGGTGGTGTTATAACTTTATTTTTATTTTTATTTAAAAAGAAAGCAATATTATAAATTGTCCGCGCCCCGTTGTTCCTGCGAGTTAATCTTTAAAGATAGACAGACATAAATATTCGTGTATATTGTTATAGATCTTTTTAAGAAAAATAATGCTTTCCTACATATTTTTTGTGTATCTTCAACCATTTTCGAAGCAGTGGAAGCTCTTTAAGATTAATAAGAAAAGAAAAGTATGAATGAAGAAGTAGAAAAGTAGAAAAACATGTATGTATATTAATATCAATTTTTTTTTCAGGTGATATTTAAACATTTACTGCCAGCATTAGTTATTGATACTATTTTGAAATTGGCTGGAAAGGAACCAAGGTTAGTTCTTTTTATAACGAAAAAATAAGTATCTACTAAAAATACTCGAAATAGGGTTTAAATAAAAATATAACGTCTTTAAAAATGCATTTTAATGACATATTATAGTTGAATTGTATTTAACTGCGACGACATTTCGGATGCTGAACTGTGGTCACAACGGGACTGAAGATGAGGGGTGTCATTAGAGCCGCGCTAACGCCATCTGTTTCGTTGCTATCGTAATTGTTGATTGGCTGGGTTCGAAAAGTAGAAATTGAAATACTTGCGTAAACATTATTTTATTTGTATAACAACTTGAATGAACTTGGAAATAAAAAGTGCTGGCGAGTTCCTTGACAGTTCTTCTCGTTCGTTCTACGGCCTTGATTTGAGAGCTGGTAGTAAATTTAAATTTAGAGCCTTTAGTTTTTAACTGATGTGACATTCATAACATAGTTACTTATGTGTTTTTTGACTTTTTGACTTTTATTACCCGTTTCAGATTAGTCAAGATTCAAAGAAGAATTTACAATGTCTTTGTCGCTCTAGAGAGCTTTCTTTTACACCAGTTTAATTTCTACAACAATAACTTTGTCGATTTACGCTCAGCTATAAAGAAATCGGACAAAGACGAGTTTTATTACGATCTCGAGAACTTAGACTACTTAGAGCATATGAAACGAAGTACGCTGGGCGCGAGAAGGTACATACTTAAGGAGAAAGACGAAGATATTCCAAAGGCGGTCCGCCATTTTAAAATGTAAGTTGATAGGCAAACCTATGGAAACATTTTGTTTGTATGAAATAAGAATCTATGGCGTAAAAAGGGGCGTTTAGTGGACTGTATGATATTAAGTGTGACAAAAGGAAAGGACTCACGCAGTCTGCTGTTACTCCCTGGATCATCTCTTCTCGTGGGGGTACCGAATAATTTAATAGGAAGGACACAAAACTGCGTGATATTTTAAATAATTTCAACTTTAAAACTTAGGTTCAATGCTCCATATGTCAAATTATTTAATTGTGACGGGTTCCTTGGTTTATTGATGCCCATCGGCAACATTTTTTAAACAATTTGTAATTTTCTCAGATATTTTCAACTTCGTCTGGAACATTAAGTGGGTGGTGAGAATATTGAAATTCCGTCCGAGTCACGAACCACCGTCTGTAGATTAAACAGTTTCGGTTACAGTCTGTGGATTTCCGGATATCCAAAATCTATATAGGTCTTGTTTAGATGTTGGCTGTGTTGTTTCACCTAACCCAAGATTGTCTGACCTCCTCTTTCATCCAAAAGTAACAGATTCAGAGAATTGAGCAAAGATAACGTTTGAAAACTCTTTTCATTTTACATGATGGCAATATATACATATAGAATACAGCTTGTTTGTAAAATCAATTAGATTTTAAACAACGTGTGGGGAACGTTAACGCCTACTCAATGATGTGGAACCATTTGTGCCCTAGTCAAATTCGCACTTGACCGGTTTTACTCATTTGACTCTCTTGTCTCGGCATCATTGTTTTTCGGGCTGTTCAGCCGCTGTAAGCGAGAAGAGGTTCTCGACGTTTCGCCATCACGAGCGGACGGCATCGTCAGAAGATGTTAGCTCCTCGATTGCCCGAAAAACAATGATATGCTGAACGATGGCCGTGAAAGCCTTACACAATTTATTCTCTTGACTCTGTTTCAGAATGACAGCATGCCAGAAGACAACACCTTATTTGTTCTACGTCACGCTTATTTGGTGGAGCTTCAATAGCGGCTTAGTACAACAGTACCTTGAACTATTACTGCTATAATTTCTAGTGCTATTGTTTCTCTTTTAATAAATGTGGTCTTTTAGTGTAGAATAAATGCCTTTTTATGCTTTTTAGATGTTTTTTATTCTATACTAGCTGTGTCTGCGACTTCGTCTTCGTGGAATAGCCACGAATTTACCTTACCCCTCCGCTGTTAACCATAGCGCTGTTCGTGTCGTTCTTGCGAGTTAATTTTAGATAATTTAATGATTAATCTTTTTTTTATGTTTAATTTTTTCCTGAGATTAGCGCGTTCAAACAAACAAACTCTTCATGTTTATAATATTATAGTATAGAATAATGTTTATTCATAAATTATTATGGCTGATTTGAATTTTACGCCTGGTATAACTTATATCGGTGTAAAAGTTAGGTATGTCACTTATTCGAGGAATGATCCCCTAATATCTCAAAATTTACATAAGCAAAATTTTATTAAAGAATAACTCATTGATGCCTTGAGCATTAATAACCTTTTGTGTACTTTGTTTGTTGCGATACGTTTGTATGAAGTATAGCATTTTTGTTGGCAAGGTTTGCTACGATTTATATTGTAATTTATAGATTTTTTAGTGTATTTGACGACAAATTCCATACAAATTTACATTATGGGCAAAATAAATACTTTTTTATTTTTTAACCTCTTTCGCTTCGGCCGAACAGCCCGATTAACAATGGCGTGCTGGACGATGATCAAACAATTAATTTTTTTTTATCGCTCTAAACTCTCATTATTGCAAAAAAATCAAATACAATTGAATAAAAAAATCTAAGATTGATCTAAACTTTCAAAATTACTGTCCTACATTAGACTATATAGATAAGAATAGAGGAGCCATTAAAAACATTTCCACAACAAGATATATATTTTTTATACAGAGTGTTATACTTTTCGCCTGTCGAGGCGTGAATTAGGTTGTATGTAGGTATGTACAAGTCATAAGACTTCGAAGACCCTCTTTGGGGTTACGTACTCAAAGTGTGAAATTATATCTGAAAATACGAATTATTATTTTCAAAAATTCAAACCACTGTCAAGCAATTGAATGTTGAACATAAAAATTTAAAAATAAATTGGAAAAATTTTCGACTCGGGCAGGACTTGAACCGGCATCGTCAGCGTTCCGTGCTGTTGCTCTACCAATTGAGCTACCGAACATTTTTTCAATTTATGTTCGATTTTTAAATTATATAGTGCCTTCATGCACAATAACATGTGAAACATATTAAAGTTTTCATAACTATAAAAGGTGTTTTTGGCTGTTTTTATATACGGCAGTGTCATTTGTAATGTCTGTGTAGAATTGGGATTTTTACATATGATTCTCGTTAATGATGATTTTCCCTTCACTACCTGTCTGTAAGTCTTTCGACTCATCGATTTAGAAGCAATGTTTGCCCATAATCAAAATTTTTGACTGATCTAATCTGAAAATAGGGGGTTAGAGCAAAACCTCGCCCGGGTAACGAATTACAGATGAAAAAGTCGAAAAGTGTAAGTCGCATTTTGTTTTCAGTCTGTGAACGGTCCATAACTAAAAATAGATCAAGAGCACATCTGTCTCGTTTTGATACTCTGTAGTGGAGGTACTCTGTGATAACGTAGAAAACATTTTCGTTATTAATCGCGTTTCGGCTTCAGTCCGTCGATTTTCGAATAAAATACTGTCTATAGTTTACGCGAGTAGTAAGTACACATTGAAATAAAACACTTTAACGGTTTAAAATGCAATGTATTAGTTAAACTTATTTGGAAATGATTTTTAACTTCGGCCCGACGTTTCGGATGCTTTGCAGCAGCCGTGGTCACGGGGAGACGTCGGGCCGAAGTTAAAAATCATTTCCAAATAAGTTTAACTAATATATCGCGTTTTAAACCGTAAAAGTGTTTTATTTAGATTTTCGAATATCCAAACCATAGGTTCACAGCAGATTTTTCACACCATCAAATGAACGCCTCGCTCTATCATAAAAAAATAACTTCACCCAATTGACGTGTGTTTAATAATTATACAAAATTGTGAATATCGTTTTAAGTATTCATTTGCGCGAGTTATTAAGCATATCAAACATACGAAGCGACATAAATTTGCAAGTGGGGTCAAAGGAGCCGATTACCATAAAATCGACCATGTCATTGTTAAAATTGGTTTCTGCGTCAGTCTGTCACCGTTGGCTGTGCGCTGCATCACCGCGTTATATTGGGAATATATGTGAGTGGAATGGTAGGGTAGTTTTAGATTTATTCGTCCAGAAAAGTGAGGTAGGGCAGTTTTTAAATTCTTCTTATAATCCACGAGAGCTTTCAAGATGAAATGATTTGAGCTTAGCTTTCCTAGGGTTTTTAAAGGATTATGTAATTGTTGATCGTAAAATTGGAATTAATTAGAAAACCAGATTAAATTTCAACTTTTTTAATTTACTTTATAATTATTTTTAACGCCTTTAGTACAACGCAAAATCTGTCAATAAATATAGTATAGTCAAAAACCTAATTGTTTGAAGTATCTGTAATTTTTGCAAGTTTACTCTCTAAAATAAACAATTCTAACGTTTTAAAACGCGAAACGGATCGTATCGGATGCCTTGTGGCCGCCGTGGTCACGGGGGTAATGTCAAAGTCAAGTTCTCCATCTTCATACCCCGCGGCCATGACTTCTGCAATCAAGACGTCGGGCTGTACTCCAAATGACTTGTAGTTAAATGAACCAATACATGTCGTGTTTTAAACCGTTAAAAGTACCTAATTGTTGCAGTCCTGCTCCGCTAAGGTGGAAACATGACGTTCCTTGAAGAGCGAGATCTGAGCGATGTGCCGAGTATCAAGGAGTATTTTAAGGGGAAGACCATCTTTATAACTGGCGGTTCAGGTAAGTGACGTAAAATCTGGGTGGTCTGTTTTGAATGAACGCTTGGTGGTTTCATTTGGTTACGCCTAAAGACATCGATAGAAAGTTGTAGTGGGATCCTCACCAAGTCATAGAGTCAAACCTTAGTGTTTGTTATTTTAGCGTAGATCTTAAATTAAACAAACCTAATAACACTTCTTGATAATTCACTCTCTGTATCGTTAGCACAAATCATTCAAAATAAACAAAGAACCTTTTCTGTCCTTTGCTATATGCCCCAGTAATCTGTGAATGAAAACATCAGGATACGACGCTAAATTTCATAATGTGTCATCTTACATTTATTTATTTATTAAAATTTAATAATTACAAACAAAGTAACGGTTTACAAGAATAAAGACTTATGTAATTCGATCTCTAACATACATTTGGTCTGCTAAGACCGGCTTCAACCAAGAATCCAAAGCGAGAGAGATAATATAGAACCGATGTGGATGAAGAGAAATTTTCAAGACAACTGCTTAAAAATATACCCAATCTGGCTGTTTATAAGATTGATTAGATCGTTGATCTAGTGGTAGCAAAATATAAATGAAAAAGCCGTGAAGTTTAATACATAGGCTGATAGTGTCGAATATCTATAACAAATATGGCCGATAGCGCATCTTGTTTAGATGTTACGACTTTGTTATTTAAGCTACCAACACGTAAACCCGTGCTCGTCTGAACTCCTGTATCATACAAATTTAGCGAAGAATTCAAGTAATACATATGAGAAAATAAAATATACTTTATTCTCTTGAAAATTATTTGGATTCGTCAAAATTTTTTTTCGTTTGTCTGTCTGTTTGTCGTGATTCTACAGAGATGACATATCGTACATAGTATAACATATCTATACTAATATCTGGTTAAAGAGTTTGTTTATTTGTTTGAACACGCTAATCATAGGAATAACTGGGTTGAATTGAAAAATAAGAAGAATTCCTCCTTAAATAATTTCAAAAATGCCCGCGACGGTATATATGCCTATCGTATAAGATTAACTTGCAAGAAAGTAATGTGTAACTGCTTAAGTTTATAGAGTTGAACAGGAGGTTTGCAAAACTAATTTTGATGACCACACTATTCTACGTGGACAAAGTCGCTGACACAGCTATTTGGAATATAAACGGGGTAATAAATTATGCATTCCGATTTTTGTGTTTAACAATGTTAATGTGTTGTCGGAACTTACTAGATGGGCGTGTTTAAGCATGACGTAGGCATTACGGTATTTTGAACAATTGTTTTTATACCACCATAGGACTCTGATAATGCCATTACGTTAAGCGCGAGAGGTCCTGGGTTCGAATTCCAGGGAAACAGAAACTTTTTCGCAGGCACAAGTCTATCAACTACTTGCCTTTAAAGAACGGGTATAAACGGACACAGAAAATTGTTCGCCCCATCCCACAAAAGGGATTTCACCACATAAACACTACATCTATACTGATATATAAAACTGAAGAGTTTGTTTGAACGTGATAATTGTACTAACACTATGTAATAAATGTTAAAATCGGTTCAAGTGATAAACTTATCCATTATTATTGAGTCTTTCTTATAATAGAGGAAAACAGAAACATGAGGTTCTTTTGATGGTATAATATCTATCCATATAAAATTAGGACAAGATGCCCTGACCTATTTTGGTTTAGCTTATTTATTTATTTATTTAATTCTTCATTGCAACACATACAAACACAAAATACATGATTATATACATGATTCCTTAAAATATTCTTAATAATACAATTTTTAGATTGTATTATTGCAAAATATCTGACACGTACCTAAAATAATTTCCAAATAAATTTAACTATACAATCGCGTTTTAAACTGTTAAAATGTTCAATTTAAATGTGTACTCGTGTAAACTACAGACAGTATTTTATTTGAGAGTTATCGACGGTTAGAGGTTTGTAACGTGATTTACGGGGCTACTGACTTATATTCTAATTTTAAATCTTTAAACTACAACCTGTCATACATATGTATTTACCTTTAAAATGTAATAAATTGTATAATCCATAAGTTAACAGGCTCTTGTACTTAAACTAACCAACGGTCTGGGTTCAAATTAGTCAAGCAACAATTGTTAAAGTCAAAGCAAAAATCATTTATTCATGTAGGTAACTATGTACACTTATAACGTACAAAATAAATAAAGAATCTAACTTTACATTTACTACCAGTTCTCAAATCAAGGGCGTAGAACGAACGAGAAGAACTGGCAATAAACTCGCCGTCACTTTTTATCGCCAAGTTTTATTTTACATTCTTGATTTACTTTTAGTGCACTACATATTTTTCCTTGTAAGAGCGGGTTCCTCCACAGTCTAAGCATTTTTATTATTTAAATATTGATTAACGTGATAATAACCCTTTTCAAGCAGTTTTTGTTTTACATACGATTTAAACCAATTTATTGAGAGTGCTTGCACTTCGCTGGGGATTTTATTAAAGTATCGAATACGTTTCTTTGAAAACAACAACACTTTATGGAGCCTTTAGTTTGGTACACTTATTTTGTCCTTATTACATGTATTGTACTGATGAAAGCTGCCGATTCTTTTAAAAGTAACTACGTTTTTCTTCACATACATTTTCATAGATATATTGACTTGCCGGCGTTAGGATATTCAATGCTATAAACTTATCTCAACAGACTCTCGGGGTAAGACCACAAATCGATCGAATAGCCCGTTTCTGCAAAACAAATATGGTTTGAATATCGGCTGCATTGCCCCATGGCTAAATGGTCGGATACCGGAGATTCCGCCTCATCACCAACCGAATATCTGGTATCCGGCCGCCGAACATTGGGCCGGCCAAAAAGCTAGACGGAAGCTGATTTTGGAGGGCCTAAAAATGAGTTGTAGCGAAGAGGATTCAAATACATAGCAGTGAAGGTGATTTGCCTCCAATGTAAAGAAGGGCAGATTCTGTTCATGGAACTATAAATAAAAAACATATCTGCCCTCACCTGTAACAGAGTTGTAGTGTGTTTAGAGCGAAATACTTTTTTGAGGAGTAGGCAGGACTTGTTTATTATTTTTTTTTTCGATTTTTTTTTCAATTTATTTATTTAGTTAATATTGATAATAAATTGTTGTTGTTTTCTTGTATAGTAACTAACAATTTTTCAAAGTTAAATACAAAACAAAATTCACTATTCGGTATCCGGCCGGATAGTAAAATAATGGCCGGATAGGCCGGATACCGTATAGTAACCGGATATCCGTTGCATCTCTAGTTCAAATACCACAGGACCAAAATATTGAATATCTTAAAATATATTTATAATTTTTTTGGTAAATATTAAATGTCGTTTGAAAAAAACAGATCATCAGTTCGTGGTAGTCATTTTAAAAACTCCCTCCAGGATGATGAAAAAGCCGCCATGAGTAAGTGTATCACCCGGTTCCAGTCAAAGCCAAAATAGGTCAACACCGCAGAGAATTTAGATGATGTATATGTCATAAAAAAGTGTATCATTAACACGACCATAGATATGTTATCTGTCACTTTTAAAGAAGGCAGCATTTATCTTTTAAATAAAACACTTAACAGATGGCGCTAGCGTAGCATTCTTGCCTTTGTCTAAAGATAGACAAAGGCAAGAATGTTTCTAATTAGAAACATATTTCATCTTCAACCCTCCCCCCAACCACGGCTGATGTAAAGCGTCCAAAACGTCAGCCTATAGTTTAAATATATTGTTAACATTTTGACTAATGTATTTCGTTTAACCGTTAAAAGTATTTTTTTCAAATGTTTACTACTCGAGACAATACTTAGCTTTTATCTTAGTACATTTTTTCAGGCTTCATGGGTAATGTTCTCATAGAAAAATTGCTGTTCTCTTGCACGGACTTGGAAAGAATCTATTTGCTCCTGAGAGAGAAGAAAGGAGTTAAACCAGAGGATAGACTCGCAGCGTTCTACGAGAATGTGGTATGCTTTATTTATATTATACTAGCTGCGTTGTGACTTCGTCCGCGTATAAGAATAATTTTGACCATTAAAATTTATTTTTGTAAACCATGCGCCTCTTCATCTTTATATACTACCGCTCACCCGGGTGAGCTTCCATCCAGCTTCTCAAGCTCCCACCCGCATTGGGCATCCTTGATCTAGTCGCAAACACGCCCGGTTAGTATTCGAGGTCCCGTCGGGACTCAATACGTAATAGTCACTCAAAAAAAAAACTTTATATACTTAAGCTGTTATCCACGACGTCGGTCGCGATCCGTCGTTCTTGCGAGTTAATCGTAAAAGATAGACATAGATAGATAGTATTGCGGACATTCATTTAGTTCATTTGAAGAGGAATCATTCTTTCACACACATTTTTTGGGTATTTTACCCGTTTTTGCAGCGTACGCCTCGGAAACCCATAATGATGAATTATTTATCCCAATTTTTTTTACATTCCCCGCCGTATCTTCGCTTGTATTAGTCACAGCTTGTGTTTTTATAGCCCTCGATAAATGCTCTAACCAACACTAAGATTCAATTCGAACCCGCAGTTCCTAAGATTAGCGCGTTCAACCATACAAACAAACAAACTTTTCAGCTTATATATTAGTATAGATTTTTTACTACAGAAGGGAAGACGAAGAAGAGAACAGACAAGCAATTGTTTTATCAAAGGAAGGCTATAAAACATCGCCCATGCGGAAAATGTGAAAAATGTTGGGAAAGTTTTTAATAATTTTGGGTTTTCGAGTCCAACGCTGCAAAAATGGTTCAAGATATACAAAACTATGTATTAGAAATGTATTTCTCTTTAAATGATCTAAAAAAAATCCGCGACGCTATATGTCTATCTTAAGAGATTAACTTGCAAAAACGATGGAAAGAGACGCGACCGACGTCGTGGGTAACCTGGGTCTTAAGCTTATAAAGAAGAAAGAGTTTGCAAAAACGAATTTGGAGGCCCAAAATAAATATTCTTAGTGGACGAAGTCGCTGGCACAGTTAGTTATTGTATATTTGTACGTATGTATCTTACTCGGGTTAGAGCCAGCTAGCTCCTCGGGCTCCAAAGCACATCGTGGGGCCGATGCCCTTACGAGGCACTCTTAGTCTAGTCGCAAACGTATTATGGCCTCCAGACTGGGTGGAAAGGTCTAAGATTTCAACCTTCTCATATTTACAGCACGTGCCTTTAGTATAATAAATTATCATACACAATACAGTTACGAATTAGCATAATTCATTGCAAATTACAAAGTTTCAAGTCCAAATTTATAATTTCCATATTCTAGTGACCTATGTAGATTTAGATCATTTTGGATAGTAACCACCTCTGTAGCTTAATGTAATGGTTAAACGCGTTAAGTACTGCGTTAAAAACAAGAGGTCCTGGTTCGAATCACGGAACAAAAAAATATTTCAGTCGGGCAAAACACGAACACATATTATATATCGTCTGTACACATGCACTATTTTTATGCTAGAGGAAGATAGAGAAGAATGGGGTTCTCGTGATGCAAGGTGATATACCCCAGCCAAAAACACCTAAACTAAATGCGCTGTCGACTTATTTCGGCTTTGGATATCTGGAAATCCGAACACTGAAACCGAAACGCGATTAAACTTGACCTTAATGAGCAGTAACAAGTGTAACATGTGTTTTTCTGTGCCCTAGTAGTAAATACATTTTTCTTTCTTTCTTTCTTCTTTCTTCAGTAAGGTTGAAATTACAAATAACTTTTCTTTCAGTTATTCGACCGATTGAAGAGGGAAAAGCCTGGTGTTTTTGAGACCAAAGTCGTTTTTATTGGAGGCGATATCAGTGCACCGGGATTAGGTAAATATAGACAATAATTTGTGGTCTTAAACTTTTATCATATTTTTTCTAAATGTAGACCCAACGTCGTATGTCGCTAGTACAAGGCTATACCACTATAACTCTCTTCTCAATTTGGCTATGAGCTAAAAAGCTGTAGCTTAATTCACGAGTAACGCTTTTTTCTGGAAAGCTGTAGCTTATTTTATGAATGTCGTTCATAATTATTTTACCGAAGAAAAATTGTGATTTTGTTCATTAATAATATAATACACTAGCTGTGTCAGCGACTTCGGATTTTGAAAACCTCTACATCTTTATAAATTTAAGCCGCCTACGGTCGCATCTCGTCGTTCTTGCAAGTCGATCTTAAAAGATAGACATATAGTATTGCGGACAGTTTTTGAGATCATTAAAAAAAAAATCATTCTTTCATACATAGTTTTTTCATAAGAGTATCTAAAACCGTTTTCGCATCGTACGCATCGGAAACTTTTTCCCCGTTTTTTTTTTACATTTCCCGCTGCTTCTTCTTATTACATCGCAATGTGTTATAACCTTCCTCAATAAATGCTTTAACCAACACAAAAATAATTTTTCAATTCGAATCCTACTGTTTCCTGAGATTAGCGCGTTCAAACAAACAAAAAAACTCTTCAGTTTTAGTATAGATTAGATTTGTTATTTTAGGTCATTTATTGATAGATCTTTATTATTATTGCAGGTATTTCAGATGAAGACAGAGCTTTGCTGATAAACAATGTAAACATTGTGTTTCATGTTGCTGCTAGTGTAAGGTAAAAATAAGCTACATTTTTCAGGGTTCCGTACCTCGCGAACGGACCTATTGACGAGATCGCTAATCTAATGGCAGTAACGTATTCATAGTCGTGGATTCAATCCCCACCAAATCTCTATGTTCCTCATCTATTTCTATATTTCTGAAAGTCTTCGTCTGGAAGTCTGGGTATAAAATGGGTGGTGAAATTAATACCACCGTATAGAAAAGCCATGAAGTGTAATCTCGTTTCGGTTTCAGTCTGCGCATTGCCGAAGAACCAAAGCCAACATAGGTCGATAGCGCATCTTGTTTAGATGTTATATGGCTGGGGTATTTTACATTCCATCAAGTGTAACCCATGCTTGCAATCTATGTAATGCCAATGTTCAATAACGTATGAAAGATAATAACATTTTTGTAATAGTACTGAATCGAATAAATTGTGTAAGGCTTTCAGCATATCATTGTCTTTCGGGCTGTTCGGCCGACGTGAGCGAGAGGTTCTCGACGTTTCGTCATCACGAGCACAACGTCTCCTGATGATGGCGAACGTCGAGGACAGTCCGAAGAACAACGATATGCAGTACTGAATCGTTCGAGCTTCTCTGCCCTTCAATCTAATATATAAAATTCTCGTGTCACAGTTTTCGTTGCCATACTCCTCTGAAACGGCTTGACCGATTTTGATGAATTTTTTTGTGGTCATGCGGTATCTATGAGAATCGGCCAACATCTATTTTTTATCCACCTAAATGTTAGTGGTAGTCCACCCCTATTTTCTTTTTATTGTTTAGACAAAATTTTTAATTTCAATTTTTTTATGATACATCATACAAAAATACATACATCCTCGATTTTCACCCTTCTACGATCATATTATAAAATTATTTTTATGGAAAACACGTTTCCGCGTCGGCTAGTATTTATATATAAATGTAGACTAATTTGAACCGTTTCAGATTCGACGACAGCCTAGATTATGCAGCGACACTTAACTTACGTGGAACCAAAGAAATGGTTGATCTAGCGACTGAAATGGTTCGTTTGGAAGTAAGTGCAAGTGTTATGTTATCTAATAACTAGTTGTTGTCAGCGACTTCGTCCGGGAGAATCGTTATTTTGGGCCTCCAAATTCTTTTTTACAAACTCCTTCATCTTAATGAACTTAAGCTGTTACCCACGAGATCAGTCGCGTCCCTACTTAAATCATCCTTTCAGAAATTTATTTGGGTATCTTGAACCGTTTTTGCAGCGTACGCTTCGGAAAACCCACAGTGATGAATAATTTTCCCATTTTTTCACATTTCCCGCTGTATCTTGTCTCGTATTAGTCACAGGGCGATTCGATGTATGGAATTTTACTTATGTCGTAAGTGTCAATCACTAGAATTAAAGAAACAATAAAATAAAAAACATCACGTGTCACAGTACCACCACAGTCTCTCAGAACTCCTCCGAAATGCTTCAACCATTTTTTTTAATGATTTAAACTACGGCCCGACGAGTGCATTGCAGAAGCGTTGGTCACGTGGGGACACATAATTTAATATATTTCGCGTTTTAAACCGTCAAATGTGTATTATTTGAATGTATACTACTCGTTTGAACTACTTATAATCTCAGACACCCTGTTGTAATTTTACTTTCAGAGTTTCGTTCACGTATCGACAGGTTACTCGAACAAGAACGACGGGCGCATAGACGAGATCATATATCCCCCCCATGCAGACTGGAGGGACACTATCAACGTATGCGAAAACTTCGACAAACGTACTCTAGAGATACTGACACCCAAGTAAGCCTAAGCAAATAATAAAGTAATAATCGAGTATAAATTTAAATAAAAAATTTAAATCGTGTACACATTTAAATGAAACACTTAATTAGTAATACTAATTTGACAATTATTTTTTAACCGTCCGAAAGTCGTCGTCGCAACGTCAGGCCGAAGTTAAAAATAATTTTCAAATAAGTTAACTAACACATATCGCGTTTTAAACCGTTTAAGTGTTTCATTTAAACGTGTACTACTCGCGTAAACTATAGACAGTATTTAATCGTGTACAATATTTATCTCAAATTAAGTATCTTTCTTTATGAAACTGCATATGAAGCAAAGTTACCTGAGCGACAGAGTCTGCAAAACACGATAAAAAAAAACAACTAAACAACTCTGTGTAAAAACTAAATTACTTAATTTAAATTAAAAATCGATTATAAATTAAAAAAAAATAACAAGTTGTTTTTTTAGTTGTAACAGAAGACGTACAGTGCATTTTTTTCTAATTTGGCAAAAGACCACAGCAAATATGGCCGATTTTAAACCATAGAGATTTAGTGATGCCCCTTTATCAGTGTAGTGATTGCCAAAGATAACATTGGATTAAAGAAATGTCCATTATATATGGACCAAACGATCACAACGACTTTTTTATGTCATTATTATTTAACATGACTTTTGTAGAGCTTTTCAGCGATCGAGCGTGACTGGGACTGCCTTCTATTGTCGTTAGCTATGCCTACATCCCATCCTTATTTAAATGTCAAACTAGAGTTAATGATTTATTTAACGAATATTTTTTTACTTATAGATACCTTGGAAATTCAGCGAACACCTATGTTTTTACGAAACAACTGGCCGAGCATGTAATTTACGAGCAGAGAGGAAAATTACCCATTGTCATAACCAGGCCTTCGATTGGTATGTTTATATATTACTCGCTGATTGCGGTAGTTTGCAAGATTCATATTACTTTGTTGATACGGCTCTATCAAATCTTTGTTAATAATGCATGATTTTCCACGAAATTTAATTACTATAAAACGTTTCTTGCGAGTTAATCTTAATATTTTTTTACGTTAGAATGTCATTCTGTTACATATAGTTTGCTCTCTTGAACCGTTATTGTAGCCCACGCATTTCCGTGTACTGCTTCACACCGTGACGTAATATGCCTTCCTCGATTACTGGTGAAACAAACACAGAAATCTTTTTTTTTTTAATTTCAACCCGAAATTAACGCATTTAAACAAACGAACCCTTCAGCTTTATAATATTAAGTATAGATAAAAACATAATAAGACTTTATATTTTTTTAATATCATCAATAATTATAAAAACTATATAATATCTTTCTAAATACGAAGCAAAAAAAATTTCAGAAAATAAATGTAAAAACCGTTATTGCTTCAATAAAACTAATGTACAATTTTATATGAAAAATATTTCGTAATTAAAAATTGTCTTCAAAGAGGTTAAAGATTTAATTTAAGGTATTCTTTTGGGTCTCTAGTAGGTTAGATCTCTTTAGTAGTCCACTATTAAGTCCAGGTTTTAGACAGTTTTGCTTACTATGGAGTAATTTTTTGTGGGTCGTTGACTCATACTGGCATTTCAAAGGACGTTTTCCTTTTGCGCTCATCAACTATACTTTTTATTATAATAGAGAAGGACAGACAGGGGGTTACTTGATAGTAGATGTAATAACCCAGACATATTCTGGCTTTGGACATACGGAAATCTACAAACTGAAACGCAAAGCATCAAGACTTTTTCATCTGACGACGTTCATCTAAAATATAATTACAGTCAACAAGCATTTCGCAAAGATATTTAAATACTTAAGACGATACAATTGATTGGTATAGTGTGTTTGTATGTGTCTTTTGTAATAACCTTTTTTAAGAAAAAATGTTTATTTTATACAATTATAAATTTACAGTTGTATCAACACATAGCGAACCAATAGCTGGCTGGACTGCTAACTTCAACGGACCGGTTGGTTTATGTATTGGCATAGGAAAAGGTATATATATTTCACTAGCTTGTATCTGCGACTTCGTACGCGTAGAGTTATTTAGGGCATCAAAATTGCTACGTGCAAACCTCCTGTTCTATAAGTTTAGACTGTAACCCGCGATGTCATTCTTGCGAGTTAACCTTAAAAGATATTCTGTCTCGGACATTTTCTTTGATTTGTAGAAGAAATATTACTTATTTGTCTTTGGGTATCTTGAACCGTTAAGTGTGAAATATTTCTCCTTTTTTTTCCGCTGTTACTTGCATTGGATGAACTTAATTTTTTTCACATCTTATATAAATTACAAATCGATTTTAGATCGGAAAAATTGTACGACTCGGCATCCACAGCGCTCCGTGCTGTTTCTCTTACCATTTGAGCTACCGTGTCCTAATCGTTATCGTCGATTCTTTTTATCTAAAATCGATTTTTAATTTATTTTGCTATTTTTCACCTGCCAGGTCTTGTCCGCACGCTATACGCTGAGCCGAACTTGACGTCCGATTTTATACCAGTTGACTACGCGATCAGACACTTCATAGCTGCTGCCTGGATCAGAGGAACGAAGAAGTAAGTGGATAGAGCCAATTGCTGAAACCGAATCGCTTTTATTTCACTACACAGGGAATTTAAATATGAGACTTCGGTTAGGTTAGTACTGTGCCCAACAATGCGCGAGTGAAAAAGACAACTACATGAATACTACGTTAATTAAAACATTCGCTCCTTGAAAGTTGGCATTTTGAAAAGTGTCATTCTAAAAGGAAGACCAAACGTAAAGTTGGCAACGGTTAGGTTTTAAAATAATTCAAATCAAAGTTACACATAGAAAGGAGTTAAGATTTTTGCATACCTTTCTTTAATATAGAGAAGGACAGACAAGCCTGAGCGATGGAGGGTGAAATATCAGCCATAGAACGCCTTAACAAGATGTGCTGTCGACGTATTTTTGCTTTGGATATTCGGAAATCCACAGAGAACCGAAACGCGGTGGCTCGCGGCCCGGACAGAATTTCGATATTTCAATATACAGCAGTCCAAACAAAGTTCAACGAAATTTAGATAAATTTTAAAAACATGTTGAAGTCGGTGGAGAAACGAACCCACGTTCCATTGATTATTAGCCACACATTCCTACCACACATTCCACTATTGAAATACCTACCGACGAATCCGTACAATTATTATTGAAGGGCAAAACACCGTATTTTAGGCATCGGAGCCCTCTTATATATTTATTTCACTTGTAGCAATAAAAATACATGGTTTGAGAAAATCTTAACTCTCCAGCTAAATACTTAGCAATGCCCCGTTTTCTCTCTTTGGGTACGGCATTCTAAAATCCCTTAATTCCACAGACTAGAAGCAAGCGACGAAATTCCTGTCTACCACTGCTGTGCTGGCAATCTTAAGGCGGTCACAACGAGGGAAGTAGCTCAAATTGGCCGCAACTTTATTTTCGATGTTCCTCTGAACGATAACCTTTGGGGCGTTAGCGAGACCTTAACATCGAACGTGTTTATATACTACTTGTGTGTAAGTATTTTGATAATTCATCATATCCTTTTCATCAATCTTTCTGGTAATCTGGCTATTGAATGGGCAGGACTATAGAAATTTCGTTATGGTCACGAACCACCGTCCAATAATGAAAAAACCGGAAGCTTAATCGCTTATCGGTTTCAGTCTGTAGATTTCCAAATATCCAAAGTCAAAATAGGTCGACAACGCATCGTGTTTAGATGATATAGGCTGGGCTATATCACCTACCATCAAGGGAACCCCATGCTATGTCTGCCCTCCTCTAGCATTAAAAAATAAGTTTTAGTTAATGATAATGATGAAGCTACCTTTTCTTTTCAGGTAATATTTAGCCACTTATTGCCAGCAGTATTCATTGATCTTATCCTAAGATTACTTGGGAAAAAACCAATGTGAGTAAAGAATCCATTTTTAGATATTTACAAAAATATAATTATATGGTTCTCGACGTTTTTATGCTAAATTCCTTGACTGAGCGCTAACCGACAGCTCAAATCCCAAGTAGCTTTGCAAAATAGCCGCAAAACGTCCTGCGATTGTAAAATTTATGAGGTCTAAAATAATAATATTGACATTACTTTAAGACACACCCTCGGTGTCTATAAATCTAGTAAACCCGAAGGTGTGAATCAATAATATAAATCACTGCAGCTTAGATGTAAACGCTGCACCTATGAATGTCCTAGTCCACTGCTGGACTAGAACTCAGGGCTCTTATCTCATAGAAAAGAGGTTATGAGGGATAATGACCCAGGAACGATGGCTTAACGTGTTCTCCAAAGAACGAGGCAATGTACCGTCGTTAAAAAAAAACATAATTAAATTGGTACTCATTAATTCATTCTTCTTATTTAAAAGAGAAGTTCGTCCTTTTGAGTCGATTCTCCGTATTATCGATAATCTCCTCTTATTTGTCGCTAAACGTAAAAACTATGTCTTTCATGATTCTGTCACCGTCAAAGCATTCCGCTTTTAGAATTCTCTCATTACCAATATCATAACAGCTCAATCTCTCCGTTTTTTCAATACTACGCCTTTTAAATATTATCTTTCTAACTCTTAAATTAGTTTCGCTTTTACAAAGTACTTTTTCGTACCTTTTTGTTTATTATTCCGTCCACCTACCCACTTATTAAGCCATTGTTTTATTATTCCTTTTCCTGTACTGTAGGTTGCCTGGAAGAGATCGCTGCTTAGCGATAAGGCCTTATATTTAAAAGTTAGTACGTAAGTTTTTATCTCTTGTTGTCTTTCTGGTAAATATTATGATAGTAAAACTGTAATAAGTAAATATATTGGCAGCCTTAACTAAAGAAAGGAGGCACTTTGTAAGTTATATTAAATTCCAAATAGTTCCAGAGTATTTCTTTGTGTGTTAACGAATTGTCCTTCATTTTTTTGTTTCACCGAAGAAATTGAAAAATTACGCGCATCCTGCGCATACGCCAGCGTTGCGTTCAAAATGCGTTATTAATTATTTTAAAACGTAATGTTACCACACTTCATTCTAAACTTTGAGTTGATGCTAAAATAATCTTGTAAAATTCCGAATAAAAATTTTATGAGGCCATTATCCGCAGGAATCCACTAAAGCTAGTTTTTTTTAATGGTAGGGGACAGACGTGACATGGGGTTCTCTTGATAGTAGGTGATATATCCCAGCCTATAGCCTCTAACCAAGATGCGCTGTCGCCCTATTTTGGCTTTGGATATTCGGAAATCCACAGACTGAAACCGAAACGCGATTAAGCTTCACGGCTTTTTCATCTGTGGACGGTGGTTCGTGACCCGGACGGAATTTCAATATTCCTACAACCCACTTAATATCCAGATATCCAGACGAAGTCCAGCATGTGTCGTGAAAATTATAAATTGAAAAATTGGAAACATGATGGACTTGGGGATCCATTAGACCAGCGAGCTCGTCACAGTCTAAGGATGTTTAGCTAGTTCTGACAACTTTCAGGTTAGTGAAAATACAGCGACGCATCTACAACGTTCAAATGGCTTTGAAGACTTTTACGCTGCACCAATGGTCATTTATAAATAGCAATTTCGTGAAACTACGTTCAGTGATCAAGGGAGCGGACAGGAACGAGTTCAATTACCCGATGGAGGATGTAGATGAAGTGGAATTCTTCAGGAATAGTACGATTGGTGCAAGACGATTCCTTTTGAAGGAAAAGGACGAAGATTATCCAAAAGCGAGGAAGCAAATAAGACTGTGAGTATTTCAATCGCGGAATTCATAGATTCATGCTTAGCTCAGTTGTATGTAACTTTTGTATAACGTCAATTTGAAACCAACACTAAAACTTATTCCCATGGAAAAGATGAAGAAAAAGTAAAGAAAACTTATATATAATAAACCAATACAATTAAAATTCTCTTTTACACACACGCTAACTTGGTCGAGTCTTTGAACATATATAATTTGACCAAAACTGTATAAATGTTTCGAATTCTTCAATGATATTATTGACTAGCTGTGTCAGCGACATCGTCCGCGTACAATAGTTATTTCGGGCATCTAAATTTATTTTTTAAATGAAACACTTTAACGGTTTAAAACACGATATATTAGTATTATTAGTTTATTCGGAAATGATTTTTAACTTCGGCCCGACGTTTCGGACGCTTTGTGCTGACTGTGAGACTGTCTCCCCGTGACCACGGCTGCTACAAAGCATCCGAAACGTCGGGCCGAAGTTAAAAATCATTTCTAAATAAGTTTAACTAATATATCGCGTTTTAAACCGTTAAAGTATTTTATTTAAATGTGTACTACTCGCGGAAACTATAGACAGTATTTAAATTTATTTTTTCAATTACCCGTGACGTGGGTCGCGTCCCGTCGTTCTTGCAAGTTAACTTTAAAAGATGGGCACATAGTGTCGCTGACATTGTTTATAACATTTAAAGAGGAATTATACTTACTTGTATAATTTTTAGGTATTTCGCAGCGTACGTTTTTTTTCAATCTCTTATTACTGTTTCAGAATGACACTGTGTCAAACCATAACGTACTATGGTTTCATGGCGTATGTCTTATGGCTGGTGTGGAACAATAACGTCGTGCAAAATTACATCCAGGATATATTATTATAAAACATCGATTAGTTTAAATTAAAAAGCTTTTTCGATTGAAAACTTAAATTGGCATCCACAGCGCTCTGTGCTGAACTAACCGACTAGAAAAAAAAACAAAAATAATTTAAATGAAACACTGTAACGGTTTGAAACTAATACGTATCGAGTTTTACGCCGTTAAAGTGTTTTATCTAAATTAAAAATCATTTTAGCCGGGATCCCTGCTGAAATTTATCCGACTACCCTCACTACTACTACACGAAGACACGCTGACTCAATTGTTTACGCCAGAGGCAGGGATCACTGTGGATGTTGGTTCGAATCCCATCCGGTACATTTTTTAATCTATATAGATTTTCAATTTAAACAAACCTTATGTAAACGCTTCTACTTTAACTTATGTGTGTTGTTAAGTAATTTTACAGATAAATAGCTATATTTTAAAGAAATGTACTTAAAAAACATGTTGGTAATCTCAGCCACCATCTCAGCCAATCTTCTCATCTCTGTATTTAATTTCTTCATAACCAAATTTTGAGTGTTTTCTGTATACTTGCTAACGAACCTAGTCTGATTTTCAACATTAAACTTGTGTTGTTGATATACATACCTGTGTAATGAGTATATTTTTTATATTGTTCATTTGTTTTAATCTGTTATCTAATAAAATTATATAAAAGTTTAATCCCAAATCTGTTTTAATCAGTCGTATAATTAATTTAAAAATAAAATTAAGGAAACAATAAAACGCTTTTTTAACATACTTTGTAGAACTTTAATTCAAAACACCATCAATTTACAAATACGATATTTTCTCATTAAGAATAGTAAAAAAAAAACAATTTAGCGCTCCGCGACCACATTCAAATCGAACGGTATAAAACGCGATATTCGTCAATCCGCTGCACGGCTGATGCAAAGCATCCGAAACGTCGAGCCGTAGTTAAAGTAATTTTGAAATAAGTTTGTGTAATATATATCGCGTTTATTTAAATGTGTAATACTCGCGTAAATTACATACAGTATGTGACCACATTGAAAATACTAGAATATTTATTTAGCACACTTTCTTTCTCTTCATCGTGAAAGAAAGAGCGAATTGTCGTTCCTGTTCTTTCTATTTATAGCCCAACCAAGAAGTTGTATAACCACGTTACTGCAGAGAAGAGAATGTCTCGACTATAGATGTACCACGCGACAAGACCGTATGCTATGACCTTTACAGCTTTGTCTAAAATCACCATTCTGAAATAAAATAATGTAATATGAAATCTCATATCTCACGTGGAGAGGACAATTTCTGTGTCATTGATAAATTTTATTTGTTGGCTCGAAAATCGTTATTTATTGGGCCGAAACAATCTTTCAGGATTTTAAAAGTACGAACCTAGGACTTTGTAGCATGTGTTAAACATAGATGTTCAGGTTTTATTAGCTAAGGCGATAAACAAAAAAGTTTTATTTAATAACAGCTGTCTTGCTTATAAATAGAAAAAAATCTATGACAAAATCTATTTATCAGAAATTGCAAAATTTCATGTGTAAATAAAACACTTTAACTGTTTAAAACGCGATATATATTTGTTGAACTGGTCTGGTCTGGTCGGGATCTCCCCGTGACACAGCTGCAAAGCATCCGAAACGTCGGGCCGTAGTTAAATAATTTTTAAGTTTAACTAATATATATCGCGTTTTACATCTTTAAAGTATTCTATATAAATGTGTACTACTCGCGTAAACTGCAGACAGCGTTACCTTTCATAGTGGGCTCTAGCCTTCGGTAGATCCTCCAGTTTCTCCTTCAAAATAAACACCTTGCCAGCCATACAGCTCGTCTTGAAGTATTTCAGTCTGTCTACTGTCTCCATTTCGTAGTAGAATTCCCCTTTATCCTCCAGCTTAATCGTATCTCTTAGTGCCAGGATATTTTTATTGAGGAACGTCCATTGCTGCGTTAGGTAGTAGTTTAAAGCTATATTCGCTACGTAGATGCGTCGCTGTAACTTAACGAGCCTAAAAATACCAATGACACTTTATAATCAATCATTATCTGTAAGAGCCAGAGTGGCCTAATAAGAAAAAACATGAAATCCAATAAGGAGGAAAATAAACATGCGCAATCAAGTAAGGCAAAAATGAATTTGCACTATTTTTTGTGTAACAGTCCCAACAGTGGGAGTTCGAAAGCCCTGATATATATGACATAAATTGTAAAAAACTTACATAGGCTGTTTCCCAACTATCCGTAATATGATATCAACTAGTATAGCAGGTAGAAGGTGTAAGATAAGAACCTAAAAACAAGATTGGAAATAATATAGATTACCAGAGAAAAACATTGTATCGCCACCGGTAATTAGTCAAATAATAATTTATTAAATTCCGACTGCCTCTGTAGCTAAATGGTTAGACGTCGTGCATTGCGTTAATTGCTTGTCGGGCAGGGCAGATAAGTCTGATCAACTACTTGCTTGTAAAAGAGCTGATCACTGAAACGGACACAGAAATGTGTACGCCCCATGCTCCATGAGAGGAAACGGGATCTATTATTCTCACTCTATTATTTAATCAGTACGTATACAATTGATATAGGTTATAAATAATATATAGATGTCAGACTAAGTTATTTTTGTCCTCGTAGTAACGGCGCAACAACATTGGATATCGGATACTAGTTTTGTGTTGTAAATTTCAGCGATTAGATTTGTATAGAAAAATATTAAATAAAGTACTTTTTAGTTACATAATGTACAATTTAATTTTTAATCACGGCTCGACGTTTTAAAATTGTTCAATTTCTTTTCGATTTTCAATTTATATACAGCCATCGTGTGCGTGTGCGAAAAATATGAAAGTTTTCAAACATATAAACCGTGTTTTAGTTAAATATGTACTCGCGTAAATAAACTACAGACATTAAATTGACTTTAACTTTGGTCAAAATTTAACTTCGTTTTTGGAAATACTTTTATTATAAACGCAATGAACTGTTAAATTGTATGAATATATTTTATTATTTTTCTTTCGGTGAAAAGGGAGATAGACCCGATTGGGCCATACCTTTAAATTATACTCCAGTCTAGACTTGGTGACGCCACCATCGCTGATCCACAGCATGTTATCGAGTGGTACTTCCTTCAGGATCTCCTTTCCGTGTTCTATGATCTCTCCTATCGTCATTGTCTTCATGTGGCTGGTGGAACAGTGGTAGACTTCTACATCGTCTGTGGGCTCCAATCTAAAAAAAATGGAGAACAAAAAAAATATGAAACTTTATATCATTTATATGTTTGTAAAGAGGTATTTTCTTTAATGATAGAGTAGAGTAGCCCGACGTTTCGGATGCTTTGCAGCAGCCGTGGTCACGGGGAGACAGTCTCACAGTCAGCACAAAGCATCCGAAACGTCGGGCCGAAGTTAAAAATCATTTTCAAATAAGTTTAACTAATATATCGCGTTTTAAACCGTTAAAGTGTTTTATTTAAATGTGTACTAGTCGCGTAAACTATAGACAGTATTTAAGTTAAACTTATTCAAAAATTATTTTAACGGCCCGACGTTACGGATGCTTTGCCGCAGTGGTCACAGGGAGACAAAAGTACAACCAAAATATTTCGTATTTTAAACCGTCAATTGTTTTACTTAAGAGTTTTAAATTATTTACTGACAAATAGTTAACTAGACTTCGGTGACCAGTAAACTTCAAGTATTATTATATTATTCTATCTCCGGGATTTGAACCCACGAAATAGTGAGCTTAGTGCGTTGAAGGTTTGTGTCATGGTCGGCCACGTCCTCCTAAACGGCTCAACCCATTTTAATCTTGATCTTTAGTTATTAATAAGGCAGTAGTGTTAGCCAAGTTATGTATTTTAACTCACTTTTTCGACCCTCTCAGCCAAGAGCCGACGATAAACATTTTAATCGCGACGTCCACTGGCATATAGTCCGCCACCAGATCCGGGTCTGAATATACACTTCGTAGAATACCTAAAACATGAAGCGGTATTGCTTTATATCAGACGAAAACAGACAAGACTTAGTGTAGTTTGAAATTTCCCTAGTATTAAAGCATCTATTTAACCGAAACCCGAATGAAATTAAGATATTTCCACCACCTTTATAATATCCAGCTTTTCCAGAAAGGAACTCTCAGGTTTTTGAAGTGAGAAAACGGTTTTAACGCGGTGGAAATCAAACCTACGAACCGTTACTTAATATCGCTTCGTCAACAAGCGCGAGTTGTTAAATTACGTTAATGTTTTAAATAACGAACGTCTTACCTTTGCCACTTGCTATAAGAATCCCGACAGGTCCGTTCAAATTTTCTATCCAACCCGGTACTGGCTCTTGAATTGATGAAATTACTAGAAATAAAATGAGATTGCTTAGTAACGGTTTAAAACGAAGAACATAGGTCATGGGAACTTCAATTAATTTTTTAGCCTTGGTGAATATTTTCAGAAAATACAGACATAATAGAATCAACTTGTCACCATTTGTACAAATCAAAGGCAATAACAAGATCAAACCGTCTTTATTAGTAATACCATTATCTATATCAATATATAAAGCTGAAGAGTTGTGTTTGTTTGAACGTCTCGACACCTACTGGTTTGAATTGAAAAATACTGGTTTGTGTTGGTTAGAACATATACCGAGGGAGGCTATATCGCGCTGGGGCCTATAAGAGTGAAGAAACAGCGGGGACTGGAGAAATTATTCATCTTAGAGGGTTCCGTACGCTGCAAGAATGGTTCAAGATACCCAAAAAATATGTATGAAAGAATTATTTCTCTTTAAAGAATCTAAAAAAATGTCCGCGATATTACGTTTATCTATAAAGATTAACTTGCAAGAACGACGGGACGCGAACGACGTGGTGGGTAACAGCTTATATTTATAAAGAATAGGAGGAGGTTTGCAAAAACAAATTTGGATGCCCAAAGAATTTCTACTCTATTCTCCGAGACGAAGTCGCTAACACGGCTAGTACCTATGTAAATATATTGTTTGTGTGCATCGCAGCATAAGAGATACTGAATTTGAATTCTGGGGGTAAAATACGACTTACGGTCGGCCAGGGCACAGTCTGAGTAAATTGGATATCACCAAGGTCTTTTTATATATTATTTTGTGGATTCATTTGTTTCTTAAACAATAATGACTAACCTATAGATGGCCTCATGATAATTATCGGAAGTTTTCCCCTCTCTTCATACACTACGTGTTCCGCCAGCTGTTTTGTGAAAACATATGTGTTTGGTAGTTCGCCGAGATATCTAGAAAAATAAGAGAACACTTGTTAGTGCAAAGTAAGGATTTTTCTTTGTTTTTTTTCGTCAGAGGACGACAAACAAGCTAAATTTTGTTTCCAGATATCTACAATACCATTTTCCCAATTACCCATTATGTGTTTGAAAAAAACTACATACTAATAAACACCCATACCTATGTTATATATTATAACTAGCACATGTTTGTTTTTTGATTACGACTAAAACCACACCTGCTTTTAAATAAAAAACTATATGATATACATATAAAAAAACTCTAAAATCTTTGCGATGCAACTATGCAATAATCACACAATCACAGCACGAAATAATAACTTCGATTGAGTAATTTGACATCTAATTTTTATGTAAACGGCACATAAAAAAAAATTGAATACGATCGTCGGTCAACTTTTATGTCATTTTTAAATTAAACATTTTAATTCAAAACACGATATATATTAGTAAATATTATTTTAAGGGTGTTAGAAAGCATCCGACGCGTCGGGAAAATAATTTTCAAATAAGATTAACGATCTAATACATATATCGCGTTTTAAACCATTTTATTAAAAGGTGTACTCGCGTAAACTACAGTATTTCATTATTTTATGGTGAAACGACTTCTTAATCTGTACTCACTTGGGTGTCAGACACTTGAGTGTGTTCTCATCGAGGTTTTCACACACTTCCAGGGTGTCGCGCCAGTCGGCATGAGCTGGGTAGACCACTTCGTCTATTCTATCACGATTGGTGTTCGCATATGACGTGGACACGTGAACTAAGACCTAAAAGAACGAGGAATACAATTTACCACCCATTACTTATTATTAAATAAATCATTTTTAACGGTTTCAAACGCAAACTCTATTGATTAACGAATTTCAACTAAGCATTGTCGCTCGAGTACCTACTATCCATTTAAATAAAACACTGAACAGTTTAAAACGCGAAATATATTAGCGAGCACGGCTCTTGCAAATCATGTGAAAGGTCGGGCCTTGGTAACATCAATAAAAATTTTAACTAATAAAAAATCGATTGTATTAAAAAAAATACGACACAGGCAGGATTTGAACCGCCATCCATGCTGTGTGGTGCTGTTGCTTTAACCAATTGAGCTACTATATATTTTTTGTTTAAACTGTAAAAACTACTATTAAACTACTTTATTGATTATTCAAAAGTTACTATAATAAGTACTATATTTTCAACTCTAGTTTTTAAAATATTTTGGGGTCCAATCATGTTTACAAACTGGAGGCAAGTGGGCAATTAGTAGTATACATCAATATTGACCTTAGTTACTAGTTCCAGACAAATCGTATTATGTCACGATAGTGAGAATCGACCCCTATACGTGTGAACCAAAACCATTTCTTTTAATATTTCTTTTTTACTTACCTCTAAATTTCGGATCTCTTTCGCAAGCTCAACGACCTCTTTCGTGCCTCTTAAGTTAAGCCTTGCTGCCACTTTTAAAGAATCGTCGAAACTGAAAAATATTAACATTTTTTAAAGTTACAATACCGTTATAAAGTTATAAAATCGTAATATAGTTTAAATAAAACACTTTAACGGTTTAAAACGCGATAGGGATAGGGAGTCTCCCTGTGACCACGGCTGCTGGAAAGCATCCGAAACATCGGGCCGAAGTTAAAAATAATTTTCAAATAAGTTTAACTAATATATCGCGTTTTAAACCGTTAAAGTGTTTTATTTAAATGTGTACTACTCGCGTAAACAATAGACAGTATCGTAATATAGTGTTGACGGATTTAGTTGTAAACTTGTATATAATAATAGCCTTGGTCCTATAGACCAATGGCTTATCACCAAGAGAATATAGGTCGAGTCCTATCGGGACGTAATCAGGATGTAAATAACTAAATGGGTCCGAGAAAGCAACAATACACCCCCCACAGGGGAAACGAATACTGTAAATAAATGTTTTGATTTCAGTCTGTAGTTCTCAAATGTATAAAGGCAAAATAGGTTGGTAGCGCAGATTAGATGAGTTACAGCTAAAGCCTTCCATGTTTTGAACATCCATACTTTTATTTTTAACGAGAATACTTGTTTTGCTCACCGTACACTAGCAGCGACGTGGAAAATTATGTTAGTTTTATTAACTATTAGCGTTCTATCTTCCTCGGACATACCTGTAATGATTTATAAGTGTTTTATTTAAGATCATTAGAGTTAAAAAAAAACACGTTTTAACTGTTTAAAATGCGAAATAATTTTGTTAACTAATTGAAAATTTATTTTAACTATGGGCCAACGCCACCCGTGACCGCTACTGTTGCACAGTACCTGTAATGGCATATAAGTGAACGTGTAAAGTATTCGATTAAAAATAAACACGTTTTAAACCGTTAAAACGTGTTTATTTTTTAATGAGTAGTATTCGTGAAAACTAGCGGAAATACTTGGATTTTTTAGAAAATCTAAAAAATCCTGTTCATCTATTTCAAAAAACACATTATAATTAGTATAAGGCTTTCGCGTTTATTTGCAAAGCTTCTTAGGTATTCAGATATTGTTTTTTTTTGTAGTCAATGTAGTTTTGAAAGAAAATTGTTATCGAAATTTCGTCATAACAAGTGAATGACAGCATCAGGAGATGGACGCAACCCAAATAAAGAAATTAAAAAAAAAACTTTTTTTTTATAACTACTCACCCAAACCAATTGCACTACAATCCCCAGCTATAAAGAACACTTTAGATTCAAACACCCCGGGTTTGTCTCTTCTCAATCTTGTGAAGCACTGAAAGGAAAAAATAATGTTGTGAAAAAAAAAATGGCAGCAGTTTGCTAGTTCTTATCATTCTGGTCATAAAAACAATGAGTTTAACACCGCTTTTATACATACATATTTCTGTGTCCGTTTTAATAATGGAAATTTAATTTTATTTACATATTGTAGTTGAATTTTTGCCCTATAATTATTGCTTAAGTTTTTCAGTTTAATATAGTTATCATTACTGAATTATAAAAAAATATATATTTCTTCTTTTTTGGCGAGTGTCGGTGTAATGGCAGCATGTATAGCTAATAATCAACGGGTCGTGGATTTAATGCCTACCGGTTCAAAATTATGTTTCTATTCAATTTATAATTTTTCCAAAAACGTGTCGGACTTCATCTGGAAATCTGGATGATATAGGTTCGTTATATCAGAATTCCGTCCAGGCCATGAACTACCGTCGACAAATGAAAAAGTTTAATCTCGATCCGGTTTCAGTCTGTGGATGTTCGAATAACAAAAGTCAAACAAGGTTGACAGTGCATCTTGTTTAGATGCTATATGGCTGGCGGATTTCACCTACCATCAACAAAGAGAACTTGTTTGGGCTCCCACACATAAACACGATGCGATGTCGTGTCGTATTACGGTACGACGTCGTATCGTGTAAATCTACGATGAGCATCCTAAAAAAACACTACATCGTAACGTGATGTGTTACGCTCGATACACGGCACGATGCCGACCTCTTTCTTTTGTTTTTGCATTTTTAAACTTGTATTCTTTAGATGATGTTGTCAACCATAGTACGGAATGCTGCTCGACTAGGGTAATTAAATGATCGACTTCAAAAGCATCCGTCATCTTTGAATTTTAAATATCTACTGCGCAGGATTTCATCGTGAGTTCTAACGTCACGACATCGTGCATCGACAAGTTACGATGTCGTGTTGTAGATTTCCACGTCGCGACGTCGTACCGTTGGAGCCCTAACACATCTGTTACGATGTCGTGTTTTTTAGGATGCTCATGTAGATTTACACGATACGACGCCGCATCGTTGTAGGACGCGACATCGCATCGTGTTTATGTGTTTGAGTCCTAAGTAATCCTCTATCATAAAAAAATCGTGGGAGGGCCACCATCACCACTAGTCTTGAGGAGTGGCACAAATTTTGATACTTTATTATCTCTTTTCAACAGGAATCCTTAAAATATGATACCACTGAGAACCGATATTGAACAACATCATTTCGTCACAAGGGAAAATTCACTGAGCTCTATTGTTTCAATTTTTCCCACGGTTCAAGGTGAGGTACTTATTGCGTGTTACTTGTAGTGTAATCTTGTATAATTGTCACTTTCGTATTATTTAGATCACAGAAATTTCCATCAGCAAGCCACAGGACTCACGGTCTTATTAAATCTTTTGATATCTTTACTTAGCACACCTTCTTATTAACATAGTGGCTTGAGTATTTTTTTAATATGGCAATAAAATATATTCGGTGGATATTCAGCCATCTTGTGCTTTGTAATAAAAAGGCGGGAATAGCGATGTTATGGTGTAACTTGTATTGTGAATGATTAAAGCCTGATCAAGTCTACATGTTTTTTATTTAATTCACATCACATAGAAATCACAGATAGGCAAAGGACATTGATGGAAGGTGTAATACCCCAGCCAGAAAATATTCAAAAAAGATTCAATATCAACCTATTTTGAGTTTAACTTTCGGCATAGACTTACCAAAACGCCAGTCGTCTTTTCATCTGTGGACGATTGTTGGTGACCAGGACGAATTATCGGTATCACCAATTCAATATTAGGATTTACCAGACGAGGTCCAACGGGTCTCAGAAAAATTATAAGTTGATTAGAAACATGCCGGATGGGGATAGAATCCACGATCCGTTGCTTACTAGCAATACATTGCTACCAACGAGCTCGTAAAATCGTAAAATAGTCTAACATTCACCAATATTCCATCACTTACTTCAGAAGCATACAGAGCAGCAAGACGATCTTCCGGCTTAACACCCTTCTTACTCCTCAGCAAGACATAGATTCTGTCTAGATCTGTGCAAGAGTACAGGAGTTTCTCTATCAGCACTTTTCCCATGAATCCTGGAATATTAAAAAAATATATGGGTACCAAGTATTAGACCACTGTAGCAGGTAGACATGATTCTATATTACATAAAACAGTGGAAATTGTTTGTCGTTGTCAAAAACTATGTGTGGGTGATAGAAAAATATAATAGAAGAATCTTTTTGTGATTGTCTTTAAGAAAAAAAAAACCAGTTTGGCGTTGTTTGCTTGGTGATTGTTTCATTCTTGGTTAGTTTAGGAAGGTACAGTCATTTAAAATTTGAGTTTTCGGCTAATAGATTAAAAATAAAGCTTTTGTCCTCAAACATTTCTATACACTATGAAATACACTAGTATTATATTGGTATAAGTTTACAAAACAGTCTTTCTATATCAGTGGCTTAGGTTAATAATTATGAATTATTATAATTGGTCTTCGCGCGCCACGGCTCAAATAGTCGACGAACTTGAAAAATGACAACATCGAACATTTTCCCCATTGATCGGGAAACAGTCAAGTAGCGGGCAACACCATTATCGACTCCACAACTACGAATCATTGCGTATTGTTTTACGCACACTAAAATATTGAGTTGCCGTATTTAAGAATCCGTTTTGTCTTTAGGCCGCGATCTATAGTCGTTGCGCGCAGAGACCAAACATTAATTTAAGTAAGTGATAAAGCAAGATTTATAGATTTCTCTTTCATAATAGAATAACATCTTACCAGATCCGCCAGTAATGAAAATCGTTTTTCCTCTGTAATAATCTTTAATGCTTGGACGGTCGCCATCTTGCTCTTCCAGGAAGCCCATTGTATGGCTAAAAGAACGACAATATGTTTATATATACGATCTTTAAGACGGAAACTGTGGAACAGACAGACCATACATTGCTACCATTCCACTAAGATTAGTTCGGCAATTTCGGTCTACCCGAAGCCGAACGTCGTCTTTTGTCCGAAGCCGACCTATCAGTCGGACTGTAACAATTCTACTTTGGTAAACTTTGAGAATCACATGCACATAGGTATGGATAATTAATTTTTCGTACAAGATTTGGTATTTTTCCAATAACAATGGAATAATATTACCCTTCCGACCCAGCTGAGTTAATGACGTATTATTAATTAGATTCTTAACACCTTTAGCATATATTACTTCGTTGATTTATTTTGACGGGACTGTCCTCATCTATCATAAAAAGTATTTCTGAACTGGTATTTGTTTTTTTTTTAAATAAATGTGAGTGAGCTAGACGGATGTTAAAGAACTGTTGCGCGATGTTATGTAGCAGAAATGATAGCCACCGTCAAATGTGGAGCATGTCTGAAAATCAACGTTACTTTAAAGGGCAATAAAATCTACAAGTAATTATTTTGTGTGTTTTATTTATTTTTGAATACCGTATGAGATATAGATCATCAGCATATTTTAAATTAAATTCGGTTTCAGATACGAACCGACAAATCGACTTCGGCTTGACCAATTTCCGACCGATTGCAAATTGTATCCGTTATCAGGTAGTACGGTAACGCAGGACACAAATACAAATACTGTAGTTTACGCGAGTAGTACACATTTAAATATAAAACACTTTAACGGTTTAAAACGCAATATATTGTAATTAAACTTGTTGACGGGGAGACAGTGACCACGGCTGTTGCGAAGCATCCGAAACGTCGGGCCGTAGTTAAAAATAATTTTCCAACAAGTGTAATAATAATAGCTATCTCTTCCAAGAAACGCGATGGAGACGAAAAGAGTAAGAAAAGAGGTATACGGTAGACACTAATAGTAGATTAACGTGGTCTAACGAGCAATATTGATAGTCATTGTAAGGAATTATCTTATTGTTGGAAGTTAGTGCACATCCGGAGTAGACTTGTAATTAGAGAGATTAAATTGAACATATACAATTTATATATCCTATATGACAGAGGAGGAAATACGATTATGAAAGGTGAAATACACGACGAGAAGCACTGTCGGCCTATTTTGTACATTCGAAAATCTATGGATTAAACTTAGAGATGGGCCAAATACTCGATTGATACTCGGTACTCGTCGTACTCGGTGGGTTTTTAGATACTCGTACTCGGCCGAATAGCTCGGTTATACTTTGTTATTTGATAACTATGAATTAACATTTGATAGCTATGAATTAAGCTATCATGTCCTAGATCGGCGAATTTTTTTAACCTATTGACAGTTGTACCTTCCGCGTATTAAAAAAGTCGTTTCAACCTATAATAATCGATTTTTAATTCATATAGTGCCATCATGTGCAATAAAATATAAAAGTTTTCAAAATCTGAGCTGAGCAAAGGTTATAACATTTAGCAAGGTTGAGGTAAAACGAGATGACATTGCATTCTGTAATGTTAACCGGTACAATGTGGCTTTAAATAAAACACTTTAAACAGTTTACAATGCGAAATATATTAGTTAACATTTAAATAAAACACTTCTCCCAACCGCGCAAAGCATCCGATTCGTCGCGTAGTTAAAATTATTTCAAAATAAGTTTAATTAATATATATCACGTTTTAAACCGTTAAAGTGTTTTATTTAAATGTGTACTACTCGCGTAAACTATAGACAGTATTTAAATAATTTAGACATTAAATATATAATATTACCGTATTCTTATAGTTTGAGCCATAGGGTCTCGCCTCTGGCGCTTACAAACATCTAAGGCCTGTTGCCTTAACAACAGAATATTTTAAACAGTTTTAGTCTAAATTGAAAATACCAAAAAAAATTAGAGAGAATTAGAATGGCAACACACAACCCCATGGATCGGAAACGTCGACCCGACGACCTGACGTATACATAACATTAAACTAAGATCGTCGTCGCCCTACAACTTGGACAACCAGATAATTAAAGACTACGTTAAAGATGGCTGGTACTGCATTCTTTAAATTCGACTAAGTAAAAGATGAAGAAAGTTTTTAATCAATTCACGAAACCGAACACCGAACCCATGACCACCCTATACATTATCACCAGATCAAGGCAATACGTCAATAATTTGAATTTCAGATATAATTACGTCAATATCGTTAATGGTGTTTTATTTAAAACTATAAACAATAAACATTTTCCAATAAAAAAATAAAACTCACCAGTAACAAGACACAGAAGTTCTATTAGAACTACAAAAGAGTTCAAATCACTCTATTGAAATTCTAATTAATATATGAATAGTGATTGCGCGCGCGGCTCTGTAGTCACTGAATGATTGTCAACTTATTTACTGAGCGCTGTATCGGGGATTAGGGCGCGTTCAAACTGTATCGCCAGTAATCGCACGAGTCACTTATCCGTATCTATACTAATATATAAGCTGAAGAGTCTGTTGGTTTGTTTAAACGCGCTAATCTCAGGAACCACTTGTTCGAATTGAAAATTCTTTTTGTGTTGGTTAGAACGTTTATCGAGGAAGGCTGTAGGCTATAAAACATCGCGATGTGACTTATAGGAGCAAAGAAACAATGGAAAACTGCTCAAAGTCGCCGACACAGCTAGTATAAAATATATTTACTACGTACTGGACAAGTGATTGAACTACGCGATGAATAATATAGAGTCGATTTTCTATGTATAACAACTTTTTAAGGATATCAACAGAAGCGAAAATGAGCTTATTTGAAGCAAGTATTACAGATATTAAACAAAAAAGAACTGTTCAAAACTCCCTTCAATAAATTAAAAGTTTTATACACGTCTATATATTTTACTATTACGAATAATTCTACTATTTTTTGTGTCAACATTCTATATTCCACGGCAACACAGCGTTTTTTATGCATACATCAATAGGTTGAAAAATTCGACAATGACGTGTATCCTACACGTCATTGTCGAATTTTTATTGTACGATACGGTAGTTTATTGGTTAGAGCAACGGAACGGAACGTTGTGGATGCCAGTCCTCTTTGAGGTGTAAATTTTTTTCATTGTCAATCGATTTTTAATTGAATATTCTTATGTTTAAAAAACATCTTGGCAGCTATTGCACCAAGGACGAGAAATTACATTCTGTTTGATTCAGGCTTAACAACTTTCTGGTAAAATAACCTTACGCAGCTAACTTTTAAAACTGCCTCAAAGGTAAACGTGTTGGCGTAATTTGATATTAAAGAAAGTATTTTTCCTTATTGTGTATTAATATTATGCCAATGGCACAATAACACAGCAAGTTGGATTTATGGCTGAATCTATGTCTATCCATAATAAAGAATTACGATTTTTTTTTAATTTTATATATGTGGTTAATAATTTGTGACCATAGCCATATAGCTAATAAAATGTGCTATCGAACTAATTTGGATTTGGATTTTCGGAAACCCACAGATTGAAGCCGAAACTATCCGAACGGAATTTCAATATTCCTACCGCGCATTTAATATACAGATTTTGAAAGTCCAACGCGTGTCAGAAGAATTATATATTGTCTAGAAACACGTAGGATCCGGTGGGAAGGTGTATGCTTACACAAATATATATAGCTATAGACATATAAAGGCTTATATACAAAAAATATACCATATAAAACCATATATGTAATTGTTTGTAACGTAAAACCAGTCCACCGCAACATTAAAATTCTGAATGTCATCAACTCTATGTAACGAGAACTTTGAACTTTCAGTTTTGTTGTTTATTTTCGTTGTACTAATTAAAGAATTGAAGTTTAGGGTCTCAACCCACATCTAAAGCTATACTATAAAAGTGCAATATGAAGGCTTTTCTTGGTAGCTGTGTCAGCGACTTTGCGTAGAATTATAGCCATGTACCTAAATATGATTTTGCAAACGTCCTCTTCATCATTATAAATTTAAGGTGTTAGTCACGACGTCATTCGTCCCATCGATCTTGTAAGTTAATCTTATTCTATCACAAACATTGTATAGATCAATTAAGGGGAAATCATTTTTTCATACATATTTTTTGGGTACCTTAAACCAACGTACTCACCGGGAGCCCACAAAATAAATAATTTTCCTCGTTTTTTCCACATTTTCCGCTGTTTGTTCACAGCGCGATGTTTTATAGGCCATGGCTGTAACTAACATAGAAAAATAATTTTTTGTTCTCCATTCCAATCAGTAGTTTCCGAGATTAGCGCATCAAAAAAAACAAACAAACAAACTCTTATGGTTAATAGATTTGTATAGAGTATAGATTAAACTATTGCTGTCAAATTAGAGTTTATCTGTATTGCCAGGATATATTTGTGTGTAAAAAGATAAAAAATAAATATGAATAATATTTATAAGTTTGTTATGCACTATTTATGGGAGGATAAACCACTTCGTTACGTAACGCAATCTATTTTGCTACCTTTTCAAGTTCAATTTGTCTTTATTTATATTATTAAAAACTTTTATTATAAATGCATAGCAAACTGAGGAATGTAGGATTTATCTGAATTAGTTAACCTCTGGAAAAATACTTAGTGTTAATACCCTTTTAACACCAACGGAAAGTACGGACAGAATAGATTTAAAAAAGAACTCGGCGCTCACAGAACATATTATAAAATGTGTTATCTGTAGTTACACATTTAAATAAAACACTTTTAACGGATTAAAACGTGAACTTATTTTCACTATAACCCAACGATTCGAATACTTCACAGTAAATGTGGTCTAGAGATGGTGGTTTTCCCTAATGTCAAAGTCAATTCAGCTATGCTAGCACCACCTGTTTCGTAGTTAAAATAGTATAAGATAACTAATATATGTCGCATTTTAGACCGTTAATATTTATAATTAAATAGGCCAGATATGTTTTCTGTGGTTTCGATTTGGACATGTTATTATCTGTAATTAAATCGTTTGACAGTTATTTTGACTTTACGTAAACTTTATTTGTATAAATTTTGTATATTATTTTTAAAATGGGGAAAAAAGATAAGAAAAAGGTAAAACTAATAATTCCCATTTTACCAACCTGATACAGAAATTCTAAAATTTATCTTTTTCAGGTTGAACCAGAACCACAAGGTTTGTTATCTAGTATTCTAAATCTTATTTCGATTATATCTTAAGTATTGTCTTTAGTTTCTGCGAGTAACACATTTTTAAATAAAACACTTCTACATACTTTTCGTTTTAAACCGTTTTAGTTTTGTTTAGAGCTTTAGTTTTGTTTAGAGACACAATAATAATATTTTTTGCGTATTTCATATGTATGGAAACATAATATTACGATGGTGGGGGCATTTTAAATTACATCAGCCCTGCTTATGTCATCTGTCAGCTTGTTAAAAAAAGTTCATACCTAGCGTACGCACTAGTTATATAATTAAACAGCTAAATACTGTCTGTAGTTTACGCGAGTAGTACACATTTAAAGGAAACATTTTAAGACCGACGTTTCGGACGGTTCGGTCTCCCCGTGACCACGGCTGCTGCAAAGCATCCGAAACGTCTGGCCGTAGTTCAAATAAATTTAACTAATATATATCGCGTATTAAACCGTTAAAATGTTTTATTTAAATTAATCGGTTTAAAAAACCCGACGTATATATTATAATCTTTACTAGCTGTAGCTTCGTCCGCGTGGAATAGTGACTTGGAATTTATTAGAAAAGGGTAGAATTTTTAATTATTTAGGCTGTTTATCAATTTAAAGCAGCCAATCTATGTTGTAAATGATACTTTGCCGCAACATCCTTATCTCACATCACTCCTACTCTATCTCCCACTTCCATTCCTACACTCATTCCCACTCTCACTTTCACTCCCACTACTACCTCTATTCCCAAAAAGCCAAAGAAGAAAGTTTCATTATTCTATCTTCAAAACCACGAATTTCTATACAAACTTTCATCCCCTTTTTCAACCCCTATCCACCTTTCTTGGCATTAAAAAATATGTCCTTTCTCAGTTTCTAAAATATCTGTGTACCAAATTGCATTTGTATCAATTCAGTAGTTTCGGAGTTAAAGCCGGACAGACGGACAGACAGAGTTACTTTCGCATTTATAATATTAGTATATATTAATTGTATTACACCGAAACCTACTTAGTAATTATTTTTGGGTTTAAAATAACCACCCAGATAAAAGAAGCAAATAAAAAAAGGGGGCAATTCTCAATTATAAAATTAACAGCGACCTATGTCGCCGATTACATGAAAATTAATTTTAGTAACGGTCATGTCGAATCGTATGTCACTTTTTGTGAATTCCCCCCTAATCTACTTATTAAGTTGGAGAGTTAAAAAGATTGATTTCTCTAGATGTGGAGGTCCAAGAAGAATTGGTGGTCACAACAGAACTCGAGCCGGAACCAGAGGAAGTACAGTACACCGACACTTCTTACACCAGCGCGTCATTTGAAAGTCTCCCGCCCGTTGTTGAAGGTAGCTATTTTATAAAAGACACACATATAGCACAAATACACATTCAAGGCATCGACATTTAAAAATCACGAATACAAATAGAATTAGAAATGTTTAAATTAAAAACAATAATATCCCCGCGTCACACTCAGCGGTTGAAAGCTCTGCCTATCATTGTTTTTAGCACGAAGGAAACAATAATAATATCGATTTGACGTTGGTGTAATGGCGATGTATAATAATAATAATCTACGGGCTGTGGGTTCGATTCCCACTGGGTCCAACATTTTAGTAAACTGAACTTACTTCTGAAACTTGTGGGCTTATAGTTTTTTTTGTAAGTAGACTTGCCTTGTTTTCTTTATCATAAAAAAATCATAGTGAGAGAAAAATTATAAAGTGATTAGAAATTTTGGACCCGGTGGTGATAGTACCCATGACCCGATGATATTTAGCTATACATTGTACACAAAAAAACTTGATAACACGATGAAATAAACTTAAATCAATAGCGAACCGTTTCTATAGTAACGCTGACTAGTTGAATTCAAAGGAAATAAGGTCAGTTGGTCATTCTATAGCTTCTTTGAATATTAATTTTTTCGTGGAACTCACTTCATGCTTAACGAGGTACTTATATTATTATATTTTTATTAACTTTAACTATTATAAAAGTTGACCGTTTCCCGTCGTTTTATTAACAAGTAGTTGATCAGATCTCTGTGTCCTAATCGACCGAAACAATCTATTGTTTCCCGGGATACGAATCTATCACGCTTAACGCAATGCTAGGCGTTTAACCATTTGGCTACAGATATCAACTTTATTATATAATATTATAAGCTTCACACTTCTTCTTTATATACCCGGGCCAGTCTGAAAACCAACGCTGTAGAGAGTGACAAACATTCAGCAGCACAGCTAACACTGATACCTAATTTCTCTATTAATTAATTATGTATCAAGTATGTATTGTATAACAGATTCTCTCTGTATTGTGAACGCGGTATAAAAATAGCCAATATCAATAATTTAGTATCTTCGAAAAATTCTTGAACTTCGTTTCTCGAATCGTTCGAATTCAAAGCACAGTCCAGATGTGAAAATCTACTAACTCTAACTACTACTAAATCTACTAACTCTACTCTAACATCTTGTTCAGGTGTTATATGTGGTGTAAAATGCACAGGAATAAAACCTATAGCATAGCTGACTGATATGTTACATTTTGATCGGACTTTTTGACGCTATCGCTATATCGTGTTAGGTTTAGTGTTTCCTAATGTCTTGTGAGTTACGTATTGAGTGATGTTTGTTATTGGTTATAAGTTAATTATATGGCCTTTGTTTCTTTGATAGCGTGAAACTGAAAAATGTAATTATAGATCCTTTGGCGACATATTTCATCCTTTTATAAGAAGAAATAAATTGAGTACTTCACGTTATTTTTCAGAAATAAAGCCCAAAAAGAAGAAGGGAAAGAAGAAGGCCGAGGAGGTAAAACCTTAATACTATAAATACAACTCGTTTGAATAAAACACTTTAAACGGTTTAAACCATATATTAGTGAAAATGATTTTTAACTTCGGCCGACGTTTCGGATGCTTTGCAGCAGCCGTGGTGGTCTCCCCGTGACCACGGTGTGCTTTGCTGATTTAAATGTGTACTACTCGCGTAAACTATAGACAGTATACAATTCGTTTGAGCAAAATTGTATTTCTCACTTTTCTCAACTGTGTCACTTTTTTCCTGAATCTTGAAACATTATGAACATTCGATTCGTACTTAATTGGAGATTCTATAGCTAAAAAATGTTACCACTTGGTCTCTGTAATCGGTGAATTAATTATTTAATTTTCTTCCACGCACAGGTAGTAGAGGTTGTACGTAAAACGAGCAGCGAACAATTTCAGTGGTCTGAAGAATCACTTGTAGGTGGTAAGTATTTATATTTAAGCTCTGGAAAAGAGGAAAATTTTTCTGGAAATAAATTCTTAAGACGTGAGTTATACCAACTAAGTCGATTAGTCGGACGACTAGTCCATTAAACCTCACTTCTATTATTAATAATTAAGAAGAAGGCAGTTTTTTTTATTTAGTAATATAATTATTCATTAAACTAAATATGTAAATAGATATTAAGGATATAGGCAGAATAAAAAACCGTTAACTCTTCAAATTACAGAGGAGCAGCAAAAAGTCGAAGAAGAACAAGTCGAAACGAAGAAAAAGAAGGGTAAAAAAGGCAAGAAAGAGAAGGAGGTTGAAGAAATTCCTGCCTTTGAAAAGGTATGTAAATAATTGATAGTATTGTAATAAAGGCTGGTTTCTTCTTACTGAAAACTAACGATACAGTTTATAAAAATAAAAGTAGATTGTTAAATACATTCTTTAACGTGTTACGAAGAACACGTGCTGTAAAACACCAGGAAGTTACAAAATTCAATATTTCATGTTTTAAACGGTTAAAAGTGTTTTACTAAATGTGCTTTAGTCGCGTAAATAAAAATAATACATACTTAAAAATTTGTTAGCTTTATCTCACCTCGTGCGTGCTCTCAGAAACCAACTGAAGTTCTCATGGCTGCCGTGTGCATATCATGTTTCGAACACATAAAGTGCCCCTCTTCTATAAAAACGAAGTTTTATTTCTTTTATTTTCTTGTTTAACCTAGCAACGTATTCAAATCCATGCATCGGGTATTTGAGTAACTCTGCACAGTGCACACAACTGCTTCAGCTATAGTGACATTTAATTGTAACAGCCAAAAAATTGGAAAAGCATGAATAAGAAGGATAGGGAAGCCTGGCTCCTACAGAGGATTGAGGAATGGAGGGCGGAGAAGGAGGCTGAGAAGTTAGTTCTGGTAGTCTGTAGAACGGCAGCCTAATATAGTCTTAGTCACCAGAAGACCATAACTGCTAAATTAACATATTATATCTCATTTTAATCCGTTGAAAGGATGCCGTTTAACATATCTCTATATCTATTAAGATATATCTATTAAGAATAGAAGTCGTGTATATTTATTTAGTAACGGAACAATGGTACGTATTCAGTTCGTGAAATAAATTTACATTTCTATATTAAGTAGGTATATTATATGTCGGACTTCCATTTTACTTGATTTTTTACTTTAGTTTTGCAGTCTGTTTGTTACCATAGATTAGACAAGAAGCTCGTTATTAGGATAAATATATATGTACGTTTTAGTTACCGCAGTCTACATTTAGGATAGAAGGTAATGTACAAAGTTATAATATTCCAAAGTTCAAAGTTATATATTCAAAGACCAAATCCAAACCGGCCATTAAATTTTCATCTATGGACGGTGGTTCATGATCTGAATGGAATTTGGATATCCCTACCATATTTAATATCCAGATTTTCAGACAAATGTGTATCATGTTTCAGAACAATTATAAATGGTTTAGAAACATCTTGAACCCAAAGCAACCCACATCTTGGTTATTAGGCCTTCATTGCTACCATTAGACCAATAAGCCCGTCAGAAATAATCTAGATAATACTATTTTAAAATTCTAGAGATGTTACTTAAATCCTTATATGTGCTTATAATAATCTAAGTTATCTAACTTAATTAATCTATCTAACTCTCTAATCTAACTTACTTACATTTTCGACCCGTTCGACGTAATTGAGAAATGGTTCTCGATGTTTCGCTATCAGGACGGCATCATCAGGTGTAGATATAGGAATGTCAAGTAGCTTTATTATAACCTCTCCTCAGGCAAGCCATACTAGCTGGAGCAAAGGAGAAGAGATTAGCCCTGGCGAGAGAAAGAGCAGAGCTGATGGCCAAAGATAACGCCGAACAGGAGATACGACGAGACATACTGGCAAAAACTTGCGCATTGTTTCACAGTAAGTGAGAAGTTAAAAATCGATTTTAGATTTATTATTTAGACACGGCTTAGACTTGCACCCACAGCGTTCCTTGAAGTTGCTTCTTATGTTAATTTTTTTTGCCAAATTCCGGGGTAACCATAGTTTGTTCCTGTTGACCTTTGCACAAAACTTACAAATAAAATTAGCCCGTCCTTTGTTAAAGTCTCCCAAAAATAATACGTTTCTTTTGGAACTTTCTGAAAGTAGTTATATGTAATTTTTGTTGCAGAGTTTGATAATCAGAAAATTGACTATGCCAGAAAAAAGCAACTCGAAGCCGAGGTAAGCTCCGCTTTCATTGGTTAAGTTTGTCTTGGTTCCGAGAAGTCCTGAGTCCAAACAAGAAAATAAAATAATAGTTTTGTTCATGCAGGGCAATTGAGTTCGATCAATTATTACATGCGAATGAATAAAACAGACACAAACTGTATCTGTACCATGTCCCACATAGACACAGTACCTACTCTCTATTAAATATTAACTGATATTATGTTTTAAAAATTTGGTGCCTTCTTTTCCAAAAAAATTTAAAAAAAAAAAAAATTTCAAATTTGTTTTTTTATTTACTTACATTATCATCCTATACGAGTATTTGTGCAAATTTATCGTTTTCCTTGTTGTCATGTTTCATTGTTTTTCGCGTGTATCCCTCCTTCGTGTTGCCCCCTTCGTCAGGGGACGTCCGGTTAGAATTGACAGCCCCGAGCGAAAAACGTACCTCTTAGGAAGAATTGTTTTGATATTGTTACAGTGGCAACAGTATTTGCGCTGTGATGGTCTACCGGACCCCAGGGTGGTGACGCAGATGAACACCTACATTCATCTGTGGCAGGAGAAAGGAGTCTGCGATGATAACGAGCTCGATGTTCGATGCAGGGACGCTCTGCCGGTAAGATGACCCGCTGTTCTGTAGTAGTTGTCAAAAAGACAACAAAAAAATATAGCGTCCATTACTGTTATCAGTATTAAGTATAAGTTTAAGAATAGTAAAACAGACATATGTTAAAAATAATAATTGATTCAAATAATAAATTCGCATTTCTTTTTAAAATTGTACGTGATACAAAACGCTCTTGATTGGTCGGGTTTATGACGACGTCACTTGCATAAAAATAGTACTTCTTAGTGTTAAAACTGTTAAACTTAGGCGCCCAATTTAAATGTTGAATTTTTAATTTAATATATATTAGAATTCCTATCCCGAGATTCTTTTACGTCTACCAAATAATATCAAGTACATTTTAAAGTCAAATAGGCCACTTGGTCCTTTCATACGAAATATTTTATTTAAGCTTAAAAGAAATTCAAATGACAGAGTTCTTTATGTGTAGAATCTTGTTAGAACTTTAGCGTTTTGGATACTTTAACGTGCGTAGGCACATAATTTACTTTCTTTTAATGTTGACAGTATTTGTTTATAGATGTTGGCAATGCTGGAGGAGTTTGTAGCAAATTCACGACAGTATACTGCGCTGCAAGCACAGTCATATAATGAGGTATTGTTCTCTACATATGTATTTTTTGGGGGGAGGGGGATGGAGAACCAATATACGTTGATGGTACAGTGCAAACATTTGTACATATATGGACTTGGTATTTTTATGATAGACAAGCATCGGGTTCATTCGATGATAGGATACCCAGCCATATAACATCTTGATAAGTTGCGTTGTCGACCTATTTTGGAGACATTCGGAACTGCATAGGCTGAAACCGAAACACGATGAAACTTGACGGTTGTGAACGATGGTTATGGATAGAATTTCAATATTTCTACAATCCATTTAATATCCAGATTTTCAGACAAAGTTCAACATCATATCATTGTCTTTCGGGCAGTTCGTTTCGGCCGACGTGAGCGAGAAGAGGTTCTCAACGTTTCGCCATCACGTGCGGACGTCATCATCAGATGTTAACTCCTCGAGTGCTCGAAGAATCGGCCGAGCAGCCCGAAAGACAATGATATGCTGAACGATGGCCGTGAAAGCCTTACACAATTTATTAAAGTTCAACATGTTTCGGAAAAGTTAAAAACTTATTAGAAAAATTTTGGTTCCAGTAGGGATCGACACCCGTTCATTATTAACCATACATTGTTACCCCAACGATGTCGTCAACATTGAACCTGCTATGACTTCCTCAGTTCAGGAAGAAATTACACAATCCCTGCCTTCACTAAGTACAACGACATCTTTAACTATTTCTCAAAAGAAGTAGGGAGTGACAAGTTTTTCTTTAGTCCTTAAAAATGTTTCTTTCAAGGTGCGTCTTGCTTTACGAGAGCAACTATCGCACGCCATCCAATGTGCCTCGTACACCCTGCTCCGAGACCTGGAACATCGCCTGGTGTGGGACTCGATACAGCTGGCGACTTATGGAAGGGAGTTTAATGGGTTGAGACTGAATATATGGGTGGCTATACCATTGCCTACGAGAAAACCTAAACCGATTGAACCAGAACCGTAAGTATGATTCTGACTGGTATCACGGACTTCCTTTCTCAAACTCTATTATTACTCCATATTATATATTTACATACTATCTATGCTATACTATACTATATATCCATATTATATATTTATATACTACATATGCATGGCGCAAGACTCCAGGAAATAATTTAATAATTTGGTGAAGCAGGGCACAAGTTTAACCAAATATGTACTTGCCTTTTAAATAAAACACTTTAACGGTTTAAAACGCGATATATTAGTTAAACTTATTTGAAAATGATTTTTAACTTCGGCCCGACGTTTCGGATGCTTTGCAGCAGCCGTGGTCACGGGGAGACCACGAAACATCCGAAACGTCGGGCCGACGTTAAGGATCAATTGCAGGGCAGCCGTAGTAAGTTTAGACTACTCGCGTAACTATAGGCAGTATTTAAATCCGTGCCTGTAAAGTCAGTTAGACTTATTTAAATGTGCCCCATGCCTAACCGGGTAAACGGGATAGACAGTCTTAATACTTAACTATATACGTAACTAAAACTGTGATTGAAATAAATATATATTTTTTAATAAAGCATTTTCTGACAGATTAATTAGTCCAGTGTACAATTAATACCACCACACACCACAGGTCTTATTTCCTACCAACGTCTTACCAAAATCGATTTAATTTTTTTCTAAAATATGTATTACATGACATTATTTTTTCTATAGGATGGGATTAACGAAACTTTGCTTGGGTCGTGAATTACCGTTCACAGACAGAAAAGCGTGAAGTAAATCTCTGTTAGTCTATCGGATTCCGAATGTCCGATGCCAAAATAGGTCGATAGCACATTAGTGTTATTTCACTCTCGATCTAGTGAACATCATGCTTGTCTATTCTGCTTATAAAATCATGCATTAATTTAATTATTTGAAGTAAAGTTGAACGTTTCCAGCGAACCCGTGGAACTGTCTTTTCCAGCTATGAAAGTGGGTGTGAAGTTGCCTAAGATTATAGACGGATCCAATGTATGTGTACGCGCAGCTAGATCAATGATAGATCTATTGAGTGAAAGTTCTAGATCTTTCGCTTTAGCTGCTGATATGCCCAACAGATATGAAGGTACAGTATTTGTATATTTATATATGTTATAAAATAGAAAAATTTATTTTGAAAACAGTTATCCTGTAGCCGCAATCAATAACATAACATAGTCAGGCTGCCGTTATAAAACATCATTAAATAAAACACTTCTACGGTTTAAAACGCGTAATATTCATTAACTTACCAAATGTGTTTTTAATAACGATTACGGCGTTTCAAATGTTTTGATGCCTACTTGGCTACTAAAGACTAAATATATATCTTGTTTTAAACAGTTTGAAACATCATGTGATATGATCCAGTATCAACTAGACATATTGATCTAGGTTCTAAAAAAATGATTGTGTTTGTTTGACATTTTGGTAGTTTCACAAATCTAAACGTATTAATTTTCAGATTTATTCATCTTCAACGTTAAGGAACATATAGATACGTACAAGCTAAAGAAAGAACAAGATACAATAAGAACCGCATTTTACAAAGAGATCAAAGAGAAGATAAATGAAGTGGAGAAGTTTTTGAAAGCGAACCCGTAAGTAGAACAGTCTATACAATGATCATCTACTTCTTTCACCTTCCACTACTTCTTCTTGTCCTATTTTTCGTCCATAATACGTGAACCGAATTTATTAAATCCATACTAATTATAATAATAAAGCTGGAAAGTTTGTTTGTTTGAACACGCTTATCTCAGGAATTGTTGGTTTGAATTGAAAAAAAGATTTTATCGCCTAGAGCAATTATCGAGGAGGGCTATAAAACATTGCGCTGTGACTGGAAAATGCCGTAAAAACCGATGCGTACGCTGCGAGAATGGTTCAAGATATACAAAAAATATGTATGAGAGAATGGTTCTTCTTTCAATAAAAAAAAATGTCCGCGTCTTAAGATGAACTGGCAAGAACAACGGGTCGCGAGCGATGACGTAGGTAATAGTTTTTAAATAAAACACTTTAACGGTTTAAAACGCGATATATTAGTTAAAGTTATTTGAAAATGATTTTTAACTTCGGCCCGACGTTTCGGATGCTTTGCAGCAGCCGTGGTCACGGGGATCATTTCCAAATAAGTTTAACTAATATATCGCGGTTTTAAACCGTTAAAGTGTTTTATTTAAATGTGTACTACTCGCGTAAACTATAGACAGTAGGTAATAGTTTGCAAAAGCAATTTTGGATGCCCAAAATAACTGTTCTACGCGAACGAAGTAGCTGACTCAGCTAGTTTAAGATATAATAATTATCATTAGAAGAATGTAACAATGGTCTTAGTTACAACGCGTTTAGTTAAAAACAAACCGGTAATTTTCTTATCTACCAAAAATAGGGTGTTTTCAAAATTTCTGTACGGCGGTGCATATTATTTCAGTGTTTATTTAATTTTCCGAGACTCTGAGAGAAGCACGTTAAGCCGTTCTGGTGATCATCAAATGGAATGGAAAAAAATCTACTGAATCTAATAAATTTACAGACGTCATGTTTCGTCAATAACCAATATAAATCAATTCAGTTCAAACACAAGGTTGTTGAGGAGTTCCCTAAGATGTCACTTGTCTTCATCGTCAAACCTGTTGTGATCAAGATTTCAACCCAATTACGTCTTAAGTTCATAACAATACAAATAATATTAGCTCTAACAAATACTAGCTGTGAATCCCAGAGGAGTTCCTTCGACTGTCTCTTGTCTCGATCATCAGATCTACTCCAAACCTTTATTAATTTGTAATGCTTTAAAGTAATGAGTGAAAAACTTAACACTATTCCTCAATACGATTCTTAAGTTTCCCTCGATTTTCCTAGTCTGTGATCATCACATCCAGATTTTCTTAAAATGAGACCATTTTGGAGAGAAAGAAAATCATTGAGATCGTCATCAAGGGTTATGAGCGACGTAGTTGTGTGAACAAACATAAAAAAAATACTAAACATTAAAAAATTATCCATATATGAGAATTCTCAATTTGATTTTTTTTTCTATTATTAATAAATCTTTCTAGATACACTAAGAATGAGAAGGAGAAAGAGGAACTGGACAACCTCAATATGGCGGAGCCGCCATTTTTACCAGACCCTAGAACGTATATCGCTGAACAAAACGGTAACATTATACAAGATTTTTAACGGTTTGGAACGTGAAATATATAAGCTTATTTACTATAAACTACTCGATGAATGTTTAGCAGCAGGCGTGACAGCGGCGTCTAAATAATGAATTAAGTAATGTTTCAAGTTTTAAACCGTTAAAAGTCATTTATTCAACGTGATGTAATTATTTTCAGAGGTCCACTTTGCGAAATATCTTAAAACCTGCATGACGCGGACGAGGACAGGAGAAATGAATTTGAGGAAATATAGGTTTGCTTGCTTAACAATTTTGTCAGGTAAAAGCACAGAATACCTAACAAACCAGAAGGACATGATCGCAATTGTACTGTCCGAAACTGGGTCATAACCTCTTGTCCAACACAAATAGCGTTGAATTTTTCCACGCGTTTTCCACATCCACTTCACACACAATTATCAATAATTGCAAATGCTTTACCTATAACCAGATGTTTTTGGTTTTTAGAAAAATAGTACGCTTAAACTACTCGACCGATTTTAATGACATTTTGCACATTCAAAATCATGTGACAAGTCTGACGGCACCCTGTTATATAAGGTTTAAAGATATTAAGTTACCTCAGGTTTTTTTTTTAAGTAGGATTAAATAGAGTTAATGTTCAAAATATGGCTTATAATTTCTTTTTGAACAAAGTTTAACTTTCTGAAGTCTTGGTGCTGCTGAGCATATAATATTTATGTTCTTAATGCCTTATTTATCGATTTTTGCTTTTCGACCTAGGTGCCCTGACCGAGCGAAACTATACCTACAGGCATGTAAATCTACATCTAGATTAGCTATCAAGCCACGAAGGTTGTTTAGTGAACTATAAACATGTATCGTTGAGTAGTAAAATAAAACACTTTTAACAGTTTAAAATGCGAAATATATCAGTTAACATTTCATTTAACTACAACCCGACGTTTCGAATACAGCCGCCATAGTCACGGGGGAAATAAGTTATAAGTTAACTTACATTTGGTGTGTTTTCAACCGTTAAAAGTGTTTTATTTAAGGAGTATAAACCATTTCAGAATATGCAACGGCGTTCTCAATTTGGATTTGTTGACGACGCCACCACAACCAAAGCAGATGATGGGCGGCATCATACTAACAGCTTGTGAGTTTTATAAGATTACATTAAAACTTTAACGGTTCAAAAGGCGATTGTTTAGTTTATGTTAGTGAAGTTCATTTAATTGTACTTGAAGTAACAGTCGAAGCACAAGTTTACATGGAGGATCTATTATGTAGATGATGTCGATTTTTTAGCTTTAGAATTTCGGAAACCCACGCATTTAGACGAAACGACGACATTTTGATATTCCTACCACCGATTTAACGACCAGATTGTCCAGATTTTTTGGACGAAGTCATAAAAATTATAAATACGTTTGACCTGGTACAAATTTAGCCACATGAAGTATTGCAACCGAACCTTGTTCACCATAAACACGGTTCTTGAAAGTTAATCTTAAAAGATAGGACGTATACGGCTGTTCTTCTTGTTTATAAATTTTAATATCAAAGTTTAACATATCGCGTTTTAAACCGTTAAAGTGTTTTATTTAAAATTATTTTCTCTGTATAATATAATTTATTGAATTATCACAAACATACAATTGCTGTTATAGTCTATAGCTTCTAGTTCTACGAGTATGTAAACGCCCAATTTATCTTAACAATAAGAATATAACTTAAAAATATATGTTACATAAATAACAAATACTATTGATGACCCTATCTTAATTTGTAGAGCAAACTTCAAGGTGTCCTGTTGGTCGTGGAGTCCAATCCTGACCGTATTTTTTTATGTAAAATGAGAGCTTAGCAAAAAACTTATTTTATTTCATAATTTATAAGCCCTTAGGTACAATGTGAAAGTTGTAATTATTTGTAATAATAATTATATTTCCAGAAGTATTCCGTATAATGGTAAATTTAGTACTAAAGGCCTATAGTTAAAGAGGCAGTTGGGTTAATCCCTCACATAAAAATTATATCTAAATTATACAAAACTTAAACACACAATAATCAAACAATACTATCTGTGAAAGTTTTGTTAACAATGCTTAAGTCTTTTTCAATTTTAACCTTTCAAATACTGTCTGTAGTTTACGCGAGTGGTATACGTTAAATAAAACACTTATTTAAGTTTCAATGATTTAGACGTTTTGAACTGTTAAAGTGTTTCACTTAAATTACTGAATGTGTGCTAACAGCTTATTGTTACCCATCTATTCCTACTAGCTGTTGGTAGTTGGAGCATTTTAATCCTTAAAAATAAATCTTGTTAAGCCAAGGAGTCATTCTCAACACTCTTTAGTTTTTGCGTGACTAGGGACCTCTTCATTCTCCTCCAGAACTCCTTTCTATCGCTCTCGTCTTTCGGCCAAACGATGTACGTTTTTGTGAGCATCAAATAGTGCAATGTGTTTGGGCGGAGACGCCTCGGTATTTCCTCTAGAAGAATGAGGATGAGGTCTTCTCTTCTCGTTTCTAATAGTCTGGAAAGGAAATTGAGACCTATTATAAGAGCTTGGTTGCATTACGAGTATAGTATGGGGCACCGGTAGAAAGTGAATTAAATGATTCGGAAAAGATTTTTGTTAAGAGATGCGTCATGTTGGTAAGCCTTACCTGTGTTGTGCCAAATGCATTTCAAATTGACACCACTGGCTGAGAAGGAATCGTTTCGAAATTATCAACATGATAGACCGAGATCTATCCATGCAAGATACAATATTCTCCAAGATCGAGAGTCCCACCTGAAAGCATATTAAGATTATTTTAATAAGCACTTTTAATAGTTTAAAACACATGACAATACAACACATAGACAATGCTTAGTTGAAATTTTACAATTAGATTACAATTAGTTGACTGTTAATGGATTTGATTGATCATATGATTTGCCTTGCGTTTCACAATTGTCATACTAATCTCAAAATCTATTCTTCAATTTGTTTCCTCGTAGATTTACTTTTTTATTAAGAACACCGATCGTAGGTAGGTCATCAATCCGTGTAGCCTACTGACTATTTGATGATTTGCTGATCAGCACCCACAATCAGTAAGAAAAACAAAAAATATGTTTGTTGAAGTTATGACACATTGGTTTACGCCTACTCTACCTGAAAATCTCTTTCGTGAAGACAAACGCTGATATTACAGTCTATTTCCACGTGAGGCAGAAGATGGTCCAATACCCAGGCCCTATCTTCGTTGCAATAAGAGACGAAAACATCATAATTGAAGATTTGACTCTCTGAAAAGAATCAATTACTTCACTTTTCTACATTTGAATCACACAAAAATATTTATATACGATACGAAAAGACTCAGATTAATCCAGCTAAACCTACTATATGCCCTAAAGTTTAATAACACCGAGCAATTCAAAATCGAAATGTCGATGGGTAAAGACGAGACACAAGTTTTATTTTATTACCTTTTTAGTTATTTAAATTTTTCTATTAGTATGATGAGCAAAACACATTTTTATAAATCGGCTACAGAAATGCTCTAGCCATCACTCGTGACAGACTGACAGACAGATAGCAGAATCTGACATCCTTTGGTTTAGGGTAAATTTTTATATATAACTCACCATTCTTACTCATATCCTTTTCACAAATTAAACTGAGCATTGCAGAATTCCTCATTGTTATCAGGAAGTATCGTAAGTTCCGCCTAAACACGTAAACGAAAGCGACGATCGGAAACAACACGAGTATGATGAGGAGAAGGAATAGATTATTTTGGGTAGCCACTATCAAATCTTCCGGCATATCTCTCATATCTTGAGAACAAGTGGACACTTCATGCAGTGGTATCATAATACCAGAGCTAAGAGATAAACAATTGTAATTATCGCCGTTGAAATCTAGTAGAAGAAAGTTTCCCGTGACATTTGTTGTCAACCCGGTCAGGCATTTACTGCGCAACGTGATGTCCGCGATCTCTAAGCACGGTGACGTGAGGTTATGCCTGTCTGTAATCATTCTATTGTACTCCAAATAGCCCCTGTGAAACAGTCCGTCGTCTTGCGCGATTCTGTACAGGTTTGTCTGATTAAGCCTACGCTCGCTCTGCAACGCGATTTCGTACATCTCCCTCGTGAAGCAGTTGCATATCATACCGTTCTTCGAGAAGGCCAGGTACTGAACTTGACTCATGTCATCTATCATGATTTCAGATACCACGTTTATATTATTCATTTCGAGTGACAGCAGCTTTAGCCGCGGCATCGTCGAAACGATCGGCTCGAACCACGACGAAATTCTATTCCTCGCCAAGTCCAAAACCTGCAAGTTCTCCAATGTGCTCATCGAGTGCTTGGGAAAGTTCGAAATTTCGTTTTTGGATACCTGCAGGATCTCCAATTTTCTAAAGTTTCGTAAAAAGTCGAGCGACTTCAAGAGAATCGAGTTTGCGAATAGAACCTGCAGTGTGTCCTCGAGCCCTCGTAATACGTTGGGGTCAAACAGAACATCCGGATTTCCGGATATATCTAAATATTTTAACGGTAAGCCTTTGAAAGTATCTTTACGTAGACGGAAAATGGCCGTGTTGCATATGGATAGTATCTCCAGCTTATTTCCCAGTCGAGAGAGTAGTGGCGTATGCCTCGTGCTTAACGTTGTAAAAGAGAGATCCAGAGAAGTTAGATTCAAGTTTGCGAATGTATCGGTGGATTCAAATGTGAGGCTTCTTGTTGGACTTTTTTCGTCTATATACACGTTTCCGCTTAAGTCGATATGCTGTATGCTAGTCAGGCCAGCGAACGCATTAGCGTCAATAAAGGTTAGCTTGTTCTCCCCTAAATAAAGGTGGGTTAGTGATGGCATCCCACTGAATATGAAGCCTTCGAGAGCATCGATGGAACAGAAACGCAGATCGAGCTGCAGTAAGCTCCGGAATGTAACGTTGCTTAGCCCTGCTGTCCAGCTTTGTATTTCTAGAATAAAAAATAATACGATCCTTTAATCAAATCAAGCTTTGCAAGAGTGCAGAAATCAATGATCACTTAAATTTTGTTTAATACAATAGGTAAGCTTTTATAACTTATTTCGTGGGTATCTTTTCAATAAATAAATGATTTCTACTTAGTTAAGCTTATTTGAAATTTATTTTACAAGCGCGGTCACGGCGAGACTAAAGATGGAGGGTGTCTCTGACGTCAAAGCAAAAAACTGCTACGCTAGCGCCATCTGCTCCGTCGTAATTGGTATTTGGCGAAATTGGCCGGTCGTAGTTGAAATAAATTACAAATAAGTTTAAAAATATATGTCACTGTTAAACCGTAAAAGCGTTTTATTTAAATGTGTTTTACTCGCGTAAACTACAGACGGTATTTAAAATTGTATTATTTCAAAATGCCAAAGTCCATACTTTCAACACCATGGGAATGTCTCGCGGTAATCTCTTTTGCACCTGTGGCGTTGATTAAAGCCTGATAAGCGCCCACTTCTTGGATTTTTCCAAAATTATTCCCGTAAAATGATACATACTGGACGCTATCTGCTAAAGTTTTACTGAGGGCGCCTTGAAGAGAAAATATCTGGAATAAATGAAATTAAATTACAGTTACAACGGGCTCATTGGTGTAATGTTAGCAATCTGTGACTAATAATCTAAAATAATCAACCGGTCGAAGTTTTGACTTTCGATCCCCAACAGGACTTTGTAAACAATTTATAATTTCTCTGAAACATGTTTGACTTCGTTAGAAATTCTAAATATTAAATCGGTTCAAAGCCGTTAAGTTTAACCGCGTTTCGGTTTCAATCTGTGAATTTCCGAATATCCAAAGCCGAAATAAATCGATAGCGCATCTCGTTTAGATGTTATATGTCTGGCGTATTGACTACCTACCGTCAAGTGAACATGCGTGTCTATGGTCCTTTATCATAAAAAAAATCTAGCTACAACATTTTTCATTTAAAGTTTTTTTATCATTTCCCTATGTTTCTTCGCTCTTATTGGTCGCAGCCAATTTGAGTAGTAGTTCCTAAGATTAGCGCACTCAAACGAACTCTTTAGCTTTATAATATTAGTATAGATAGTGATGTGAAAATGTAGATTTTCTTTTGTTCTACTTACCGGTGGCACTTGTCTCAGCTGGCACTTGGCCACACTTAGATACCTAATCGTGTTTGTGGTCCTACCGTTTGTGACCATGTGCTCTTGAATTAACGAGGTTATGTTTGCGAGGTGAGAAAGATCGATCGCCGCAGAATCTGTGGAATTACTTGAATTATTCTATGAAGTAATTTTATTATACATATTTATGTTAATTATTATTACTATTGTTGTCTCTAGTATAGTGCAGTGTAGTATAGCCGTCAGAGAAAAACTTGATACTACGACGACACAGATGGCGCTAGCGTAGCAGTTTTTACTTTGACATCAGAGACATGCTCCATCTTTAGTCTCCCCGTGACCACGACTACTACAAAGCATCCGAAACATACGTTTATCTTAGATATATCGCGTTTTAAACCGTTGAAGTGTTTTAATAAAAATATGTACTACTCGCCTAAACTACAGACGGTATTTAATTTAGACACTTTTAAAACGAACGACAGTTTTCAGAATTACAATACACGTGATATAAACAAAGTAAGAGTACGAACTAGAAGGCCTCATAAGTCTTAATTCTTTTCAAGGTAATTTTGCAAGCTGTCAATAAATAAGTTGAAATTGTATTTAAAACAAAAACTGCTTGGATTGTGTTATTATTACGTTAATCAATATTTGGACGATAAAAATGCTTGGGCTTGAACTCGCTCTAACAAGGAAATATATATTAATCATATTTTAAGTCTTGGCGTGAAGACTGTAAAATGGAACTTGGCGATAAAAGGAGTGGCGGCGAGCTTCTTGCCAGTTCTTCTCGTTCGTTCTACGCTCTTCTTTTAAGAATCGGTAGTAAGTGTAAATGTAGATTCTTTATGAAATAAATAATAATAAACTATAGTAGGATTCGAGTCTTCGTAGTTGAATGATTCCGCGTTAGCCCCTTTTTGTGTTTTCAAGTAAAATGATAGGTAAATTAATGTAAACTGTTCGGCATTTTCATCTGTAGCGTTTAAGTTTGACATACCGTTAACTTTTAACTTTCCGTCTCCGTCGACCCAAGATTGTAAGTCTGTCATGTAACCAGTGAGGCATATTGGCGCGTCTACTGGTCTTCTCACAGCATCGACTAATGTTGTCTTGATTATGCAGATTACACTAAAATTACAAACATATCATAATTTAAGCTAAAATCTATTTTGAAGCTACATGCAGCATTTGAACCGACATACACTGTGTTACGCGATGCTTTTTTTTTAACGTTTGAAATCCTTTCGGATACCCACCGCACCGGAAGGAGCAAATAGGTTATGTCAGACTCAAACGCGCTGCTGCTCTAACTCCGCGCAGCTAACTGCTGCTGCTGCTGTTTTTATTATCTCTAATTTTTCTACTCAAACTTACACAATAGTAAAATCATTTTTAGCTTGTAAGCCAACATAATATTATGATTCGACTCAACGAAATGTCAGTCGATCTATCGATATCTTCTCAAGGTGAGATTCGCAAAGACGCGGCGCGGGCGCATACCGCGGTACTTTGACAGCTGGTCAACGCCAATCTCTGTTATCTTTTCTTTCGAAATGATTCATTTGTTATTAAGCTACGCAAATAAAAACAAGTGGCTGTTCTAGTGGATCAAATCTTGTACACTGTTACAAATTCGAGAACCGTTTTGACTCCTGAAGAGACTTAGCAACCGTATTTGTATAGTTTTTGTTTTTTTTTTAAAGGGGGGGGGCCGGGCCGGGGGGGTTTTCCCTTTTTTTTGTTTTTTTCCCCCAGCTTCTTTGTTTTTATTTTTTTTATTGAAAGCAGAACTGAAACGCGATTAAACTTCGGCCTTTACTACGGTAGTTCGTGACATTCCCAAGCCATATAACTCAACAAGATGTTCTCTCTGTTTGCTGAAACCGCGATTAAACTTCACGGATCTTTCATCGCATGGCAGTTGAATCGAAACTGACTCGCAGCGTGATTACAATTTGATGGAAACGGCTTTTTTTTTTTTTTTTTTTTATCAGTAGAATCGGCCTGCAGGACAGAATTACGACATTTCCATCACCTATTTAATATCCGGGTCCCAAAGACTACGTACAAAATGTTTCAAAAAGAAATATCAATTTATGAGAAAAATGCTGGACCTGGTGGGGATCGAACCCACGTCCCTGTGATTATTAGCTATACATTGCTACCATTAGACCAGTGAGCTCATTCAATTTAAGCAAAAGTGCATGGTAATTCATAAGTATATGATATTCAAACAAATCGACATAATTCGCGACTTATATCGTAATCTCAGAATTGGCCACTAGACAAAACGTTTAGTTAAAAAAAAAGTGAAACACTTACACAATCCTTAAAATCATTTTGCATCCACAAACATACGGGGGTACGACTTCCATATATACATTGTTAGCCAAATGTATAAGTGGATTTAAACCGATTTAAACATTAATTAACCAACACACGATCTGTACGCACCTGTGTAGCTATACACTTTGTTGTGTGGGTTGTATCTTATCTGTATGTGAAAATTTGCGATTCCTGTATATATCTTATCTATCGAATGTATTATCTAATTGATATTGTTCGTGAAGTCGTAGAACAATCCGAGATCGGCTACTCATCTTCTGTATCGTGAAGAGATAATAAATGGTTTAAATATATTATATTAGTTAAACTTATTTGAAAATGATTTTTAACTTCGGCCCAACGTTTCGGATGCTTTGCAGAGCCGTGGTCACGGAGATACTAAAGATGGAGGAGGTCTCTGACGTCAAAGTAAAAAATTGCTACGCTAGCGCCATCTGTTCCGTCGAAGTTGGTATTTGGCGAAACTGGCCGGGTCCCTTCAGAATTTACTATCGGTGTCTTCGCATTTGCCGGTATGCTGTTTATTGGGATCCAGAGTTCTCTGGGTCCCAATAAGTTTAACTAATATATCGCGTTTTAAACCGTTAAAGTGTTTTATTTAAATCTGTACTACTCGCGTAAACTATAGACAGTATTCAATAAATGGTTGTAAAAAGGGGGGACAAAAATGTGAATTGTTATTGCGGGGTTCTTACATACAACCGAAGCCTCGACTTCGCATAGAACATGCTATTAAATATTTAAGGCTTTCCTCCCTATTTCAATTTCAATACATCTATAGTCCCCCCCCCCCATCCTCGCAACCTCTTAACCTTTATCTTTACATGTTTTAATCAGCGACAGTGTCCTAAGTATTTGTATGTAATTTAGCAGTAATACAAATACTTACGCACATTTTAATAAAACGCTTGTTTATTCACCCCGTGACCATGGCTTCTAAAGCCCGAAACGTCGGGCCGTAGTTAAAATTACAAATAAGTTTAACTACTACATTTCTTTTAAACCCTTAAAAGTTTTTTATTGACAATGTGTATGTCGCTTAAATTACAGACAATGTTTATTATTTTATTAACCAAATATAAATAGTAGTGATTTCTCAGAAGTTGAAATACTGAGAAACCGTAGACAGCTGATTATAAAAAGATAATAAAGTAATGATTTCCTATTTATTATTTTAATTAATCTAATCGAATTATCTTTGGTCACGTAATTTCAATTATTTACAAACTAATACGATGATAATTACAAAGAAATGCTAGACAAGGTTTTTAGAGAAGCAATGTTTGGAAAAATAAAATGTTATCTATACTAATATATAAAGCTGAAGAGTTTGTTTGTTTGTTTTAACGCGCTAATCTCAGGAACTATGCGTTCGAATTATTTTGTGTTGGCTACAGTATTTATGGTTAGGAGGAAGGTTATAGGCTATACTACACCGCGACTGTGAATACTGACTAATACAAGCGAAGATACAGCGAGAAATGTGAAAAAAAAATTGGAAAAATCATTATGGGTTTCCGAGGAGTACGCTGCAAAAAGGATTCAAGACATCCAAAAAATATGCATATCAAAAAACGTTACTCTTCAAGAATGATCAAAACCGATATGGTATCAAAAAAAACAATATAACGAGCAAGAACGGTGGGAAGACGTTGATTTCCCCCCGAAGACCGGAGCAGGGCGCGGGTAACAACTCAATTGTTTATAAATATGTAAAAGCGTTTGCAAGACAGAACTGTATACGAACTAAATTATTAACGCATTATAACGATTTACGATCGTTTTAAAAAAAGGTTTAAACATATACCGAAGCGAGCGTCCCCGCGTTCTAACACGGAGTCCTCTTGGATTCCCTGGAAAAAATAAATTCCGGGTTCGATAAACTATGCCTATAAATAAAATCGATCAATGAAACAGACACGGAAGTGTCCGCGCCCCATGCTCTATGCCCCGCAGTGTTAAACGGAATTTGTATTTACAGTGCAACTACCCAAACAGCTGCAGCCGATGAAGTACCAGGTACAGTACCGCGCGCCCTCACCACCGCCCCCGGGAGTCACCCGGACACCAGAGGAGATTGAGGCAGAGTTGAAGAAAATCGAGGCAGAATATGAGAAACTGGCTTTGGTATTTTTCGAGTAAGATCCCATATTGAAACAATACGATTTTTTTATAACGAAAAAGACAAACTTGGCGTTCACTAAATACGCCCCGACGTTTCGGGTGCATTGCAACAGTCATGATTAATTTTTTAAATTAATACGTGTTAATATAACATACTTGACTGTTTAAAACGTGAAATACATATAAATATTAATAAACGTGGTCACGGGGGAAATAAATTAAAATAAAAGCGTTAAATAATTTCAAATAACTTTAACTAATACATATCGCGTTTTGAAACTGTTAAAGTTTTTTATTTAAGTGTGTACTATTCGCGTAAACTACACACAGTATTTAAATTTTTTAGGGTACCTGGCTACTACTCACTCTACAGATGTAGACCGAATTTTTGAAATAAATATGCTCTTTAGCTTCTATGTGGATACAAAATATCTATCTTTGTCGATTAGATTGCCCCAGGACATCATGTGGACCGACCCACCAGTGATATGCCAGTGGCAGGAACAGAGAAAGTTATGGACAAGCAATTACGTCAACGATTACAAATTCAATGAAGATAAACTTACCATACAATTCAGGACTGGGGTTTTGTGTAAGTAATCTGTCTATTAAGATAAGACATTTGTAAGAAAAGTGAAATCCGATTACCCCTGGGAGATTCGTAGCGGACGCAGTTTATGACCGTATAACTGATTGTTTTTATTTACAAGCAATTTATTCGAATCCTAGACTTCTTGTGCATAACGCAATGCGAGATAACCATTGAGCTACGGAGAGAGCTATTAAAAAGAAACATACTACATTAATTGTCATTTGTATACATGTATGGGTTAGAAATACGACGAACGAGTTAAATTCAGTATCTATTGGTAACACAGCGTCCTAAAAAGACATCTCGTTTTTCTGAATTTCTGTACGACGAAGAAATGGACAAAAAAATAATATAGTATATGGGTGGTGGTAATATGAATTTATCAGGATCACGAACCACCGTGGAAAAGCCTTGAAGTTTAATCGTATTTCATAATTCCTAACAAATAACCACAGCGCATCTTGGTTAGATCTATTTATGAGCAAAGGTGTTTCCTCTTCCATCAGATGCTTATTTGTCCTCCTCTCCCAAAAAAATCACCTTCTTAGAGAACCTTAAGACATCATTTTTCGATGATATAATAATGGTAGTAGTATAATAGTAATAACATGCTTTCTCCTAGGGCCCATTGGCATAGCTACACTTCGTTATGGGAACATGCCATATCAAGGGTGGGACGTCAGACCTGATCCGAATGGGTAAGGTCACACGAAATTACCTTTTTTTTGCTATAGACATTGACTATTATTTATGAGACTAATGCTAGATGCTTGTTTTGAAGAAAAATGATTTTGATAATTTTAAAGTCCAAATTATTTAAATAAAACGCTTAAACGGTTTAAAACACGATGTATATTAGACTTCAATCACCCCTGACTACGACGGCTACAAAGCATCCAAAACGTCGAGCCATAGTTAAAATACATTACAGATACGTTTCATTAATATACATCGCGTTTTAAACAGTTAAAGTGTTTTTTAAATTTGTACTACCGTAAACGTTGCTTTGTAAGTCCAAATCAATGTACCTAATGTCCAAAGCCAAAGTATCTTCTTTAAATGTCAAGGGAGTATTTTACCTACAATAAAATATACCGCATGTCTATCCTTTTCTATCGTAATAAATAAAATAACAATTACGTGAATCCTAGCACCTTTAATGATATAACATTAGTTCTAATAAACCTTCTTTGTTATTAAATATCCTAACATAATTGTAGGAAAGGCGTTATAATAACCGTTACTGGAGTCTGTATAACGGTCACTTGGGTATGCATCGGTAATACAGTTAAATTGAAATGGATAGCAAACGCCACCACTTCAGCGCTGAAACAACATTTCAATAAACCATACAGCGTGAAGAAAATGATTCAGGTATTACATAAATACTTGTATTTAGTTCAGATAAAAGAGAATATAATTAAATTAAGTTACAAAGAAGAAATAAATGCGACTAAAAATCAAGAAATCAAATATTCGACTTCAAAAATATTGTTTGGGGCTGTTACAGATGAGCAAATACTTAGATATATAGTTATCTTATGTCATAGTATCAACTAGGTCTCTTAAGAATTACCCGTTTATAGATAATGCGAGAAGCGGCGTGTGACTTTTTCCCAGACTTCGATGGCCACAGCCACGTGGAAGGTTCCTGTCCTAAAGAGTGGGTGGCGGAGAGACACAACTACCACGCAATGGCATTTTTATCTAGGGCATATAACTTTCAATGGAGCCGGTATAGTGCGATTGTCCGATATTAAGGCTTTGTCAATTTTAATCCGACTCGAAGGACCAACTATATGAAAAGCTTTCTTATAAACCTTTAAATATGTATATTATGTTCTAATATTGAAATATGCGCTTGCTGTAGGTGGAATGTTGGTGCCGGTAGTCGAAATATTATTTTGCAGTTACGGGAAGCAGTTGATAAAAAAGAGAGGTAAGGATTAACAATTAATTAATTTATCCACTGTAAAGGGTTTTCAAAACTTAAAACCCAAAGGGCCTTGGGAAAAGGGCCCAAAAACCCCCCAAAAAAAAAAAATTGCAAAAAATTTTTTTTTTTGGAAAAAAAACCCCCCCCTTTTTCCCCCCCGGGGGGAAAATTTTTTAAAACCCCCCCCCCGTGGTGAAACGCGCGGTTTTTTTTTTTTTTTTTTTTAAAAATTTTTTTTTTTTTGGGGGCCCCCCCCCCGGGGGGGGGGGGGCCCCCGGCGGGGGGCCCCCCCCCCCCCCGGGGGGGGGCCCCCCCCCCCCCCCCCCCCCCCCGGCCCCCCCCCCCCCCCCCCCCCCCCCCCCCCCCCCCCCCCCCCCCCCCCCGGTGGGGGTTTTTTTTTTTTTTTTTTTTTTCTCCCGCTGGGCTTCCCAATAAAACACTTTTAGCCGCACAAGAAGATTCAGATTCCTGAAACTAAATAAGTTTACCATCCCCTTTCTTGGTCACAAGATGGGAGTCAACTGGATTATGTTTGTGGCTTACCCTATACTCAGCCAACAAAGCTACCGTCTCAACAAATTAAGACCACGGCGGATTAAAGCAAACGTCTCTCCAAATCTGCGGTTTGCCAACACCCTTCGGGAGGGCCCAAACATTACTTTCCCTTTTCCCCCCCAAAAACCCCCCCCAGGGGGGGGTGTTTTTTTTTCCAGGTTGGGGGCGGGGGGGGTAGGAAAAAAAAACCCCCAAATTTTCCCCCCCGCCTTTTTTTCCCCCCCCCGGGGGGCCCCAAAAAAATTTTTTTTTCCCCCAAAAACACCCCCCCGCGGGGGGGGGGGGCGGGGGGGTTTTTTTTTGGGGGGGGGGGGGGGGGTTTTTTTCCCCCCCCCCCCCGGGGGGGGGGGGGGGGGGGGGGGGGTTTTTTTTTTTTTTGGGGGGGGGGGGTTTTTTTTTTTTTTTTTTTTTTTTTTTTTGGGGGGGGGGGGGGGGGGGGGGGGCAAAGCATCCGAAACGTCGGGCCGAAGTTAAAAATCACTTTCAAATAAGTTTAACTAATATATCGCGTTTTAAACCGTTAAAGTGTTTTATTAAATTGTGTTAGACTTTTAGATAGAGTTAAAGACTAATAATAAGTCTACAAAGATTAAAACTTTTAGATGGAGTTAAACACTTATTATTATTTTTAAAAAGATTATTATTCAATTATTTCAGGGTAAGTTTCAGCTTCTCCACGTCACACCTCAAAAGGCAACAGTACTAAAGTGTAACGAACTTTCTTCTGAATTTACTACAGATCCAGCAATTGGCATGCAGGTAATTCCATAATTATTTTAATTTCCTTTTAAATTCGGTTAAAATAACTATATAACTGTATTAAAACGAATATTTTTTTGTCACAACAAAAAATTCAATTTGAATATGTAGTTTTTATATAATTATAATCTTTTGTAATGAAATTCTTTTTTATCCATTTTCAGTTCTATCCGGACTTGTTCACGTTGAACATGTCTTATGGCTCAGTGGATGCACGTAGGACTACCTTCAACATGAAATATCGACTTGTGGAAACGGTCTTTGATATGCTCCAAGAACTAAAGCTGTCTAGTTATTCATAATGATAAAGAAAATAATATTATACAAATATTAAAAATCAATAAAAACCGAATTGTTCATAGTAGTTTCAATATAATCCTTACCGAAATATTCATATATCTATTTGTATCATAGTCGCTGCTCTGTCAAAATATCTGAAATAGACTGCATAACGTAATAAGCACATAGGCAGAGAACAACAGACTATACTAACGCCAGACTTGACATTTGCGTTATGCTATGGTCTCGCACAAAAATTGTTTATTAAAAAAAAATGTTGTATTGATTTTTCATCGCTTTTCGCACAGTGTTCCAGTTTTCTCCAATACAATCAATCAAATTACTTTTAAAAGGACCTTGTTGTGTTTGTAAGTGTCGCTTATTCAAGAAAGCCTTTCTATCTTTGAAAAGACCACACTATAATATACAATTTAGCTTGTTTATCGACCCGTAACGCAGTCGCGAATATTTTATACATTAATGCGATTTACATTCGTAATTACACTGTTTTAGGTAAAAATGAGTGCCATAGCGCAACAGGAGAGTCTCATTAAGGAGAGTTTATTTCATTTTATTAAGAAAAACGTCCCTAGGGCCGATTTAAGTGTTATAGATGATATTGTTTTATCCTACGTAATATCGATATTAGAAATTGCATCGCAGGACTCCTGCTTCGACGTAGAAGGTAAAATCTTGTTATTTCTATAAGTGTATAATTAGCTTTGAAATATTCATTTGTAATTGTTATAGCCACCATTTATAATCAACATTTAACTCTCTTATTAGGAGTTTCAATAACATCTATTCACCATTTGTTATCTATGCATAATAATTGCTGTTTATTTAGGTCATTACTCTGTAAAATTTTTACATATTTCCTGATCAATGTACTGTATGTTTGAGTTTTACTAAGATTCATAGCTTTAAAGAGTTACCAACATGAATAAATGATTTTTTAAGAATAAAATACAAAGCTAAACTGTCAAATTTTGAACCTGAAATGTATTGTAACTATGCACAGTATTTTTTTCTACTTTTCGTGAAACTCTGATCATATTTATATATATTTCAGGATTCATAGAATTTATGTCGGCGTACATTCCTGAGTTTGAACAAATCAACACTGAAGTAGTATGTGCTTGGGTTCTGGAATTGGAGGCTGAAATCTCTCGACGTGATGAGAGTGACACTAATTCTACTCATGGTTAGTTCATTTACACAAAGACTTATATATAATATACTACAGAGCAATATATAGCATATAAAATAGCCCCATATAACACCTTTTAGGCCCTAATATATGCCCTTATAAGTTTTCAGAACTGTTCCTAGAACACCCTGTTTAGGATATGAATTTAGATCAGAGAATTATTTTCATGTTAGTTTCTGAAGTTGAAACCTTATAATTGAAAATATAATAAAATATTAGAGAAACAGAAAAAGGTCACTTCACAAATTGTATGTATATATTGTCTCTTGTCCTGCAGTATACCATGAATAAAAAATATTGAGATAAAGTGGTAAAAATCTAATATTGCTATACATCTTTTATGGGTTATTTACTAAAGCAATGTGCACTTTATGTCACAGATGACTCGGCTGGGAGTGACAAGATAAGCTTGACACTGTTGAATTTAAGTGACATGCTCCCACCAGTTAGCAAGGCCAATCGGTAAGTAATATTTTTCTGACCTTCACTGTCTATCTATTATATAATTTTTTATTTATCCCTTGAATTAAAAAAGGACCTTTTATTAATGTTATAATTCTCTTATCTCTTCTTATAATTCTCCCTATAATGTCTGTGGATAGCATCTTCATGCCGTGGACTGTAACTCATTCAATGTCGGCCTCATTTTTTTTTTAAATATAGAATGCCCTGGTAATGTCAGCCTGACTTAAAACACCACAGATAATCTTTTCTTAAATAAATGTGACACAGAGTGATCTTACTAAATGCAATAATTAGGCTTACAGACTATAAACCATTTTTAGTTCGCATTCGAACTCGGAGAGCTCCGAATGCGCGGAACGCCGTCCGCCGATAGAGGCGACGTACACCGAGGAATATGCGGACCAGTGTCGCGTCCTGACGGAAATGTTCCCTAACACCTGCGCTATGGAGGTGAGACCCTATCCGTTAATGCGATTAAGCATTGTCGACTGGTCGTGAGTAACTGTGGCTTACTATCGTTTAAAAAGGTGCTTACACACTTGATCGTCGGTCGCCCAAGCGACTCGGTGACTCGCCGCGTATTAGCGTATGTTGACACAAAAATGGCTTTCGATACTAAGGAATTTGCATGAAATTACAATCCCAAAAAGCAATTCGACAATTCAATTCTATTGACATACCCATTTTATTAATGCTTACACCCAGCCCTATAAGTAGTCCAGGCTACCCAAAAACTGTGCTATGTCATATATATCTAATGAATTCAGCGTAAATTCTTTGAAAAGTAGCTTAAAAATTTAACATTAAGTTTTTTAAAAACGATTAAGAAAGTATGACTCGGGCAGATTTAAATCTGCAATAAGATCGTGCTGGGCACCAAGTTCTCTTCAACTTGTACCTAGGAATATGACAGTGTGAATAAAAATCGATAATCGTAAATGTTAAAATCTTGATTTAAATTAAAAATCGATTTAGATTGAAATAACTTTTACAAGGGCAGGACCTGAATCGACATCTACAGTGTTTGCTACTGTTGCTCTAACCAAGTAAGCTACTGTCTGTATCTTACACGTCTTAGTCGAATTTTTATTTTCTAAAGATACATGCACCTCTCGCACAATGTAATTTCAAGCTTAGCACTTGCGTTAACCTTTTTAAAATCTAAAATAAATTGAAAAAATGTTCGACTCGGGCAGGACTTGAACCGGCATCGTCAGCGTTCCGGGCCAACAGAGCAACTATTTAGTGCATTCATGTGCAATAACGTGTGAAAATGTTAAAGTTAAAATCTTGATTTGGTAGATAAAGCACTGCGTATCAATCGCTTGCGGCGATCCCGAACGAGCAGCCGCGACGCTGTTACACCGTCGCGAGCAAGGGCAGGCTCTGTCCGCAGCGGCGTTACATTCTGCTGCAAAGCAACCGCTCTGCGACGACCACGAGATCAAGAATAGGATCATTGCAAGGTGAAAATTATTTACAGTATACGTATACCAATATAAGATTTTTTTAAATATATATCTGTATTCAAAAAAAATCTTATCTATTTTGCTTTAATTATAAATAGCTTCCAATTAGCTAACCGTTGTTTTAATTGATAGAAAAGCATGGGGATCGCTTGATGGTAGGTGAAATGCCGTAGGCTATTTTTGGTTTTTTTATATGGGGATACCTGTGGTAGGACGGGTGATCAGTCCACGTTATCAGCCGACCATTTCACCCATTTCCTCCTTGCAGAGGTTTTGGGTCATTCCCCTCCCTTGTGTCTTCTTCAAACATTCCGGTTTGCTTGCAGAATCTTATTATTTTTTTCATCTGTAGTTCTTTGATGTCATCTTCTGTAACTTCGTCCGAGCCCATATGTATTTGTCTGAGTCTCGAGTATGCAGAGCATTCAGTGAGTAGATGGGTGCTTGTTTCCTCACTTTCTGCACTCCGGAGATAGGGGATCGCTGCCTATTCCTAGAGTCGGATATTCGCTCTCGTTAGTCTCATCAGGTTTTTGGTCTTCTTTTTGTCTAGGCTATGTATGAACATTTTCGACTGTCTCATGCCAGTCGAAGACTTCCATCTTTGGTTTGTTTCTTCTATGATTCTGCGCTCGATTATTTCCTTGGTTACTTTATTGGCTATCGGAAGTCTCGGTTCCACCCTGTCAAGCTTTCATCGGGTCCTTCGCGAGCTAGTTCGTCCGCTCTCTCATTGCCAATATTTCCTTGGTGTCCAGGGACCCTGACAATTGCCACTTCTACCTGATCAGTTAGTATGTTGATAAATCGTAACACGTGACAGGGGTCTTAAGTGCCTGGCAATCTCTGCACATTCCATAATGGCGAATATCTCCGCCTGGAATACGCTAACAAGTTTCCCCAGTGGGATTGATCTAGTTTTCTCTCTTACGTCCTCGCATTTTATGTATATGCCTGAGCATAGACAAAGCCCAGAGAGCTTTGTCGTTTCTTTCTTGGAACTATTCTTGGAGTCTATTCTCCATGTCTGCCTTTCCCCTATGTGGATTCTGTATCTCTTGTCAAAAATCCTTTCCTTTTGTATGAGATCGTTGTTGGCAAGGATCATTGACATGTTCTTGTCATTTATTTTACCTATGCTAGCATATCCATGATATTTCCTTTCCTTTCTATTTGTAGATCTAGTGGCTAATGCCACTCGAGATCATCCTTGTTTGTCTAATGGCGTAAAGTTAGCGACAAAGTTCATCTCAACCTCGAATACATTGCACTTAGGTAGGGCAGACAATTTCCGCTAAAATAGACTTTTAGAGCAATAGCGGAAACGTTTCAAGTTAATGAAACATAGAAGCGTGGTTTCATAACTATGTATTCAGTTTAGAGTAGCTTTAAAAATATATTTATAAATGCAAAATACTACTTCGTGACATGACTTAGATGTGCTACTAAATCAAGCCATACCGATCTGTTACGCGACCCGTTGCGTAAATGGTTTAAAAAAAAAACAATTATCAATTATACTTTCTAAATGAATCTATTGGTATGGAAATTAGGAATAATTATAAAATTAATTAATACATCGGAGCGGAGCTTGAAATAGGACTGACTGGCGGGGGAAGCGACGGTGTCGAGGCTTGGTAAAAGTGCTGACTCGGGATATAGGATATGCTGGGATACGTCAGCGACTTAGGGAACATGCAGGGGTTGTAACAGATCGACACTGGCAGCCGTTACCAGTAGTGGTACCCAGTAGTGTAATCTTTAATTTTCCAATTTCAGATACTCTTACGTGGATAAAGACGCAGAGACCAAGGAGCACAAGCCCCTGGCCCCCAAAATCGAGCCGAAGAAAATGGTCCGCTATAGAGACAATAAGATTGTCTCGTTGAAGGGCGAGAGGTACACTGAGGTGAGTTGCCAGTATTTAATTTACTAATTCTTTGCGAGATAATGGCAACATATTAGGTTTGTTTGCCACTGGAGAAAACCTTTAATTGTTTTGTTAGTAGTACTGTCAATATCTACTTAAAGGAGTTACACAGGGATACTTTAATAACAAGCAATTATTTCTTATATGAACAAAATTATTTACTCGGTAGCTAGGCCAACGCGATTAATATCATCATTATTATTTATTGTCGTATTTAGTTAAAGATCTTTGGTATAATCCAGGTGCCGAAGTCCGGTATCGACGAAGAACACTTAAAGAAACCTAAAAAACAGCACTGCCCTTAACCTTTAAAATCACGTCAGTACCGTGAAAGAGCGGAGGCCACGCGCATTACCGCAGTATTCCTGTCCTCTTCTCTAATAATCGTACCCCATTTATGCCCCGTTCGCGTAAAACTGACGCATACGCGTAATGACACATCGGTTGACGTGATGCGTAAAAGTTTAACACGTAAAATTACACAAATGACAACACTCACAACTAAGTCGCATATTTACAATTGCACGTCACTAACTACAAACGTATTAAATAAAGTATCGAGTAGGTTAAACGTAACTAATTATAATAACGCGCTACGCACAAATGTGAGAAAACAGCGCACAAATGCATTTTTGTGGCTCTTTTTGACACAATTGTGTGTGCACAATTTAGCGAATATTCCAATGACACATGACACAAATTCGAATGGTGACAGCCTTAATGCGTTGCGGGTTGTGACAGCTGTGTCACGTGATGCGTCTTGCGTCGTTTTTACGCGTTCTGTAAAGGGGCGTCAGTGTCGTGTTAGTGTTAGTGTAGTGACCGCGCGTGCATCGCACCGTTCGAGCGTTTTTTACGCGCCGTTATTTTTATCCGCTTTTTCCAGTACTGATTTTACATCACGTTTCGTTAAACGTCGGCTCACACGTCTTAATTTAAGCAATACGTTTTATTATTTTAATCGCGTGTTTAATTTTAAGCTCTCTATAAGGCAGTTGGCATACAGTATTATTTACACTAGCGATACCATGGCATCAAAGGTTTTGGAGCATGTGTGTGTTCAAATCGGTAGGAAAAATATAGGTAACAAATTAGGGGGATGTCAGTACGAGAGTGATGCCATAGGTGAAAAATATTACTTGTCTATGGTACGAGGAGCGCTAAAATGTGTATTTGCTGTGCGCAATAAAATTCACTTTAGCGCTGCTCGGAGCGTTTTTGTATTCCTTATAGTTTTAAGCATAGAGATCTTTCTCAAACCTGTGATTTTTAAATACTATTATTTAATTATAAATGTGATTTTTATGATAGGTTTATTGTTTTTACACTCATCTGTGATTCTGATGCCATTGTTATATTATATAGTTAACCCTTTAAGTGGTTTCGTTTTAAGTTTGACACGTCGTATCGTATTTGGCAGTTTTATTGACGTACCGATCCGGTACAGCTTATGATTACAATGCTTTGAGTTTCGAGTATGTGTTAGTGATTTTTATATATATCTACTGAATAAGTAGTATTTAATTTGAGAATTTTTAACAGGGTGTTAAAATTTGTGGTCCAAAATGAACGATTATTTCATTAAACAAGAAGTAAGTTAAAAATTATTCGAATTAACAAATAATATTTAAATTTAAATTAAAGGTTATTTAAATGTTTACTTATTACGTTCACAAGTATTCCTACAAATCACTAACACATATAGACACAATTAATGTTTCCGTATTTTTTTGCGAAGTAAAAAAGACAGAAACATTACTGTTTTGAACATTTAGTTCATGTTGAGATTTTTTTTATTGCGATATTTTTAACGCTTCAATAAATTATTAGATTGACATTAAAATATCTTATTATAATGCATAGGCAAGGAAGCTGTAACCATAAACAATTGTGTCTTTTACTTGACTGAGTACCTTCTACCGCCTTTTTAGTCTTATTTCCGTCTCTAACAAAGTGCTTGAACAGATATGCATTAACGAAAATAAATAAGACATCTCTTTGTCTATGAACGGTTAGTCCTATGAATTTATTGAGGTTTTAAAATGGTAGCGCGCGCTTTGACCAGATTTTAAGTTGAAGTGGAAAGGACCTCCACATACGAAATACACCTATATACGTAGATCTTATCGTTCTGGCGTCTTGTAACCTCGTCAAAGCGCTTTTTTATCACTCAGCATAGCTGAGCGCCTTTTTACTTTAAATTAAACTCTTTGAAATTACCTCTGCCTATTCATGTATTTATATTTTTTTTTATGTTCGACTACTTAACTATTTAAGGACTGGTTTTAACCTTTCTTTAATATTTTAAAAAACCGTACAAATTAAGTGACACGATGTGTTGTTTTTTAGTAATTCTTGCTTTTAATGCGGTTGTTGTTTAAAGTACGTGCATTATTGCGTCTAGGCAGAGGTCCCTATGATTTTAAACTCGTACTTTAATACTTTTCTTGGAATGTAATTTAGCCAAAAGTGGTGCTAAATAAGTAAATTTGTAATTGCCAAAAATGGTTAGGAAATTTTACAATGAAAAAATTAAATTTGTTTTTTTTTTTCTTCATTTAATTCTTGCCAATTCGTTGTTAATTATTATTACATATCTATTATTTTATTTTAATAATTTTATTTCATTTAAATTTCAACTTTTATTTGAATTTGTGCCCCTTTATCTTACAATTTGTCAAAATTATACCTTGTGTTCTTTAGTTTATAGGGATAACTAAATATGACGCGAATTAACAAGACTGTTTTAGGATAATATGACGAAAAAGGAAGAAATATCGCTTTTTAATATGACAATTTTGACAGATTTGAATCTCATGCAACCTCATCTTTCAAAGAAGTAATTTCAATATTCATTTAGTTAATTGATTATATTGATAAGGTCACAATACAGCATTTGATTATCTTGAATTACAGAATAATTGTGTTTGACAAATAAAATTATAATCTCAATTAAAATATAATTTTGTCAAATTGTAATTAACTGCCTGGCAACATTGATGACTGACATTCATTTGTCTTGACAACGGCTTCCCTGTGCCAGCCTCTCCTTTACACTAACTAACTGTGTATAATCGGAACAACGATAATCATAGTTGTTTGAAATTTCATCAGTGTTGCCAACCTGACGGTGTCAAAATCACAGATGAAATAAAAACGTCGTAATCGCCGCATTTACTTTGTATAGTTTGTATTAAATTATTTTTTGTATTATTATTGAATGTAATGTTAGTAGTGATGCGATGAGCGCGCCCTCGATGTCATATCTCCAATGTGAAAATGTATCAATATATCTTAAACCCTCTTTGTGTGTCTTATTAACTCCTAGTTAACATGAGGCATGCTCCATATATTGTACCAGGCCCAAAATGGACCTCAAAAAAAATTTGCTCCACTTTTTGGTCATTTTATTTAAATACATACATTTTATTTAAATAATTCGTGTTGCTTAAGTTGCGTTATTTATTAGTTTTCAATGCATATATTACCATTGCAAAGCGTTAGGAAATTATAGTTTTTAATTGGGGTATCGGGGCCTCCATAACTTTATTACATGAAAATTAAGCAAATAATACAATAAACACCAAAGCTGTATGTGGTGGGTTGAAGTCTCGACTATGTCATACATTTATAATTTGAATTAATTAAACCCTTGGTTTTTATTGCTATTTTTTCAATGAACGGGCTATTAGCCTCTCTAGCCATTTCGTAACGCAAGTAACCACTTCTACAACAATACGTCAATATAAAAACACTTTAACATTATTATATTAAATAATTTCCTTGAACAACAATTTTAAAGCTTCTAAACGAATATTGTCATATGTTATTTTCTATACGAGGTACTACATAATACACGCATCGCCATCGTGTACAAAGTATTATTTATGCCAATACAATTGGAATTTCGTTTTTCGCCACTGTTTCTATATTATCTGTAAAAAATAAGAAAAATTAAAACACAATACCTAACCCCTTAAATAATTATAGCTTTTCAAGATTTTCATTTTTATATACATTTAGATAAATATTTGTTTTATACTTAAAATTAGCCTGCTACAAAGCAAATTGCAGTATTTATATATTATATAAACATCCTTGCTCAACCCTTAAGATGATGTTGGTCTAAAGTTAGCAACGTTTGTCGACAGATCATGAGTTCGATCTCCACTGAGTGAAATATGTACCATAATAAATTTATGAATATTCCGAAACACGTTGGTCTCAGTCTGGGAAATCTGGCTATTAAATGAGTGAACTGAACCACTGGACTAATGTAAAAGTCGCAGATTCAACTTAAGATGTTATATGGCTGGGGTATTTCTAGTGTATGTAAGTAATCTATTACTAAAGCGACGTAACAGCTAGCTGAAAAAAATAAAACAATGCAATCTAAGATTTAGCTATTTATTTTACAAACTAAAATAAATAAATTACACTGGTAATACTTACAGGGTAACTTTTACAATGATATATACTAATTTTATCACACCATTTAATATCTGAATTCTACAAACAATCGGTGTTGCCATCTTCGTCGAGGTTCAGAAAGAGATATAGTTTTGTCGCGAGCAAATGTCATGTATGTAACATAGACTCGTGCAAATACTCAGGGCTAATTTAAAAATATAGCTGGCAACACTGATTTGAATTTGGCAACATATTGAACATAAATTCTTACAATACAATGGGAAAGGAAGCTATGTCGAATACGAAAATAAAAGTAGCATTTTCTAAGATTGAACATCAATGGTAAAAAAAGGCACAAGAGTTACACGTTACGAATATTCGGGGGAAATATCAGAATTAATGAACTGTTTAGTTAGACAATTTTAATAACCTAAGGAAATTAGTGGTCTAAGTGTACTCAACATTAATTCTGATAATAATTATAATCGGATTTTGCGCACGTTATTCAAACATTTGTGCGTTTTAAGGGTGTTGTGCACTTGGCGTTTTAAACGCGGCAAAAACGACGATAGACAGACAAACGTATCGTGTTTCGGAACGGATGTCTTTGTTCAGTTGCGAATTGTCAAAACATTCCTGTAATTTTCTTTCTCTATGCTTTTCGTGTTAACACAACATATTTTTCAATGAATAGTAAAGTACAGTTTTTTGTGCTTTATACTGTGTATTTAAGTATCAGAAATTAATATGTCTGACTCTGTGGACAGTTTCATCGTACCGAAAAAATTTAGCATCTTGCCATACGCAAAAAAAACGTCGCGTTTTCGCTGCGTTCAAACCGCTCTGACACAATTACCTAAGCCTTTAACACCTTCCAATGTTACCTATTATCGAGTCCACGACTTCGGAGGATGAACTGCTTCCGCCGACATCGGGAGTGAGGATTCTATCGACATTGACAGTTTTGTTGACAGCCCTACGGAGAAGGTCCGCGTGGAAGTGATGTCCGAGGTGCTCCAACATATCGATAGACGCGTTGATCATAGCTATCGGGTTAGCTATGTTCTTGCCGGCAATGGCGGTACCTGTCAAGTTTAAAAAATATTGACAATCTGTGCTAGACTCGCTGCTGCAAATGTGGGGCTATAACAATGGTATTTATTAAAAACAAAATAAATTATGATTTTGATGCCTGGAAGAGATTGCTCTATAGCGATAAGGCCGCCCATCGCACTCCATAACCATTGATAATAAATAAATAAATAAATATTTTTTTTTGCTAATTATTTTTACTTTTAAAACACGTTGATATATACTTTGTGTGTGTTGCGATAAATAAATTAAAAAACATTAATAAAATTACAGATTTGTATAAACTTACCAGTATTCCTAGTACCGGGCTCGAATACAGCATAGTGGTCTCCATAGTTTCTTCCAGATAGGAGACCAGCGCCTCCCAAAATACCACAGACAACGTTCGATACGATGGAACCATAGAGGTTCGTCATCAGCATCACGTCAAATTGATGAGGCCTGAAATATAGGAGAGATACGTCAAATTTTAAACCTAAACTGGCAACACTACATTTATGGTTTGAAAGTACTTACTTGGCAACAAGCTGCATGCAACAGTTGTCAATGATCATGTCATTGTGCTCAATGTCTGGGTACTCCTTGGCCAGGCGTCTAGAAGTCTCCAAGAAGAGACCGTCAGATAATTTCATTATGTTAGCTTTGTGGACGGTTGTCACCTAAAAAAAGGGTCAATATAGAATCAATAGTAATATTTCTTTATTTCTGACAAAATATTTTATCACAGTAACTCCTCCTCTTGATTCTTTAATCAAGAAAATATTGTAAAATGGGCATGACTGTTCTAAAATGGTACTCGATAGTTCTGTAAAGGAAACTTTACAGATCTCTTGATACAAAATGTTTTCTTTAAGACAGTTGTTTTAAATATATCCTCAGTGATTTACTGACCTCATTGCTTTATTAAGTTAGCTTTAACAGAAAAAGTTTCAACAATAGACTCATATATGAATATTATTAACTTTTTTATGAGGCAGAAAATATAACTCCTTTTATATTTACCTTCTTCCTGCCATTCTTCTTGGCAAATTCAAAAGCAAATCTGGCAACTCTCTCAGAGTTACTAGCTGTAACCACTTTCATTGACTCGATTACGCCACGTACTGACTCGTGTTCCAACATAGCATATTCACCTTCCGTGTTTTGTCTGTAATCATTAGCACAAATATAAAAAAAATCTCAAGTCCATAGAAGGGAATATTTGCAAATCTATAGAATGTATAAGTATAATTGAGTATATATACATTGAGTAAACTGCTATAATAACCTGGATAACAGAAATGGAAAGTCGGGCACTGATGCCAGATCACCTTTATTTGTTTTGTAATATATATAAGATTATTAAACTGAACATGTGAACCTTTCAGAGGTCATATAAATTTATCAATAAAGATTTTTCTCGACTGCCTATGTAGCTAAATAGTTAAACATATATCTTGGCCTAGTAATAAGCACTAGAATGCTGGCCAAACAATAAATTGATGGGTTTGTAGAGGCACTGGAACCTAATAAACTACTTATGCGTAAATACTGTCTATAGTTTATGCAATTAGCATCTGTTTAAATGAAACACTAACGTTTAAAAGGCTAATGATATTTTAATAACTTGTGTGTAAATGAATCTCTCAATAAATATGTTCGCCCCATTCCCCACAGGCAATAAGATTTCATCCTTTATGTATTTCTTACCTGATAATTTGAATATCAATATCCTTGTGCCTGGTTGGTACTCCAGCGAAGGATTTGCAGTTCAAGACATACGCATACATATCCAACTCATTACGAAGCGCTACATTGCGCGAAGTCACATATGCTGCTTCACTTTTGGTTTCAATGTTACCCTATAAATATATATTGAAGATAAGCTATTGCAAGAATAATGAGACAACACCCAACCACTGACTAGTCTAGTGGTAACACAGCTCTATATTACTGCAATAAACTTTGTATCATAGAGCATAGAGTTTCATCTTTCATTAATCATTATGCATCAAAACATTATTTATCGTTGTTTGCATGTATGCTCTCCAGAAAACAATTTTAAATGCTACATCTATAAATCATAAATATGGATTATTTATTTTGATTTAGAAAATAAAAATGTGCCTCATTTATATATTTTTTTTATGTATAAAGGCCAAAAGCAACTCCACAACAATTGACAATACCTTGAGTCCTACACCATTCCTCTTGATGGTAGTAATGGCATACTGTACATCATCATCATTGTCCACTGTTGGGTCAATATCAACCACTTCAAAGTCAACCGGTGCGCCAATGTATCTAAAATATTAAACCACATTTTTTCACTCAATTCTTCATTCAAATTATGGTTTTTACCACATTTTTAGTAAGTGTTATAATAACACAAATCATTTTATTTTAATATTATTAATTTTATAATATTTTATTTAAGTAAATTGTATAAATAAACCGTGATGTGTATTGCAATATATATTTTAATTGTATGTACACAAAAGGTCACACACTAAACTGCCTATATCACAATAATGTTTATGTAGTAACTAAAACAATATGAAACTGTAATAAAAATGAAATCCGATAGGGTCCTTAAGATTCTCACGTGACGAGCTAATTTTACAGCGGAGACGAATGGTGCGGCGCAATATGGCACTTACTTAAAAATTTCCCTGACGTAGCCCATGCACTCGGGACCGATTCCTCCACCTGGAAGCATGGTAACAGCATGACGACCACCGTACTGTGCCTTGGGAATTAATTGTTGTTTTCTGATAACTGGTGTCTTGTGCTGCATATCAAAATCCGAAAGCTCAGCTGGAGCAGCCGCTGAGCTTGCGAAAGCCACATTTCGCAGTTCGGGAACCACTCTAGCCTTCGATAATAATCTCAACGCCATTCTGTTTTAAATTTAGTTTTCTTTAGAATTTTAATTCACTCGTTGAATAATCACAGGAAGAGGAAACTGCAGCAGCTGTAGCTGACAGATGTGTTTGATAGGAACGGATGTGTCAAATATCTCGAATGATCATCAATGGACCCATCAATGTGAAAAGTGGTTTAAAAAAATACAATTAATAACGAATATGTTAGAAATTAAAATGTAATTTTTGATTTAGCTTGTTTTTACTTCAACTCATAGAAAATATTTAATTTTTAGTACTAGGAGAAGTAGGATTACTATAATAAATGTAATATATATAATTGTGCTATCTAAAACAAAAATGAAAATGTAATTTAAGTAGATATTTTGCTTTATAAAGTTAATAATTTTTAAATACTTATAATAAAATTATTGGAATACGATTTTAATAAATATAGTACAAATATAGAATATTAATTTTATATACTATATTTTTTACCTGTGACAGCCTTCCTAGCTTCATCAGTCAAAACTGAAATTTGTTTTTCTCTCTCTGGCAGCGGTACGAGCGGGCGTCCATTTTGTTTCGCCATATTGAATTTGGTCGGACATCTTTGGACGCCATGTTTAGTCGGACATATTTTATAAACATTTTCGCGTAAATTTCAAATATTTTTGAGGGCTAAATATCAAACTTTTTTTCACTGAAGTGTTTAACGCAGATTGCAGAAAAAATTATCCGAAAAAATTCCGTGCCCACGCAGCGGTCCATATCTGTCTCCAAGGGGCCGTTCAGCTTTTGTTAGAAGCTAAATAAAGGTAAACTACTTCTACCGAAAACAATCTTATTTTTGACATATCTTAACAAGTGTTTCTAATTTTCTGTGAATTTACGTGTTAAAGTGATGTGATAATGTGAGCAAATGAAGGTCATAGACCCGGGACTAGCCCACCGATTACTGGCGTGGTCGTTTTATGTAATTAACTCTGAAATTATTCAATTCCAATGGCCCGGCCGGTAGTCGAACACCTGTCTTGAATTCACCCCGTTTTTTCTATTCGAATACCACTCCTAATGCGATATTTTCCGCTCTGAATAATGTCGGAAAGCATAAAGATAAACGTAGTTAGCAATTTACGAATACAAGACTATGTAACGTGATATCATTAAGTTATATGTGAACGTAATGCTACACCCATGTAACGGTTCTGTTATCATAAAAAACAAACCGCGGCACTTTGATACAATAAGTAACAACAACCAGCTACTGTATTATCAGGAAATAATCTGTTCTCTTATTGAATTACGTATAATACTTGTGAAATGTTCTTTTCAACATTTTTGTGTCTGAATTGTTTAGACAACAAATGAAATGAATATTTTTCCTATTCTATAGGAAATACTTACAGATTTATACTTTAATGGTCTATAAACTAGTATAAGTATAGACATTAAAGTAAGAATATTCTGCTACAAATGCTATATTTTAAGAGATATCTAATGTAGCTATTGTTTATTATCTGGTACTTGAACAGCAACCCATATGAGTTAAGTATAGGCCTGGCAAGTAATAAGACAGTTTAACTAACGGAATCAGAGTCTGAATAGCATATTTCTGTAATTTGATAACTTTTTAATTGTTGAGTTTACTTGTTTTAGATTAAGTCAAAATGATGAACCAGGAGATAATGTGTGAAGTGGAGATTAATTCACATGGATCCATGGTTGAAATAGAAAATGATGACCAAGTTGGTGTTAAGGTAAGCAAATGTAATAGATAAATTTTGTTTGTTATTCATTTTGACTGTGTCTAAAGCTATCATGTAAAACAGATTTTTTGTTAACCAATTGGCATGGCTTTATGGGGTTGTCACCAATATATGAAACTGTTTCGATTGACCCACCTATGGGGCATGAGGTGAACACATGTCTGTGTTTCACTAATTGATTTTTACAAGCAAGTAGCTGATGAGACTCTTCTGCCCTGCTGATTAGAAAGTTATTGTTTCCCTGATTTGAACCCAGAACCTTTTTTGCTTAACCCAAAATTAAATAACACCATTAAAGCTACTCATTGGTAAAAATCAAAATTTATTTTTCACCTTGGTAAATACTTCTACGTGTAAACATATTTGAGTTGTGACTATATTTTATAATATATATTTCCAGTATGAAGAAATAGAGACTAGTCAATATGAAGAGTATATAACAGATGATCAATATGAAGAAGTGGAGGAGCAGGTTATTGGGATGCAACATTTGGAAGAGGGTAAGAGTGCTTATTAATGTAGACGATATTTTGAGTTGTAGCAATTTACTTATACATAATCTATTCAGTAGAAATATTATTGGAAAGTGCAAAGAATTATTATGAATTGACTGACACAAATATCCTAAATTTTGGGATATTTGTTCAATAAAAATTTCTTTTAACTATGTATAAACAATGCAAGTCTGACACTTATTACTTAGTTTTTAGTACTTATTACAACCATAAGCATTGTCTATACTTTACATGAGTAGGACACAACTAAATTAATAACATTACTTAGATATTTCGCGTTTTAAATAGTTAAAAGTGTATTATTTAAAACTGGCATAAATCTGTTAAACATGTACCTGCATAGATTATAAAATATTTACATAATACAGTTTAGTCAACTATTTTCTGCTTTTCGCTATATTGCTATGTGTCCCTACACTACGATAAATGTAGGTGGGCCATGCCAACTGATGCCAAATCTATCACATTAGTATGTACATTTAGTACATAAAATTTAGGACATGCAACACAAACATAATAACTCACTTCTTATGTCTGTCTGTCTCACAGACTATAAAATTACAGTCGGCAGCGAGGAAGTTATTCTACCTGGGTTGCCAGGCGATGACCCATTACACGGCAATTCAGAAGTCAATTATGATTCTATATACACACCAGCTTCCACAAGTAATAATAGGTGAGTGTTGATCTTATCTAAGATAGCCTTAATAAGATAGATAATTTAAACTAGTACCTTAGTAAAGTTGACTCTTGGTCCACAGCTAACAAAGTTGTCTAGAATTTGATTTTAAATCCCAGAATAACAAATAAATGTTTGAAAAATTAGCGGCAAAGGATATTTTATTATCTTTTTCATTCTGTTTTCTTTGTTTCCAATCATGAATGAATGAGATCTGAAGCTAGAATTAGAGTGTTGTTTAATTTTTCTGCAGAGGGCGCGGTAGACCACGAATCAGTCCCCAAGGAATTCATCATTTGATGCCAATTGGTAAGTGTTTACCCATTTATACGACCTGGATATTTTTTGCACATTTTTATAGGAACAACAGTCAGAGTAATTTATAGCAGAAAAAACTTCTAACAAAGTGGTTGGAAAAAAAAAGCAATAATAAACATTTATATTTCAGGAGAAGTTCCAATGGGTCTAATGGAAAATAATGCAAACAGGGGCACAGCAAGGAGGTGGGAACAGAAACAAGTTCAGATCAAGACAATGGAGGGAGAGTTCTCTGTCACTATGTGGGCTACCGGGGAAGACGATGGTTAGTGTCTGTGTAGTATTTCTTGAACTAAGTCCTTTACAGGTCTTGTAATTGTATAAATAAAAGTTGAATTATTATTATAAAACTTGGCGAATGGCTGACTTGACCCCTTCATCCGTAAATGTGAAGGTCTCTTGTATGTTAAGTTTATACCTAATATGTCAATACACATTTTTGTTAGTTTTCTTAATTTTTTTGCATATTGCACCTTACCTAGTGATCAGGAAAACTATTTATTCTTAATAAAATTGTTATATTTCAGATGACGGATCAAATCCTGAACCGGACCCTGACTATACCGAATATATGACTGGCAAGAAGAATGTACTAGGAAATGAAAGTATGCCAGGTGAGAGAAATTTGAAAAATATTATGTAAGCCTAATCAAGCAAACATTTTGTTGGAATCAAATTGGAATTGTGTTCATTATATGGAAATATGGGTTAAAAATTATAAATGTACCCCATGGCCCCACAACTGAAAGGCTATTTATATTTAAAAAACCGTGTAATGGTATTATTAATGGTATACCTCGCATGTTCCTTTCAGGATTAGACCTATCTGATCCGAAGCAGTTGGCTGAGTTTGCTAGACCGGGCCATAAAATCAGACTAAAGAAACCATCTCCCGAGTCCTCTGATAGAACTATTGGTAAAAACCTTTACTTAATATATTATGTCAAATACATATTGTTTAAACTGAAGAAACAATAATAAATATATAACTGTATTTTAAAATTTAGCAGTAGTAGGAGAAGAAAGAAGGAATAAATTTATTTACTAACATGAGCCACACACACAATGATGTAAAAAAACTTAATGTAATTTAAATATAAAATTTTGTATATGAATTCTAACAAATACTTATACTCAATCTTAACGGAATCATTAATATTGTATAGGAAACTGTTAGGATCCTAATTATTTCATATCTTGCTAAGTCTTGTGTTGAGATGACGAAAGATTTTCCGCGTTGCTGTGAAATTTTCTGAAAAAATATTTCTAAAAATATTTTTTTTTATTCCAGCATGTCCCCACAAAGGCTGTACGAAGATGTTCCGAGATAATTCAGCGATGAGAAAGCACCTGCACACGCACGGACCAAGGGTACATGTATGTGCTGAGTGTGGTAAGTATTTGGTGTCATACATTGTTTTTTATTGGATAAATTGTTGACAGCAAGCTGTATTGCCAGCTGCCTCTGTCCAAATTGACCAAATAATATTGACATTACTGTACATTGAGTTGACAGAAAGTACACTTCTACTTGATTCTTTTAGTTCCTTTTGGTTACTTTCCCTGCTTTAGCCACCTTGGTTGCAAGTTGCTCATACACAACCTCCAAATCTCCTGTTTGGGTGAAATATTCAGCTCAACCAATTACCATAACCCTAGTCTTACAAAAGATATCTATATTTAGTAGTTAAGCTTTTATGTTCCATTTACCTAACACTTTGCATTGTTAAGATCAGTTCTATCCTGGTTCCAGTAAGTCCATGGGAAATATAACTCCCGAGCTAACATGTAAAAAATATTAAAATTTGTTTACTTATACCTAACCTACTTACACTTTCCAGGTAAAGCATTTGTAGAGAGTTCGAAGCTAAAACGACATCAATTGGTGCACACTGGAGAAAAACCGTTTCAATGCACCTTTGAGGGATGTGGAAAGCGGTTTTCTCTTGATTTTAATCTAAGGTAAGCCCACATTGATTTTTATTTTCATCCATACGCTTAAGAATTGTAAAAAGTTGATATACAAAAAGACCAGTTAGGAAATGTGCATGACAAAAGGACACAACTCTTTAACTTTAAGCGTATTTGTAGTTAACAAAAAAATTTCAGAACCCACGTCCGAATCCACACAGGCGACCGGCCATACGTGTGTCCATTCGACGGGTGCAATAAAAAGTTTGCTCAGAGCACGAACCTGAAGTCGCATATTCTGACGCATGCCAAAGCGAAGTAAGTAAATTATTTTTCCTAATAACTATATATAGAAAATAAAGAAAAAAATATATTGTGCAATTTCGTCGTTTGATATGATTTTGAAATATCATCAGAATAATTTTTAATATTCATACCAATTCTATAAATACACATGTTCACATAAAATACAATGGACTGTCAGCTCTTTTGCACAATCTTCTTCAAAGATATTCAAAGTTAGACGGGTTTTTTTTTTTTTTTTTTTTTTTTTTTTTTTTTTGTATATACAATTTCAGATCAAGAAACTCCCTGTCCCGCAATGGGGGGACAAACTACGAATCGGCTAGGACAACACCGCAATATGTCCAGCTGGAGATGTCCCCGGATGACTCCAACCCACAACTAATATTCTACACGCACGAATGAGCGTCTAACGATTCAAAAGATGATGGAATTTGTGAGAAACAGACAATTTGTGAAGTGACTATTTAAAAAAAAACTCCTACTCGGAGTGAGGAACAGCACAATATATATTATGGATGCCAAGTGTGTTATCGAAGTCCAGTGATAGTGCAACTTTTTTCAAATCTAAAGACGATTGACATGTTACAATCTTTTGTCTGTGAATATAGTTATGTGTCAATATCTTAAATATAAGGTTTACATGTGATATGGTATGTTAGGTATATGATTTTGTTTTGCACTTATAAGAGTTTTCATATGGCAGTGTGTGTGATTTAATTTTAATAGTTTCGCCATGGATTCATTTAATATAAGGTACCGAACACTTGTTGATTGATGAATTTAGTTACCGTAAGTCCGTTCTGTAGATTGATAGGCCTTCAATTGGTGTCCAAATAGAACATACAAATTGAATGTTATGCATCTACTTTGGATTATAGTTTGTCAAAATTATCTATGGGTTAATGATTTAAATTACAAAAGCAACATATATCATAATTTTTAAGATGTCTTTAGTTTGCACTATTGTTAACGATGAAACTTGCTAAGAACTAAGCCTTTTGGTGTCTTAAACTCAATTTAAATACATTGACCTTGAATGATACATGAAAGTTCAATAATTTAGAGGATTTTTTGTTTCTTAAAATGTATGTTATAACAATATAGAATAACAACCACTGTATATAGTGCCTATAAAAGATATTTTACAGATAGATATCAGTCATATTGTAAATAGTTATTAATCTTATTTAAAGTTTAGGTGGTCCGGTAAGCCTTAAAACAAATTAATAAAAAAAATGCCAAAAATGTATTTTATTATATTTCAACATTAATTAATTTTCTTCCATTTAAATAGCTCGATTATGAATAAGAATGTCCTTATTTCTCTTCAAATCTTTAAACAAACACAATGTCATCAAAATTTATACTTTAATTTGCTTTTGTAAGTTCTATTCTACATGATTTTTTGACTGATGTAAATATTTTCTTGAAGAATGTTGCAATATTCAAATGTTTTAAATGATTTGCTGGTTTCCGCAAAACATTTATTGTTGTTTGCTTTTTTCATTTGAAATATTGCAACATTTCAAATCGATTGTTTCAACAATCTAAAATGTTTAAATACAATGTAAATATTTCTATATATTTGTAGTTTAATTTCAAAATGACCTCCAACAATTACTACTTAGAGCTAGCTAATCTGGCTAATATTGTTTTGTTGTTAACTAGATTAATATTACAACAGCAATGACGTTGATACAACTCCAACAATTGACAATGCATTAATTTTTCAAACATTTTTTAGATTATTTAAACTCTTTAGCTTTATAATATTAGTATAAATAAAATATTAAAGATTTTCATAGAACAGTGACACGCTTTTAAAATTATGTAGCATGAGCTACGAGGAGCTGCTATCTCTTTCTAACTCATTGTTGCGAGAGTGATAGGGTTATATGAATGACAAAGAGTACTCCTATTATATTAAGAAAAATAAATTATACCAAAAATTTAGACAATAAAAATATCACGGCAGAATTTTTATATTTGATCAACATAATTAATCGCCAAGTTTCCGAAATATTTTATTAGATGTGTATTATGACAGAAAAATGTTTTATCAATTACAAGAACCTAAGTGAAAATAATTAAAAGAAGAAATCATGAATCGCATCACTATTGTGCATTGTCATAGTTGCATTTTGAGTTTGACATATTATTGTTTCGTTACCAATTTTATATCACTTGACAATTGACATGACACACGTAAGTGACGTGTAAAGAAACTGTTTTCGTCGGCCCCAAATAATTTTATTGTTGCACCCAAGAAAAGGCTCAAAATGAGCTCGTTTAAGCGTGACAAGAAAGAAGAGGAAGATACAGGCGGAAACCCATATCAGAACCTGGACAAGACGATCATTTTACAAGAGGCGCGATACTTCAACGAAACGCCTGTAAATCCAAGAAAATGTTCGCATATTCTATCAAAGATCTTGTATCTATTGAATCAAGGCGAGAAGTTGACCACACAAGAGGCTACGGATGCATTTTTCGCTACGACGAAACTCTTCCAGTCGAAAGATGTGATGCTACGTCGTATGGTGTACCTCTGTATTAAGGAGTTGAGTAAGTTGGCTCAGGATGTTATCATCGTTACTTCGTCTTTGACGAAGGACATGACTGGAAAAGAGGATTTATATAGAGCTGCTGCTATCCGCGCCTTGTGTAGTATCACAGACAGCACTATGTTGCAAGCAATTGAAAGATACATGAAACAAGCGATTGTTGACAAGAATCCGGCAGTAAGTTCAGCAGCGTTAGTTTCTGCTCTACATTTGTCCTCTACTGCCCCAGATCTTGTGAAGCGATGGGCTAATGAAGCACAGGTTAGTTTCTTTTTGCTACTAAAGTAGTAGGTACATCATATTTTACACTTATTCCATTTTTTTTTATATATAAAAGGGCTCATACAAATTTGTAAGTGCAACTCTAGGGTTTCGAAGCGGAATACAGGAAGTATTGAATTGAGAAATATTTCTTAATGATTCAAAGCTACTTGTGGTATTACAGAGTAAAATGTGATGAATGTCACATAATTGCAAAATGTTGAGAACCTCTTATAACTCTAATGAACGGCATGGCTCCTTGTCATAAACAATTGATAAATAACGCCTTGTCTGCTTTATATTTCTGACAAAATTAAGTAATGTGAGTTTTTAATATTGAGAAACACTAAGATTACTAATACCCAAAATACAATACAATATTAATAGTATAGGTATGTAAACTTTCTCACACACTTGATAAAGCTTGATTGATTTATTCTGAACTTTCTATAACTAAGCCAAAGCTCTTATTGGAAAAATATTCTATATTTACTTTATGTATATGTATGCTCTTGTTTTTTTTTTGTTAGATATTAGGTTACTTTATACTAGGTTAGCAAGTGATCAGTTCAAAAATAAACCACTGCATGGGACAAATTCACATAAACACACTTTTAGGTCACTTAGGTTAATTTCTGGTCTCTTATATAATGTTTATGTCTAACATTCTTATAGTTTATGTAAATGATTGAATTGAAACAAATGAATATTTTTTTCAGGAGGGCATTAACTCTGACAATGCAATGGTATCCTACCATGCCCTAGGTCTCGTAGCCGCTACAAGACGCAATGACAAGTTATCAACAGTGAAACTAGTAACACGCTTAGCAAAGTCCCCAATTAAATCCCCATATGCCCTATGCCTCCTTATAAGATTAGCTGCTCAACTTGTAGAAGAAGACGATTCAGATGCTTCACAACCGTACATTGAGTTCATTGAGTGTTGTCTTCGCCATAAATCTGAGATGGTCATCTATGAGGCTGCACATGCTATTGTTAACCTTCGGAAGTGCGCCAGGGACTTAGCACCGGCCGTCTCTGTGCTGCAATTATTCTGTGGATCCTCAAAAGCATCATTACGTTTAGCTGGAGCGAGGACTCTCGCTAGACTAACAGCTAAACACCCCGCAGCAGTCGCTGCTTGTGCTGTTGATCTGGAAAATCTTATTTCTGATCCAAATAGATCTGTAGCAACATTGGCTGTTACCACCCTACTAGCGACAGGCGCTGAGAGCTCTATTGATAGGCTGATGAAGCAAATATCATCTTTTGTCTCAGAGATTTCTGATGAGTTCAAAATAGTTGTTGTCAAGGCCATCCGTCGTTTGTGCACAAAGTTCCCGCGGAAGCATCAATCGTTAGCAGCATTTTTAGCCGGCATGCTGAGGGATGAAGGAGGGTTGGAATACAAGGCAGCGATTGCTGATGCAATTATTGCACTCGTAGAAGAAAATCCAGATGCCAAAGAAACTGGGCTGGCGCACCTTTGCGAATTTATTGAAGATTGTGAACACACGACTCTGGCCGTTCGCATTTTACATTTGTTAGGGCGGGAAGGCCCAAAATCCCGCCAACCATCGCGTTACATACGCTTCATCTATAATAGAGTGATACTCGAGTCGGGACCTGTTCGAGCTGCAGCTGTTTCTGCAGTAGCTCAGTTTGGCGCCCAGAGGCCAGAATTATTACCTAATATAAAGGTTCTTCTGTCGAGATGCGAACTAGACGACGAAGATGAAGTTCGAGACAGAGCGATACTCTACAACGCTATCTTGGAAACCGGAGACCCACAACTGATCAATGACTATATTATAAACATACAAAAGCCAAACCCAGTGTTGTTGGAACGCGCTCTCCGCGACCACAATGAGGCGCAACCGGAAGCACGGTTCGACATCATGGCAATACCGACAGAGGAAGAGAAACAGGCAAAGGAGGACATAGTGGAAGTCGAAGTCCGGAAACCAGTTCAAGCTTCAATCGAAGAGATCTATTCAGAACAATTGGCTAAAATCCCTGGAATTGAAAAACTCGGTCCGCTCTTCAAGACCGTACCACATATTGATCTAACTGAACCAGAAACTGAATACAGAGTCCGTCTCCTGAAACATATTTACGCCCGCCACTTAGTGTTACAATTCGAATGCATCAATACGTTGAACGACCAGATCTTAGAACAGGTCCACGTGAGATTGGAGCCACCGCAAGACTTTGAAATCAGAACGATCGTGCCCTGCCAGAAACTTGTATACGATAAGCCAGACAGTGTCTTCATTGTCTTGGAATACCCCTCTGCGTACTACGACAGTTTGGGCACATTTGGAGCGACTTTGGAGTTTGTTGTCCACGACTGCGATCCGAACACAGGTGTTCCTGACTCCGGGGAGGGTTATGCTGATTCCTATCCTCTAGAAGAGTTCGAAATGGGCTGTGCCGACCAGCTAAGAGCTAAAGCCGGTCTAGATGATTGGGAACAGGCTTGGGACAGAGCTGAGCGCGCACCAGAAGCGACAGACACCTTTGTTCTACCGCAGAACGATATTAACGAGGCAGCCAAAGCGGTATGTGAGCATCTAGGGTTACCTAAAGCCGCGATATCAGGTGATGCGGTGAAGGAAATCAGAGGTGGAGGAATATTCCGTGGTGGCGCCCCTGTGCTAGTCCGAGCGAGGATCGCATCTAGTAGTGCGGGTGTTACCATGAAGTTAGCAGCCAGGTCACCGAGAGAAGACCTCGCGCAGTTGTTATTAGCTGCTGTTGGATAATATTTAGGACAGAGGATTATCTTTAATATCCTTAAGCGAAATCTAAGACAGGATTTATTTTATAAAAAAATTAACACAAAATATTGGACAATCAGCTAACTTAACGCCATCTTAATTACTGGAAACACTAATATTGCAAAAAACAAAACAATTTAACGTTATATGTATATTTACTAAGTGTTTTATAGTGTAATAAAATACATAAAATAAACGGGCGTTTAATTTGAACTAATAGGAAAATAAAACTAAAAACATAGACAACACATGTATATTGTTTATAAAGCTTATCAAAAACAATGTCACATGATAAGGCACTTATGGTTAAACTGTATACAGCATTCAACTTATATTGTCTTCAGCGTACAAAGACGCGGGGTACTCTGCCTTCACCCTGCAAACTACTTCAACCTCCTTAGCCTCTAGTTAACGCGTATGTACGAACGAAAATAATCACTTCTGCCATCACCATCACCTAATTGTCAATAGTAAGTTCAAATTCGTCAATTTATAGTAGAGATTTGGGAAAACTTAATACCAGTTATTTCTAATTAAATGGTCCTTTTTTATAGTTTCTGTTCGTCTTGATGACTAAGAACACCGTGGAAACACTTATCTAATCTTAATCAGTCTGTTAATCACAAATGTTGCTTACCACCAGTTAAGGTGAAATTTTTTTTTAAAGTTATGACTAAAAATTCTCGAACAAAACACAACAGTTTAGCTTAGCATATAGCTTACAACTAAGAGATCCATTCAAGTAACTTGTCTCATAAACATCTTATCAAATTAACAATAGCTTTTTAAGCTATTGTTAAGCTAAGTAAATGGACTTATATAATCTTAAATACTATTTGTAATTTGTGCGAGTAGTACACATTTGAATAAAACACTAACGGTTTAAGTCCGTGACCACGGCTGCTGCAAAGCATCCGAAACGTCGGGCCGTAGTTAAAATAGTTTTCAAATAAGTTTACTAATATATATCGCGTTTTAAACCGTTGAAGTGTTTTATTTAAAATATATAATCGTTCTTACTTAATTAGTGTATAATGGCAAAAGTGAGGTAGATTAACAATCAACATATTCTTAAGAAACTTAAACTTAACTGTCATCGTCACAAAAGTATGACAGATATCAACTGTCAAACATTTGTCTTGAAAATTAACCTTGTACAAGAATTATTTTGTGACTTAAGAAAATATATTTACCAAGATAGCTGGTGGGCACAGTCACATACATAATTTCTGTGTAATCCCGTTACCTCCACTTGCTTTGTCTAATTCACGGGTAAAGTTGACTTATACTAAATATAATGTTTCCTCAAAGTATTGTCATGTTAGACGGTCCCTAACAATGCTTTCATGATATGTAAAAGATATATATGTGACATATTATAAATTACAGGGTTTTGCGGCCTTTTTGCAAACAATCTGAGTATTCTATAGTTTTTTTTCGTTAAGAGTACCATACATCATACATGCTTTTATGATGATGATCGAGCTATGAGCACCGAGAAAAGAAGAACGGGCACATTTATCACTTAAACATATTTAAATTAACATTTTTTTATATATCATTTGCTATACCCTTGGTTGATGTAGCCTATCTCGATGTCAACTACCTGCATATCAAATTTGGTCCAAGCGATTGAGCTTGAAGAACACACTTACAGACTTAAGCATTTACAATACAAGTGATTGCTACAATAATGGATGCAAGTTTAAGGATTTTTTTTATATAATCGGAAACCACTTCTTTAAAATTTGAAATAAACATACCTTACATTTTTCTCTAGAAAATTTAAGCTCCTAACTAAGAGATCACTTCTACGACCGTTTTATAATACTACCTTGCAAAGGATTATCACTAAAACTTCTTGATTTCCCGAAACGTACTAACACTCGAGTCGGAGTCGTTTAGAATTTTCGAGATTATTTTCAACACCTTCTTGAATAACTCTGCTTGCTCCATGCATTCTCCTACTAAACTTCTGTAATATTAAGGAAAAAAAAACGCGTCATAAATAATCATAGTAAATGATATGTGCAGAAAAGAAGTTTAGTCACAGCTAAACAAGTGACCAGTAAACCTGGCCAATTGATATTTTTATGTTCAGTTGAGTTTCGAACCCAGGATCCAAAGTATTTAGCGCGATAGTCTTAGTATATATAGTAGACACGAAGTTTAGCAATAAATCAAGATTGCTATCCAAGCAAATTTTGGCGTAAAATTCAGTTTTCTTTGTAATCCTAATTAAACTAGAATTTTCTTTCGTATCACGGTGGAATGATAGTAGTTGCGGTATCGGTATGATCTGATATGATTTAGTATATATACATGATATAACTAAAATTAATGTCCCCCGTGGCCACGACTGCAAAAGTCCGAAATTAATACCAATTTGAAGTAAAATAAATAAGGCATTAAAACGCATAATATATAAGTTTAGCTTCCCGAGCAGCAGGGGCCTTGTCTTAAGGTAAACTCGTGTAGACTATTTAATATAACCTACTTGTAATTTACAATTTGGGGATCCTTCAACGCCGCCTCATATTTTGCCAACAATGCCTTTAAGTCCGGTCCTTTCGATTCACGATCTATTATCCTGGAAGAGTCAAAGAAACAACCTTTAGTGCCAAAGAGTTTTATAAAAAATATCTATGAGGTCGTAGGCCACCAAAGTAATCTTTGATCACCAAGTATAAAATTATAAACTTAAATCTTTACAAAATTTGATAAATTAAAATATTTTTCGCATGAATTTCACGAAAAATTCTAGCAGATTAATAAAATGCACTTACATCTTCAAGTTGTCTATAAAATAGTTAATATATTGTAGTTTTTCATCGACCTCGCTGCGCAAGAGTTCGTCTTCTGAGTTCTGGCGAACGCGGTGCGTTGATTCTGAACTGAAATAAAAAGCGCTATTAGTACAGTACAATGGTAAATATAATATTTATAGCTTTGTTTAAGCATTGACAGTCTGCTAGCAATTCACAATTTTACAGTCAAATAAAAACTAAATAGTAATATAAAAAAACATTCATATAAACTTTTGCGATAAAACATTTAGAAGAATATATCAAGCAAATCTGTAGTCTACGCGAGTAGTACACATTTAAATAAAACACACTTAACTGCTACAATATGTAAGTCAATTATCACGAAACAGGAGGCGTAGCAGGTTTGACGTAACTTTAAGGACATCTTTAGTAGGGCCCAATTGAAAGTTCCATTGGATGGTAGTAAAAATAAATTACAAGTAAACTAACTAATATATATCGCGTAGCAACTATTAATGTGTTTTATTTACATTAATATTTCATCTTGTTCATGCATCGTTATTCTACGTGTCGAACCGACATCGATATCTGTCAAGCCATTAGGGCGAAAAATCAACACATATATGAGGCTAGAGGCACAGTGGCCTAATAATAATAAAAAAACAATTTTTTTAATAAAAATAAAAACTTAGGCGAAAATGAATTGAACTATTTGTGTAAAAATTATGTTAACAATTTTCGGTCACTGTGCTCATGTAGATTAACATTTTCAGACTATGACAATATAAATCACTCAAGTCATAAATTTTCAGTTAGGCTACAGTGCCTCAAGCGGCATCATATATTCTTACTAATTATTTCTATACTTACACGAACATATAAAATGCATTCAAAACTCGATATATATAACTCAAAAAGTACTGAATATAGCCATAGACGTTCGGCAAATCCTTCTCGTTGATCTCCTTTCCATCACTCGAACTGCTTGAACTGCTGTCCGACGAATCTGACGTGCTGCTGTCACTCGAGCTATCACTGTCACTTGACAATTGACGTCGTTCATTCTGAACGCAACCGTTCTGAAATGACATGTTGTTGTTCTTGTCAATTATCAAACTGTTTAGGCATCGGCCAAAAGTTCTGATAACATTGGTGTTGTTATCCTGAAAAAAAAAAAAAAAACAAAACAAATATAGTTAATGCACGAAAGAAACTATAATTTCTAGGTTTCACGACCTTTAGAAAAAAGTATATCTATTAATATTAGTGTTCTGCCTGTGGTGGGCTGTTATTTTTCATTAGTAATTAAAATTAATTTCTTGTTATGAGTACACTAGTGAACTTTTATACAAATTCCCATTCTGATTTTCCCTATCACGAATTATTTCATCCTAATTGTATTTATCACAAATTTAAAACAGTAGCCACAGCTTATCACTAAGTTTCACTTCTTTTTACAAACATAATGTATTTTGAATTTTACTTTTAACATCTGTTTTTTTAATGTATACTTTGACATACCTCGATATCTTGGATAGTGCAATCTCGCCAAGTTTCGAAGTGATTCTTTAGATAATCCAAAATGTCTTCACGCTTCCTATGCACTAAAAACAAAGGCAAAGGTTTAAAAAGTATTGCAGTATAAATACTGTGATGAAAGTTTAAAGTTATTATATAAAATCTATGAGAACTATTAATTCAAAGATTCTTAATTATTGCTGATAATATTTGATCAGACTTCTTTACCCAGTCCCCCCTTCCTAAACAAAGCCGGTTTCGGGTTCGTCGGTTCTGGTACTAGTAAATTATTTAGTATAGTAAGTCTGTGGAACAAAGTATACTTTTGGGTCTTGTTGGACTATCTCCATAGTCCTGAGTTTGTGTGGGGATGTCCAAACTCTCAAATTCACTTTCAGATTCTGGATGATATATACAGTGTAATAGTTCCGATAGTTTTGTACTCGCCTCGGTATTATAGTTAGGTGAAATTATCTGGAAGAACATGATTATTTTCATTGAATAAATAATATAGAACCTTTTTCAAGTAAAAGAAAAGTGTACTTAAGTAACAATGTGAGTTGTCTCAACATTAAAAACTATTCTTGAGCAGTACGACTATGGACTTATATTTAATCCAACAAGTTATGGGGCCAGACCGCATAAATGGTTTTAAAGTTGATGACCAATGGCTTGGGACCCTGTTGCTAGTTGCTTTACACAAAAAGCAAGTGGAATCAGTCTGTTAAGCAAGCGCAAGGTAAAGATACAATTAGTAAAGGTCCAAATTTATTGCACAAATAACATCTTGGCAAAAATCACTGGACTCGGAGCTTCTAACGCCTTGCAAAAGATTTGTCTTCACATAATCAGCCGTTATCACGTCAAAAGAGCTTTCAAGTGCCATTATCATCGGTTAATACAGTTCTGGCAAGCCGGCTAGCAACAGGATCCCAAGCCATTTGTCATCAACTTTAAATCCAATATTTCTTATGGGCTGTAGTCTTGTCCTTGATGTTCAGACAACTTTGTGTTCTGGTAAATAAATCAACAATAGACCAACTCGGTGTGTTAAACCTTTGTCATATTGGTACCATTCTTTGATACTACTATGTGTTACTAGCCAGTCCATAAATTTTAAAGGACAATTTCAAAGTATGTTCTTATAAATTGTGACTAATAAGAAATTACAAAGGAATATTCTTGCAAAATTATATTGCTAGTGTCCTTACCTTGAATTGTTCGAGAAATAGTAGTCCAGAACCGATCATTTTCGTAACACAGTTGGGATTAACATTGTTCCGGGCTGCATCTGAAATAAGAATTCGGTGTATGTGCTAAATTCATCATAGAGATAAACATATATTGTGCGAAATAAACATCGATAAAAAAAAATAGGACACCGGCGGGACTTGAACGCGCCTACAGAGAGTCCCGTGCTGTTGCTCAAATTGATACATGCCACTCTTGCGCAATGTAATCTCAACCTTAACACTTACGTACGTATCTGTACGACGGAAGAATCGCAAAATTCACAAACAAAAATCTAAACCTTATGGTACCAGTCCATAGTTTTAACGGCCTTCAAACCAGTCACAAGTTCGATTCCTGCCCTATATAAATTAATCCTTACAGGATTTTAAAACTTTTGCTGTGAACATTATATTTCTTGTGTAATAATAGTCTAAAAACTAAAACCTTATAATAATAATTTTAAAACATTTTATTTAGCAAAGTACAAGTCTAATGTCTATACTTTACGCGAGTAGTACACATTTAAATAAAACCTATGTATAAACAAAACATTGTACGGTCTAAAACGCGATATATTAGTTAAACTTATTTGAAAATGATTTTAACTTCGGCCCGATGGATGCTCTTCAGTAACCGTGGTCATGGGGAGACTAAAGATGGAGGATGTCTCTGACGTCAAAGTAAAAATTGCTACGCAGGCCATCTGTTCCGTCGAAGTGTATTTGGCAAACTGGCCATTTTCAAATAAGTTTAACCAGTATATCGCGTTTTAAACCGTTAGTGTTTTATTTAAAAGTCTAATGTGTTATAAAACAGTAAGAATCGTCCAAACTACTTACGATATCGGAATATTATGGTTCGGTAGTACTCGAGAATTTTGTCCACGAATATGCTTACATTTCCCTTAAAAATGTCGTCAATACAAGACAGTATTTCGTCAAAGGACCATGGCCCTGGTGGATTTGTTGCTGCAGATTCGTGCTGAAAGTGATTTACGCTTAATTCGATATCTAATTAGCATTTTTAATTCATAGTTTTTATATGACAGAAGGACAGACGAGAATGAGAAGAAGGAAGACAGACAGGGGTTCACTCGATAGAAATGTGTAAGTGAAAGATGGGCTGCCTGCCTATTTTGGTTTTAGACATTTTGAAAAGCCACAGTCCGTGTCCGTAACATGCTTTTATAGCTTTTCATCTGTAGTGGGATGTAGAAACGACTTGCTACCACCCATATTTTACACAAGTAGACATGTAAATAAAACACGTTTAACGGTTTAAAACGGGAAATATAGAAGTAAAGTTATATACAATGTATATTAACTGCGGCACTACGTTTCGGATGCTTTGCGATGTATCCGCTCTGTCTATATAAATAAGTAATATATTTCGCGTTTGAAACCGTTAAGTGTTTTATTTAAATTCGTATAACATGAAAACTACGATAGTAGTTATGGTTCCTAGGTATAAGATTTTCGTATAACATGTTAAGAATTTTTTTTATAAAGAATTACAAACATTTTGGACCGGGTGGAAATTGAACCCACGACTCGCTTATATATTAACATTCTACCAATGAGCCGATCGAGGCCGACGAGATATACCTATACGGCCGTCAAATAAAATTTCGCAAGAAGATTTAAAATGGCGACAGTTGCTTAACCCTTAACTTGGCAGAATTTTTTTTTTTTCCAAAAAAAAAAATTTTTTTCCCCCCCCCCTCTTTTCACCCCCCCGGGGGGGAAAAAAAAAATTTATAAAAATCAACTCACCCCCCCCACCACAAACCCACCCCCCCCCTGTGCCTTGGCCAGCCCACCGCTTTTTTTGCTTTCCTTTCCCCCCCCCCCCCCCCCTCCCCCCCCCCCCTCCCCCTTCCCTCCTTTTTTTTTTTTTTTAATAAAAAATAAAAAAAAAAAAAAAAACCCAACCCCTTTATCGTTCTTTTTTTTTCACAACTAACCCTCAACCAAAAACAAAAAATAAAAAAAAAAATACACCCCCCCCCTTTCTCTTTTCTGGAAAAACAACCCCCCCCCCCCCCCCCCCCCCCCCCCCCCCCCCCCCCCCCCCCCCCCCCCCCCTCGGGGCCCCGCGGGCGGGGGCCCCCCCCCCCCCCCCCCCCCCCCCCCCCCCCCCCCCCCCCCCCCGCCCCCCCCCCCCCCCCCCCCCCCCCCCCCCCCCCCCGGGCCCCCCCCCCCGGGGGGGGTTTTTTTTTTTTTTGGGGGGGGGGGGCCCCCCCCCCCCCCGCCCCCCGGCCCCCCCCCCCCCCCCCCCCCCCCCCCCCCCCCCCCCCCCCCCCCCCCCCCCCCCCCCCCCCCCCCCCCCCCCCCCCCCCCCCCCCCCCCCCCCCCCCCCCCCCCCCCCCCCCCCCCCCCCCCCCCCCCCCCCCCCCCCCCCCGCCCCCCCCCCCCCCCCCCCCCCCCCCCCCCCCCCCCCCCCCCCCCCCCCCCCCCCCCCCCCCCCCCCCCCCCCGGGGTGTTCCCCCCCCCCCCCCGGCGGGGGGGGCCCCCCCCCCCCCCCCCCCCCCCCCCCCCCCCCCCCCCCCCCCCCCCCCCCCCCCCCCCCCCCCCCCCCCCCCCCCCCCCCCCCCCCCCCCCCCCCCCCCCCCCCCCCCCCCCCCCCCCCCCCCCCCCCCCCCCCCCCCCCCCCCCCCCCGGCCCCCCCCCCCCCCCCCCCCCCCCCCCCCCCCCCCCCCCCCCCCCCCCCCCCCCCCCCCCCCCCCCCCCCCCCCCCCCCCCCCCCCCCCCCCCCCCCCCCCCCCCCCCCCCCCCCCCCACCCCCCCCCCCCCCCCCCACCCCCCCCCCCCCCCCCCCCCCCCCCCCCCCCCCCCCCCCCCCCCCCCCCCCCCCCCCCCCCCCCCCCCCCCCCCCCCCCCCCCCCCCCCCCCCCCCCCCCCCCCCCCCCCCCCCCCCCCCCCCCCCCCCCCCCCCCCCCCCCCCCCCCCCCCCCCCCCCCCCCCCCCCCCCCCCCCCCCCCCCCCCCCCCCCCCCCCCCCCCCCCCCCCCCCCCCCCCCCCCCCCCCCCCCCCCCCCCCCCCCCCCCCCCCCCCCCCCCCCCCCCCCCCCCCCCCCCCCCCCCCCCCCCCCCCCCCCCCCCCCCCCCCCTTAATAGATGTACCATCGAAGTAGTAGTTTATTGTTGTAGGTATTAAAATTAATTCTTAAAAAAGCAAGTATACCTGTAAAACCTCTTCAAAGAAGTCTTGCATTATCTGTACAAAACAGCACACCCATTCATCGAAGCGCAATTTAACTCTTTCCTCGATTTCAGGGTTATTGATATCAAATGTTTTTAAAAAATTGTCTATCGTATAGTCTTCATTAGCTTGCGTTATCTGTCCACGTTCTGAATTCAAATTTTGAGCATTTAAATTCGGAACACTTTTTTTGATTGGTTCAGTTTTTTTCAGTCTACATTCATTCAATATGTCAATTTCGCTTCTTTGAGAACTGTCTGAGCTTTTGTATAATTGGTCCTTATTTCCATCCCCATTAGGTTTATAATCAACTGATTTGAATATTCTGTCATTTTTAAATTTTATTTCGATTAGCTTATACTTATTCAAATATAGGTTGTTGCCAGATTTAAAATGTATTTCCTGTGGAATCAAATTATATTACTATTACTATCTCTAGCTGATCCAGCATTGTTTTGGCATATAAATAATTTCTAAGGATCTGGTACGACTGACTTGGTGTCATCTCTACTCCTGTTTATTGGATGAGACCAGTATATGCCTGGAGGATAACTTCCAAATTATAATTGAGCAGGATGAAAATTTAACCCGACAGTAAAAAATAGGGGTTGGTGATACAAGTGTGAGAATTAAAGGTTCTATATATTTCTTAATGCCATGTTTATAAAAACAAATCCAAAAAATAAAAACACTATTTTAAGGTTCGATGGTTCCTTATCACTTAGAGGTATAAAAAGGAGGGGGTTTGTATTTATCTTATTCACAGTACAAATTGAAGACTATACTAACCCTCTCATCATATTCGGAGTCAGATTCTTGGTCCAAACAAAATGTAACACGTTTCTTTATTTTGTTTTCAATTGGTGTTTTTGATTGACCTGAAAAAAGAAAAGCTTAGTCAGTCACTAACAGTAATAACAACTATACCTAGATAAAAAAATTTTTTCCAACATAGGGTCTAAGATAAGATCTTATAAGGCAAGTAGGAACATACCTTTTTCATTCAGCTTTTTTGCTTCCAGAACAAATCTTAAATCACTTTTCTCTAAATCTTTATATTTCACACTTTTATCTTCGATAACAATAATTTCATTATATGCATTACATACAAATTGTCCACATCTTTTATTGTTTTCTTTTTCTGCATTATTGTTACCCTCTTTAGGTGCAATGTCAATATTATCATTAAAAACACTTGATGGTTTAGGAAACCCATTTTCTAAATCTGTCAATATATTATGTCCTTTTATGCCACCTTCTTGTGTTGGTCCATTTTCAAAATGTTGATTAACATTAAAGGTTCTAATTGTTTGACCACTATTGACTGCGTGAATACTTTTGTTGTTCTGTGTTCTCCTTTCAGAAGTGTCTGAATGCTTCTGTCTATAAAAATTTTCACATTTTTCTAATTTGCCTTTATCTACAGTTTGACAATTTTGTCTAGTTTTTTCTACATTTCTATTGAGTGGATTAAAAATAGCCCTATGCTCATTATATCGGGGTAGAATGTCATATGTATCTGTTGTTGCATAGCCTTTTGGTGGCACTTCTTTAGTTTTCTGTAAGATTACATTTTCGCCCTGGATATTATTGTCAATTGTAGAGTTCTCAATATCCATAGATACCGTTTCAAAATTGTCGGTATTGTTCTTTGAGCTGTAAGCTTTATGTATTTTGGCATTGGTACAGCGAGGTCCATGAGTAAAGCCCCATTTGTTTAAGGTTCTAGGATCCCATTTATTGCTATAAGTATTTGTTTTAAATGCAGATTGAAAGCTGGGTTTAAAGGTACTCGGTACTGAATTTAATATTTTAGACTCTAATGAGGAATTAGATGATGGGATTGGATTTGATCTAGGACATGGGAGAATATCCTTGGGAGTGGAAAAAATAGAATTTTGGTACTTTGTATCGTTGAAAATGTTAGTGTGTTCATTGGCATTTCTGAAAACATTTGTCATAGACGTCTGAGTTTGAGTAGTATCGGCCTTATGTGTTGAACCCTGTATCATTATTTTAATGCATATATTTTTATCATTTTCCAGCACTAAGGAGTTTGTTCCACTTGCATTAATTTGCAGAGATCTTTGATCTATATTAGGTTTTGTGCTCTGTAAATCACAAGGTAGGAAATAATTTGTATGTTTATTTTTTTTACTAGGGCTAACATTCTTTTGCAAATTTCTTTTTTTATAGGATTTGAAATTGTCTACTGAGCCTCTGTCTATGTAAAGATTAGCAAAAGGATCTGTCAAATTGCAAGAATTATCATATCTACATCCGATCGACGATACTTCTCCAAACACCCAGTTCGGGGTAGCAATAGGCTTAGGAATTGAGCTATAAAGATTAGTATTTCCGAATGTGGGTAGTTCTTTATTGGAAATTTTATTCGTTTGGGCATCTTTTCTATTTGTCCAGGAGTTGACATTTGAAATATTACTTGGCGCTGTGTTATCCCTACATGAGGTTGGAAAACATTCATTTGTACTATCAACATTGATGTTGCTACTTAGACATTGAACATCATTCTTTGGTGGATTACTGGGTTCTGGATAGTTGTGTGTGGTGTCCACTTTGGGAATATCCTTATCCAAGTTCTTTTTCTGAAACTAAAGACAATAGATAAAATGTGTGATTTACTTACTTTTGAGGGAACAATTTCTGTTCTGTGTGCACCTAACTACCATTTAGTCTACAATATACAATCTTGTTGTTTGAACTACAATTGAATCTCATATAGTAAGCTTACATTAATCTATGATATGTTAAATCTTAAATAATTGAAAATTTAAAATAATTGAAATTCAATCGCTAACAAAGTAGGTAGTGCTGGAATTATATTTTTTAAAATTAATACCTGTAAATCATTGAAACGCCAAAAGGTTGCACCATTGAGGACATTAAAATAATAGAAATATCCCGGGAAGCTCTTAGATGGGCATAAAACCCACTCTCTCTTTTTTTCAATGTCCATTTCGTCCACACTGTGTACAGCCAAAATAATTCAGATTCACTTTAGCTTGTATTACAAACATCACGCCAAACTCCTTGATATTTAATTTTGAACGTTAATTAAAACAAATAATCTATAAAGTATCTACTTACTAAGTTGAGAAACAAACTTTCACGTAAAAGTATTAAACATGGTACTTTTACGTACTAATTTATCTAAGCATAGTAAAATGATAATGCTAATAGGAATAACAAATTATAAGAATATGATATTAAAAACTCGGTACTTTAAAATGACGCAGAAAATAGAAACATAATTTTGATTCGACAAAATGTGCACGTTTTGTAAGGATCAACAAAGTCAGTGTTGCCAAATTCTGAGAAATTCCCATAAAACTGCAAAGTATTACATATTTTGCAATTTTTTGCATAAATAGGTAATTCGTAGTTATTGAATTAACTAAAAATAGGCATTTTACGGTAGGATTTTGCTTATATATGTAAGCGGTTATTATTAAGCTTTCGAGTTTTATTTACGATACTATTGCGTATAGTTCAAACAAAAACGAAAATTCATTTCGTATACATTTTTATACTATATTAGTCACGCAAATTAAAACACATTTATATTATAATTGTTTATTCTTAATAAACACGTTGTGAGCAAATCATAGATTTATTAGTATTAGGAACAATCACAGTTTATGCTAAAATTATATTATTTTCTTAGAATTAAAAAGGGCTTATTTCTTTTGACAGACAAGTACAAGCTTAATCGATTTCCGTTTGTTTCAATTAATTGACTTACTTATTTTAATAATAATTTGAGGTATTTAATCACAAAATAATGTACATGATTATATTTAAAGGTAAATTTATTTAGTGAGTTTATCGAAAGCAACCATATCAACAATAATTATTGAAAGTATTACTTATATACAATCTATACCCAACAAGAAAATTGTCTTAAAAATCTTCAGTCTTACTTCCCAAAAGCTAAATAATATTCCCTAAAAGCAATACCACGATTACCTAATTATAGAAATAGATTACTTATAATGTTAAACGAAATTAGAAGTGTAATTATGACAGGACAAATTTGACTATTGACAATATAACACAATACTGGGACAATAATAAAAAGGATTATTTACGGTACAAAAAGACAACCACAAGATTACTTTATTAGGTACATAAAGAGACGTTTTACGTATAAATAATATATTACGACAGTGGAATCTTTGGTACTAATAAATATTCTCTAAATGTCTCCATTCTTAAAGTTGCGGCAAGAAATATCGCTTAGAGTATCTCCCAAGTTAACTACAATTTTACAACTCCAAAAGAATAATTTTTAAAGACTTTACTTCGTTTTACTATGTTCTTATTGCAAAGGACATTATAGGCCTGCATTTTTACTATAAAAAATTGTTAATATTAAATGTACCTTTAAAGCAACGCTCACGATGATATTTTCAGGAATCTCTCACTTTCAAAATTGCTTGTATCGTTTAATATTTTTTCATTCTTTCGATGTACTGTAAATAAATTCTTAATACTTGATACTCGTTTTAGGGTTAAATAAAATCCCAATAACAATAAACTGATGAAAATTACAGTGAATAGAGGTGGTAGAACTACAACCGTGAAGTAAACGAAGTATTGTATATACCACGGCAGACCTTCTTGGCTCTGAAATAAAGACAGTAAAGTAACACTTTAATTTACTTCGTTAGTAAGCATATTATTTCCAGATGGAGGGAGAATCATGTCCTTTTTGAATTTTGCAACCCTAAGTAAAACTATTATGTCAATAAATCACAGTTTAAAACGCGATACTTCGTACAACTTATTTGATTTTTTTTAAACTACGATTCGCTGTTTCAGATGCTTTGCAGATATTTTACGCGACTGCTGCAAAGCATCCTAAACGTGGGGTCGAAGTTAAAAATCATGTTCAAATAAGTTTAACTAATATATCACGTTTCAAACCGTTAATGTTTCTTATTTAAATGTGTACTGTTTGCGTAAACTACAGACAGTATAACACTACTATTTTACCACAAAAGGGTATAGAACCTTAAATATTGTGTACAAACGCCGCTATCTATTATTAAAATATACTTACATATTCTATCCATGCCAGAGGTAATATAAGATTGGAGAACCGGTGGAATTCTCGTCTACTAAATCTTGAGAGATCCTGCACTTGCATATTACATTGCATCCGTGCTAATGCTCTGAATGGTGTCCCTGTAAACTAGACAAACACAGCTGTGCTATAAAAAAATTACCCCACATAAATGTTAACATGAACTAAATAAATACTGTCTATAGTATACGCGAGTAGTACACATTTAAATAAAACACTTTAACTAATATGAAGCGTTTTAAACCGTTAAAGTGTTTTATTTAAAAGAACTAAATAAGGTGAATTATGTCATGTAAGGCCGCATGTATAAAAGAAAGCGAGATTAGATATTTAAGATCTATAACGCGTTATATAACGAAGCGGTTTACCTTTCTATAAGTACTTAAAGAGGCTTCAGTGTCGCATAAACGTCATTTGACGGTTTAGAACGCGAAGAATATTGATGATGATCTTAGGTATCTAAAGATGGTGGGCGTCCTTACTGTCAAAGTCTAATCATCTGCACTGTTAATCCATTCATATTGTTTTATTATATGTATACTACTCGTGTAAAGTATGGACACCAAACTAAATAGAATACTTACTGGTTCCACAAGTACATAGGAATTGTGTTTCTCTTTGTCTGGTGTTAGTCCAGTGACATATGTGTCTCTTGGCGGAGAGCCTGTATAGAAGTGAGGATATGACGCAACCATCGGTAAACCTGTACAAAGAAAAATCGTTTGCTACTTTGATCTTAATGTCGTACACACGTAGGAGATAGTATTTCTTCCTGATATTATATTGGCTGTTAGATATTCTATTCCAGTCGTTTGTTTCAGTCCTAAAGGTAGGCTGGCTCTCTCATAAACATGACGGTTTTATTGTATAGACCCACGACGCTACATGTACCTACAGGGCATGTGTTGGCGAGCTTTAACGACTACCGCTACATATCAGTGATGAAAACCTAAACTGACGTCAATATGTAGTAAGTGATAATGCATCCAAACTATATTTTATCACTCCAAATCAAACAAATCTAAGTACCGAATTTTCACCTGACCGGGATTAGGAACTAGGCTCTCTGTAGTTAAAAGTCCTAGGCACGAGACTAACAAGGCAGACCATTAAAAAAGTATAAGCCTACCATCATAACACCTGGAAGTATCGCTGATCCCATTGGGCAGCGATGGATAGGCATCATAACAATCTGTACCGTTCGTTATCCTGTCGAACGCCGCTTCAGATAGATTGTATCTGTAGACGGGAACGTTATCAATAACTACCTCCTCTGAAAAAAAAATCATAAAAAGAATAGTGTATTGCGACAACTTGAATCGTTATAGTTTTTTTAAGTTTGGGCTCAAATGTTATGCAATAAAAATAATTTCTTATTTCACATTATAGCTATAGTATACTTGTAGGTACAATTAATTTAGATTAACACTATCTTCGCGCGAATGGTACATAAACAAATGGATTGATCTCATCCTGCTCGATCCTTCTAAAATGACGTGTGAGAAATTCATTTGTATAATAGAATGCTATGGGTTTCAGTCCCATCTATGTCAGCAGTTTTTATAAATATAAAATAACTTTAACTTACTATCAAAGTGTAAAGGCATCGCTCGGCAAATGGATTTTCGCAAGTACATTAAAACGTCATCCTTCGATAATTTCTGATGGTACATTACACCTTCTGTGGATCCTGTTAGGGTATCAGGACAACTCTAAAATGATGATGCGGATTTAATACTTATCTTTACGTACATAGAGACGACAGCACTACATATTATATACACATATATTATCATTTATCTTAAAACATTCTACGAGAATTACTGAAAATACTTTTAACGTTAATTTTATTCGCGATCTAACGTTTAGGATCTAAAGGCTAAATTATAAATTTAATGGCTATTCATGTTTCATTTGTTGCATTGGCAACTTCTCGATGTTGTTACTGTTTGTGTGTGGATAAATATTAATGAATAATAATTATTCTGTATTAATAAAAACACACACCTACCTCTAAATCATATCCTTTTAATTGCAATTTTCTCCCATATTTGTCTATTTTAAAGAAATTATGGTGACCCCATTTTGGGCCTATTTTTACCGTTACTTCGTCTGCAAAGTCGCGGTATATCTGTGATAAAATTACTATATTATAGTGCTACCTGAGCAAAATAAACTATTGCCTGTAAAACTAAAACTAAAGATATGTATAATATTTGACGGACGCGTAGTAGCAATGTAATTATGGCTAACAATCAACGTGGTAATTTCACCTTTCATTAAATGAAGCACAGGGATGCTAGTCTGTTCTCCACCATCATAAAAAAATGAATAGCTGTATTAGACGCTTTACCATATTCTACAAGATATGGTAATTGTTGAATGGTAGCAATGTATGGTGAATAATCAATGGGTGGTAGGTTTGACCCCGATATGATCTAAAAATTTGGATATTAAATTCCTACTAGGCATAGTCCACTTGTTTAAACAACTGAACTTAATATTAGTTTAAAAAAAACTCACACTGTATAACATTCCCATATTAGTTGTAGGGACCATATAAGGTGCTACCGTTTTAGTAGTGTCCAATATACTCTCTCTGTTCTCCCATAGATATTCGTAAATAGTTTTATTTACGAAAAATCCCGTGGGCTGTGAGTTCACCAGTATCGTGAATCCTGTTCTAACGAAATAGTTCGCGTTATATAACCTAGAAGCTATACCCTGGAAAAAATAATTTAAGAAATCACTACTTGCAAAAAAAAAAATCAAATGTGTTCAATTTGGGAAATTACACCAGGCAACACAGTTAAAAACGGCCAATGTAATTTTATTATGTCACATGTGAATAATAAGGAAAAAAATTAAATCCTAACAACTCTCAGTACAAATTTAATTTAATTTTTTATTCTTTATTATATGGACCATTATTAATTTTGAAGTCTATCAAATTACTAAGTATTACAGCTTATTACATTTTCATCCAAAAATAACTTAAATTAATGGCTAAACTTAGGCTTGGGCATCATCAAACCATACATAAACGTAAATCGATTAATATTTGTTTAATAATTCATGTAAAGTTAAAATAATGTAAAAAAAAGAATGTGTAGGAGCTGTCAAATATTACGATGTCAAGGTAAGATGGCGAGTTTTACATAATTATGCCACAAAATTACACGCGTTTATCGTAGTTTGCCACTAATTGTGATGTGGCTTTACATTGTCTAGTGTATGGTGCTAAGTTTAAGAGAGCCTGCCCATGAAATATTGCATTTTACGGCAATAAATAATATATATATTATACTGCCTATAATGCTTTGATAGTAACTATATATTATTTACAATATATTATCTATGGTCTAATAAAATTAATCGAACATGATATTATGACAAGAAACTTAGTTGTGAATCGTATTATATTAATTATCTAACTATTAATATATTCCATTAAGGTTTTCTGCTTAAATTAGTACATCGACAGTAGTTTATCGATTTTAACGTTTAATTACAAAATAATAATCGAATAGGTTTTACCCCACCCCTATTGTCAATTGTCACATTCATCATCCTATATTAGCGGCTAACGTTGCATCATTGATATAATTGTAATCCTCATCTTTACGTAAAATGGCGGGAAGTCGTAATTTAAGCGTTTATCTAGTTTACTTTAAATGCGGTTTTCATGGCCTAAGCATCAAGTAAGCGTAGATTAGGCCACGATAACGTATGTCGAAAGTTCGCATAACACGAATTAACTAGGAATGTATGTTATTTAGGCTATATTGTAATACTATCAAGTTTGTTTGTTTGTACGCAGTAATTTCAAAAACAAACCGTCCAATTTATTTTTTATAGATTTAATCCTTGTTAAACTTTGTCTTGGGTCTATTAGTATGGTATACACACTTTTAACGGATTATAACGCAAAATTTATTCATAAAAAATATTTCAAGTAGGGCCCACAGTAGGATATGGACAAGGAAACAGATAGCACCAGCGTAGCAGATTTTTGACATTAGGGACATCCTTTATCTTCAGCCCCCCTATTACCACGGCAGCTGTGAAGGATTCCGACGTCAGGCCGTAGTTAAAATTATTTGAAAATTAGTATAAATAATAGATTTCGCATTTTAAGCCGTTAAAGTGTTTTATTTAAATTTTTACTACTCGCGTAAACTACAGACGGTACTTTAAATGTAATAAATTAAAAAACAGTTAAATATTTTACACAGTTTAAGTTGAAAGGATTGTTAACATAATTATTATGTTGAATCGAGACGCGTATTAATGTACGCTTACATCATAAAACCAGTAAATATTACTATTGATAAAATAGGGGGGAGGGGAGCAGTTATAAGCCGACTCACCAATAAAGCCAAATTCGGTACAGTTATAGTAGCATTTAAGTCAATTGTATTTTCTTCGCGCAAATAAATAAGAAACCTCCGCGCTGTGTACGTCATTGTTCCGTTCTCATTAAAACTGATGTTGTAATGTAATAATTTCTCTCTGTAATAAAAGAAATAACTTTTACATTATAAAAATACCCTACACGTAATTATAATGTAAGTGACAACCGTTCCTGAAGTCACTGGTTCGATCCCCGTTCGTGCACTGAAAATCATTATATATTCTGCGTGTTCTCCTATCAAGAAAGCCTTCACCGAAGGATTAGTCGGTGTAACTCTGTCATCGGCCAGGAATCATTTGGCAAGCGAGGTAAAGAATTTTTTTTTTATTATAAAAATATTTGTTTGATACAAAGAAGAAGAAGAAGAAGAAAACATTTTGTTATTTTGTTTATATTTTCGACGACATGGTCTAATGGTAGCAATGTATGGCTAATAATGGTCGTGGATTCGATCCCACCGCATCCAACACGTCTCTACGCTATTTTTATTTCTTGATATCTTCATATTAAATGGATGGTAGGAATATCGAAATTACGTTCGTGTCACGAACAATCGACCACAGATGAAAAATCAATCTAAAGCCAATATAGGCCAAAAGCGCTTCTTGGGATTTGACTATAACGTATTGTGTTCCTATGGAGCCCGAAACTAACCGGGCGTTTTGGGCGAGGAGAGCGCTCGCCGTTTGCGGTCACTAACAAGGGTGCCCCGAGGGGGGCAACGGCCCGCGACCCCAATGCGGCCCGTGAGCGCTTCTTGTGTAGAAGTTACACGACGGGGGTATTTCATCTCCCATCAAGTGAACCATTAAAATAAAACATGCATAACAAATTTTATTAAATTGGTCAAACAAGGTTTCACATAAGCTTACAAATAAGTTATAGGTCCTATTTCGTGAACATTGATCTTCTCGTCCAGTCCAGACAAAAACCTGTCGTGGTTCGTCACGTTGAAGATGTAAATTCGCATTCTCACCTGATCCGGGGGATCGGACCACCACTCGAAGGGGGGCAGACCTGGAAATTTATTTGTTTTTTTTTACGTAATTACTGTAATTTTGTAATTCAAGTTACGTTAGCTTAAACACTAAACTATAAAGAAGGACTTTAAAAGTACTTTACAATATAAGTTTTATTTTTTTTCCTTATGGGTAATTGTTTTTTGGACCCTTTTTTGGGGGGGGCCAAAAAAAAAAAAAAAAAAATTTTTAATTAAACATATAATAATACAAAAATTACGACTCGGGCAGGACTTGAGCCGGTGTCCACAGCGTTCCGGGCTGTTGCTCCAACCAATTGGGCTACCTAATTATCGTCGATTATTTTCAACTTATTAATACATGCACCTCTCAACAGCACGGAACGCGAATGCCGGTTCGATTCCTGCCCGAATCGTAAATTGTTTTCAATTTATAATCGATTATTATTAATTCTTATTAGGTTCAAGGGGTAACGTTACTAGAAGTCTATTTTAGTATCTCATATAAAGACAAATGTCCCTGAAAGATAATCTCGTAAGTACTTAAGTTTTATCATACTAATAAGACACATTAGTTAACTTTCATATCTAAGGTCACGTGATGGCCGTATTGCGCAGTTGAGGTCAACACATCCTAACTTTTATCTCATCTAATAATTGAATTCCGTACTACCGTACTGTACTAATGCGTGTTCCGTACTATATATGTGAATCATTTTAAGATTAGATTGGACACTAAGTTTCACCTGCCATTACAAAGGCCAAAGACAGGACATCTTAAAGATATAAAGCAGATGCTCTGGCGACTTAATGTCGCCTTGGCTTTGGCTTTAAACAACCATATTTGGAAATCCACAGACTGAAAATCTGTAGACGGTGGTTGTTGACCCGGTCGGAATTTAGATATACCTATCATTCCCGGACAAGGTCCAAAGTCTGAAGTTGGGATCAAACCCACGATCCCTTGAGTTTTCCCTTGAGATTAGTTTTACATAAGTTTTGTCTATAGTTTTCGAGTGGTAATATTTTAACGGATTTAAACGAGAAATATATTATTTATAATCTCTTTATTTAAACTACGCAACCATCGGACCAAAGAATCATCTTTAAAATAATCAATGAACTCGACTGAATATTTTAAGGTTTTATTTATGGAATAATGTTTCTTATATTATTTATATGACATTGATAAGTACAGAATAAAAATTCTTACCAGGTCGCATATTGAGTTTCTCCCACAGCATCAAGTCCATGGGGGTAAATATAAATCCACTTATGGACATCACTATTAGGAGTACCCCCCACACAGTCTGGCTCATTGAATCTGAAAATAATGCATAATCATTATAATAAATATCATATAATGTCATTAGATATAGGGACCACAGACTACGACATGGAACAGTAGAACAAATATCATCGTTGATCTACTGTTCACGATTGAAAAATAAAAGAAAGAAAAGCAAGAGAAGAAGTGAATAGACATACTTATAGAGATACTAGCTACACGATGCGACTTCGCTCGGGTGCAATGCTGATACTAAATACACAACAGAAAAACTGTAACGTTTTTATACATAATAAAAACATTCCTCTTGAATCAATCTGTCTATTAAAAATCCATCCGTTGCGAAGTTTTAAAGATTTAAGCATACATAGGGACAGAACAGGTGACATTGTTTTATACTATATTGTGGTGATATATTTTTTATTATTTATCTATTATATATTGGTATTATAATTTTGTCTCTATAATAAAAAAAGTGAATCGTGGTCGAATTCGTCGACCTCTCGCCTAAAAAAGGCATATAGTCTAATCATTTTTCTACAAAAGCGGTATGTTTACCTACATTAACTTATATCTATTCTATTATACAGATTCGTGTCTAAAATTCAACGAAAAAATAATTATGTTGTTTCCCGAGAATCGAAGCCTAAACACCTTTATCAAGCTTTGGATCGAATAAATAAAATTCACATAACAAATTAAAAAAAAAAACGATATATTTAGCTTATGAATAAGAAATTTAATAACTAGTTTTTTTTACTTACTTGAGGTTTCAACAGTATAAACCATCTATTGATACTAAACACAGTGAGTTCGAAGACACCATAAAACATTACAATATCGTCGTAAATAATATTACTACAAGTAATTACGACACAAATGTTGTCCGAAAATTTTCCCACGAAAACGCCATTGAAATACCATTTTGAGAATTTCATATTGAAAAGATAATTTGGTTAATTGCATACAACTATGCACCAAGATTTCTAGCTATTTGAGGTTTCACGTGAGCTTTGTAACGATAACGAAATGCCCGAACTTAGACGGGCGGACATATTCTTAAGTCTGTTACGCCATCGAGTAGTATAGTCTGTGTTTACTGTCTATAGTTTACGCGAGTAGTACACATTTAAATAAAACACTGTAAAGGTTTAAAACGCGATATATTAGTTAAGCTTATTTGAAAATGATTTTAAACTTCGGCCCGACGTTTCGGATGCTTTGAAGCAGCCGTGGTCACGGGGAGACGTTAAAGTGTTTTATTTCAATGTGTACTACTCGCGTAAACTATAGACAGTATTTGGTAGAAAAAATAGATTATTATAATAAATGTCTGCAACCAGAAAGTGGGTCTATATTGTTACAGCCATCGAAAGTCGTGGACAATTAATTTCATTGTGTATCAAATGAGAAACACTACTATACGATAATCATATACTGTTTTTAAAAGAAGCTCATTTATATATATACTTATCGGTACTAGTACAAAACCCTCTGTGACCGCATAATTATTATAACATTGTAAGGATCATGACTAGTTCTCGCGCTACAAATCGCCCCAACTCACGCACACAGACCCTTTTGCGTCTGTGTTAGTAAAATTGGCTCTGAAATACCTAAAGTTGACATCGTATTTAAAGAATTGTTTAAGTGCTGGCATATCGATAGTAGTAACAATATATAAAAAAATCTTGAAGTAATTGACAAGACAAGAGAACGGCCGGTTCTTAATTATGACGTGTCCTTAACGTCATAATAATTAGGTCATTGACTAAGCGATTGTATTCAATCCAATTTTAGCAAGTGTTTAAATCGGATCTAGGCTCTACGGAAGACGAAAAAACTGTGGACGCGCCACACTTTGTGATGTAAAAAATATTATAACATTTGTATTAGCAGTGACAGTTCGCCTTAGGCCGTCTAAACGAAGTGATTACTTAAATTAAGAGGCTAGTGTGGAAGTTTGTTTAAAACGCGATATATGATAGTTAAAATACTTTAAGTACGACGTTAATATGAAGACGATACATGTATGTCTATTGCTGAGTTACCGCCTGACCACCACGATGCGCTGATGATCTTGGCCTTGGATATTCCGAAATACACAGACTGGAAACGCGATTAAGCTTGACGACGTTTTATCTGAGGTGTGTGGTTCGTGACCCGGATGGAATTTGGGAATGGTTATCATCGCAAATTTAGTGTCATTAGTCTTTAAATCCATGTTTTTAGGCTCTCAAACCCATAAGAATGCAGTAATGCGTATCTAGTGTCAATCCGTAACATTTTTGCTCGTTACAAAACTCACTCAGCTAATTAAAAGCTGTTAATTACTAATAATTCTCAGTAATTATCGTTCATTGATCTCAAAAGGTCTTATTGCACATTTCCCATACAAATTTAATATAAGGACACTCCACACATTTTTGTCTTTGTTTACAACCCGCGTCAATACAAATTCGTTATAGTCAGTTCTTTAGGGTACATACAACGCTATACCTAGGGTAAATGTGCTAAAAATTACGTTGATTATTATTGTTTTAAAAATTGTTATGTCTACTAAAATACGTTACTAAGTGGTATTCTACCTATGTACTTACTTTACAAAAGTTATTTTTTTTATTGATATAGGAGGACAAATACCCCACACTATCTAAACAAGATGCACTGTCGATCTATTTTGGCTTTGGATATTCGGAGATCCACAGATTGAAACCGTAACGCGATTAAACTTCATGGCTCTTTCATCTGTGGTCGGTGTCGATATTCCCACCACCCATGTACTATCTAGTTTGCCATATGAAATCCAACATGCTTCAGAAAAATTATTTATTGATTAAAACTTAAACACTGTCTAAAGTTTACGCGAGTAGTACACATTTAAATAAAACACTTTAACGGTTTAAAACGCGATATATTAGTTAAATTTATATTGGGGAGACCCGTGACCACGGCTGCTGCAAAGCATCCGAAACGTCGGGCCGAAGTTAAAAATCATTTTCAAATAAGTTTAACTAATATATCGCGTTTTAAACCGTTAAAGTGTTTTATTTAAATGAATAAAACTTGTTGGACCCAGTAGGAAACGAACCCACGACCCGTCAAAGACTTTAGATTTTTAAGGTATTAGACGTTTAAACAAAAGACATTACTGTAATTTTCAATTATCTTAATTATAAACCGATGTTTCGGATACTTTGCAGCAATGGTTCCGGAAAGGGGGTTTATTTGTATACCGCGTTAAAAACCGTTTAAATTGGCGTTCTGTTAAAAAGTGTAGTATTCGCGTGAACTACAGACAATACTTATTTGAACGGTTTCATGCGTCGTATATATGGCGTTATAATAATTTACACGCTGTCTATAGATAACGCGAGTAGTACACATTTAAATAAAACACTTTATCGGATTAAAACGCGATATATATATTACTTGGAGGCTATCCTTGACCACGGTTGCTGCAAAGCATCCGAAAGGTCGGGCCGTGATAAAAATAAATTTTAAATAAGCTTAACCGTTTAATATATCGCGTTTTAAACTGTTAAAGCGTTTTATTTAAATAATGTATACATTTATCGGTATTCGTAATCTTAGGAGTTAGAATTCCAAAGCAAAACCGAATAGCCAATAATTTGTTATATTGTAAATGCGATAAATCAAGCCATTGCATCTCCACGTAGACGTAAAATAATTAATTAATATTCACGCTTGTAAACATGGCGAAACATATTTCATTGAATGTTTTCCTTCAATTAATTTATTCTTGTAAAAAGTGTTTTACATTCATAAAGGTCCTTTGTATTTCAAATGATTCGCTATTCTATTTTCTATTATTGAATTTGTATTAATATTAAAATGTCAATATCAATACTCTATATACATATAAAGAAGAGTTTGTTTGTTCGAACGCGCTAATCTCAGGAACTACGGTACGAATTTAAAAATTCTTGTGTTAATGTTTAAAAAAATACGAAAGAATTATACCTCTTTAAATGATTAAAAAAATGTTCGTGACTAATAAGTGTATTTTTAAAAATAACTTTAAAAAAAACAACGGGATAAGAACGATTCCGTGGGTAACAAGTATAATATATAAATATGAATAGTTTGCAAAAATAAATTTCGATGCCCGAAATAACTATTCTACGCGGACGAAGTCTCTGGCGAAGCTAGTACGTGAAATTGGTAAAAACCTTGAATATCCAAAGCTTAAATAGGTCGACAACGCACCTTGTTTAGATACCATAGTCTAAACTGAAGTGAACTTTGTGAAAATTCCGCGGAACTTCTTTGAATTTTTATTCTTTCTATTTTATATTTATAGATTAGAAAGAATAAAAATTCAAAAATTATTTTATTATATATAATAAATATATATATAATATATATATATATATATATATTATATTTCTATTATTCTTTGAATTGAATCTATGCTTCTCTTCGTGGTTCCTTCCAACGCTCTACCGCTGCGCTGCTAATAAGTTCGACAGCACGTACTATGTGCCATTATTGTATTAAGACCAACGGCATTGAATAACCGAATTATTTTAATAGCTCACGAGAGATGAATAACAAGTGGAAAAGTAGTAGCTTAAGCTAGAAGTATATAATTAGAAAAATTCGTGATAAAAACGTCATAAGTAACTTTTAACAGAATTAAACGCGAAATCTTTAGCACCCTCTGCTGACAAGTATACAAAATGTCGGGTAGTTGTTAAATTAAATTTCAAATAAATAAACTAATTTATTTCGCGTGAGAAACATATTGTGTTTAGTGTTTTTATTGCAAAATGAGGATATTATTTTGTTCAAGTTAAACATTTAACAAATCCGTGCAAGTGACAAAATCTCTTTGCGGGGGGATGGGACAACTTACAACAACTTAGGTCACCGCCTAGTTACACATTCTTTTATAAGGTATGTATTTTACGAGTATGTGTTGCCTACCTTATAAAGATATATAGGTTTCGGTAATTTTTATACGGAACTCGAGGCAGAGAATAGAAGAATAATGTGACAGCGCGTAATCACTACATCGAAATTTGGGGCACACTTTTTAAAATATTATTTTATAGCCTGGAGGCGAGACTAAGCCAAACTAGGACACGTATCAGAGACTACAGAATGTTATGTCAGATAGTTTTTACGCTTGTCGTTTAATATATGATTAAAGCAAAGAATTTACTTTAAAATCTCCAAAGAGATACAACTAAATCCGAACGCAATATTAGATTACATAGATTTGCTTATATTATTGCTTGTTTATTGCTGCTTAGCTGACCTGACCAACGTTATTTTGCCATATGAAGTATTTAGACGAAATTTTATTGCTATAAAAAAAATCTTGTGAGTTAATTTTAAAAGGCATACAGGTATACGTTCTATTGCGAGCTTTTTTTAAATAATTTAAAGAATAATTCATTTATACAGATTTCGGTATACAAAACTGAAGAATTCCCCGTTTTTTTCACATTTCCCACTGGTTTTTCGCTCATACTCGTACATCCGACGTTACATAGCCTAAAGTCTTCCTTAATAATTGATCTAACCAACACATGATTTTTACTGTGTAATATGTATTAGTTTAAACAAATAAGATACTATAGGTATTTATATTAAGTGTAGTACTTGTACGAAATTTGTTTTTTACGTAATTATTTTACTTAGAGAGTTTTTGATAAACTACTTACTACAACAAAAACTCCTTTTCTTAGACTCCTTGGTGTCTTGGGTATCCATCGAGCACTTCCCAGCGGAGACCTGTATGCAGTTTTCATTGTTGTCTTTGGTTTTGTGCAGTAGACTATTCAGCGATTCCCTGTTGCTATTCACCACATACGTTGATGTAGCCTGTGACGAGGTGTCATCTATATTCACTGTCGGTACGTCATCCGCCATCTTGAAAAGTGTTTCTGAACAAGAATATTAGATTAATTTTTAATCGATTTTTAATTTATATGGTGCCATCGTGTCATAAAGTGAACATGGAAATAATTGATACCTAAAGCAATAGGCCGACAACACATCTTGTCGAGTTTTGGCTTTTAAATACCTTTAACGGTTTAAAACGCGATGTATTAGATTAAACTAAAGTTTAACCCGATATATTAGTTAAACTAAAGTTTAACTAATATATCGCGTTTTAAACCGTTAAAGTTTTTTTTTTTTATTTTTTTTATCGCGTTTTACGAAGAGTCAGTATCAGGCGGTATATCATTCGCGAAAACTAAAGACAAAAACTAAAAGGCATAAAGAAATTGACAATACCAAGAGCAATCAATACTAGACCATGCTATCCTCTATCATAAAATTTCTTTTAATTTTGAAAAGTACTTGAGAAAAAATTAAAAGTCCATCTATATTAAATTTTATAAAATGACGATTACAATTTTTCAACGCAAACTTTGAAAGTCGAGAAAAGAGAGTTCTAATTCCTAAAAGATAAAATCACAAGCTATTTATTGATTCTGGTTTGCAATTGTTTATATTATGATAGCATATTCTAAGATTATCTAAAAGAAGTCGCAACGTGACTAGTCAAAAGCCTATCATTAATAATAATAAAGGTTACAACAACTTAATTGATACTTAGCAACTTATAAGGTCTAAGTTCAGATGGGTTCGTAGATAAAAGTCAGTACTTACTTTACTTCTTTATAAATGAAACTAGCTGTTAAGCGACTTCGTCCGCGTAGAATATTTTTTTGGATATGATTTTTTTCCTCCTCCAATCTTTTAAATTAAACTTTACCCACTAAGTGGTCGCTTCCCGTTGTTTTCAAATTAATTTAAAAGATAGATAGATGTCGCGGACTTTTTTTAGATCATTTAAAGTGAATCATTCCTATACATATTTTGCTGTATCTTAACCGTTTAGTACGCAACGGAAACCCAAAAGGATAAGTAACTTTCCCCCTTTTCCCCTTTTTTCCACATTTCCGCTCTTTTCTTCGCTCTATTAGTCGCAGCGCGATGCCTTCCCAGCTCTAGCTAACTAAATATATTTTTTTCAATTTGAACCAGTAATTCCTAATATTATTGTGTTCAAACAAAGTTCAGCGTCATATATTAGTATAGATCTGTTTGTTCAAAACAAGGATTTTCTGAGCGTTCTCTAAACAAAGAGTAAAAAAATTACGACACGGGCAGGACTTGAACTGGCATCAATAGCGTTCCGTAGGTATTGTTGTTGTACCATGTCCGTGTACCGTACCGTGTGAATTTTTTAAATCTAAAATCAATTTTAATGTATATAATGCCATCATATGCAACAACACGTGTTGTTGCATATGATGGCATTATATAGATATAGATATAGAGAGAAAAAATACTCTAAATATATTAAAAAAAAAAAAATATTTAATATTACAATACATTTAGAGAGTTTAAAATTTTACAAATTGTGCATTTTTTGCTTTTTTCAATTTATCAATATAAACTACTTTTGACGGTTTGAAAGGCGAATTACACAAGTAAACTTATTTTATTATTTTTACTACGACCCGCCGTTTCGGCATAAGTTTAACTAATACAATTCGCGTTTTAAACCGTTAAAAGTGTTTTATTACATTGTGTGCTACGCGCGTAAACTACAGACAAGACTAAACCGAAGTTATATAAATATTTAGTCCTTATTGCTCTATTTATAGCATGGTAACTGGTACAGGTACTTAAAATAAAAAAAAAAACTTGCTAAAGCTCATCTGGTACTTGGTTGTAACTTGTAGTGAATCGGCTGTAAACACGTTCTACGCGGCGCTAGTTAGTTTGTGTGGATTTTTTTTTAATAAACACTGCCTATAAAATCTGCCTAAAAAAATATTTATAATCCCGTCAAAAATGGTCGAGCATTTTTACAGATCAGCCGCACCAAACAGACGAGATCATTTATGCACATAGAAGCTTTTATAAATTTAAAATTACTATAGATAAAAAAGAAACGAGCGTCGAAGGTTAAAGTCCCGCTCGAGTATTTTTTTCAATACATTTGAAATGTACAGGCAATATTTTTTTAAATCATATCCTTTATGCTTGAAATTCATTTAGTATTTTTTCATTCGTTTAGGAAAATGAACAAAGCGGTCGGCGAGAAAACTATTACAAAAATAGAACTTATAGAAAACATCTATTTTACTAGCTGTGTCAGCGACTTCGTCCGCGAAGAATACATAATTATTTTGAGCATCAACTTTGCCCACGCCCTACGAGGTCGCTTGCGTCCCGTCGTTCTTTCAAGTTAATCTTAAAAGATATAGACATATAGATAGCGTCGCGGTCTTTTATACATATATTTTGAGTATCTTTGACCGTTCTTGGGCCTCGAAAACCCATATTGATGAGTAATTTTCCCCGTTTTTCCACATTACCCGCCGTTTAGTCACTTTTATTAGTCACTTTGCGATGTGTTATAGCCTTTCTCGATAAATGCTCTAACCAACACAAAAAAAAAGTTAAATTCGAACTCGTAGTTCCTGAGATTAGCGCGTTCAAACAAACGAACTCGTATATATTAGCATAGACTATAGATATAGATGTCATGCTAACAACCAAGGTATATAAAAGTATTGAACATGGCTTTCATATAAAATTTATTGGTTTGATAGAATTTATAGTTTTTAATGTCTAATGGGATTCGTGCAATAGTAAATATTACAATTTAATGTCATTTTAATATTAAGTACTGCACGATGTGATTATACAATGAAGGTTGAAATTTACAAGGTTGAGAAGACAAGAAATAACCATGACATTGATTGGGGACGCCGCAATGTGGCTTGCAAAGATAGTTTTGAAGACATCTTGAAAGTTACTATCATACATAACAATACATGTAGCATGCGTTACATTTAGTAAAAAAATCATATTAGGCTGCTAGGGGCAGAGTGGCCTAATAAAAACATGATTTTCTATAAGAGGAAAATAAAAACGCGTAATTAACTTAGGCGATAATGACTTTGTACTATTATTTGTATACGAATTATGTTAACAATTTTCTGTCACTGTGCTGTATCAACATTTTTATACAATAGAAATATAAATAGGTCACAAAATTTTAGTTGGGCTACTCTGGCTCTATCGGCCTCGTATTATCTTAATTTCTCGAGACACACACTGTTAGAATTCAATATTAGCCCAGGATGTCAATTGTATTGACAACAGAGTTCACCAGATTGTTTAGACGTGGAAAAACAACAAATATCTATTTCTTGTTCAATTCTATCCATTTAGCCTGTCACCCACTACGTTGTCCGCGTCCTGTCGCTCTTGCAGAAATATCCATTCGTGGTCAATTATAAAAATGCTTTGACATTTAACAAAATAAATAAAATCGACAATAATAACACCTTAGTTAAAAATAAAAAAATACTTGATTTAGTAATTATTTAATAATACAAAAAAACAAACTACTAGTCGATAAACGTCAGTAACTTACTTTTGGTTTTAACTTTTGACATTTCGAAAAAGATAAAAAAAAGTTTAAATTGCTTTTCCTCCTTTGCCAAGACTTAAAATGTTAAATAAATTAAATAAACAATTATCGTTTGAATGATCGGTTATTATTTTAAGGAAAACCGGGGTTTTCGGGTGCCATTTAAGAAATTCAACAATTTAAAACATAAATTTGCTTCGTCGGTCATTAAGTTTTATGTTAAATTAGTCCTAGCACGCTATTTTTGATTTTATTGTCTATTCTTAGCAGGTAAAATTTAAGATTACGGCTTTATTGCAGTTCGTCTCATAATTTTGCCAATAATAGGTTGGTTGGGATTGTGAAATCGATTTAATTAATATTTTTATTACAAACAAGAGAGATCTTTTCATTTGTTTTATGATTGAGTAGGACACAAAAGTATGCTCACTCGATATAAGTTGAAATACGCCAGCTATCTGACATCTTTTCAAAATGTACTAACGATCTACTTTGGTTCTATGTTCGGAAATCCACAGACTGAAATCGCAATGCGATTACACTTCACGCCTTTTTCATCTGTAGACGAGGCTTCAATATTGCTACCACCCATCCAGATTTCCAGACAAAGTCCAACGTGTTTCAAATAAATAAGGAAAATCTTGGACCCGGTGGGGATCGAAGCCACGACTCGTTTATTATTAGCCATACACTGCAACCATTTCACCTACGAGCAGTATTACGGCCTTACTCGAAAAAAATATTGTTTGTAGTTTACGCGAGCAGTACATATTTGAATAAAACACTAACGGTTTAAAATGCGATATATCAACAAGTCTCCACGTGTTGCTGTAAAGCATCTGAAACGTAATAAGTTTAACTAATATATATCGCGTTTTAAACCGTTAAAGTGTTTTATTTAAATGCAAAAGCACTTTTAAAGTGATTTTCTTTTGTCTTTACTATTGCTAAAAAGCCTGTCATTGCTGGAGCCTTGATCTAGCATTGGCGGTATCCGTCTGCCACTCTTGCGGTTAGCTCAGCTACTATTAAACGAAAGTATGTTTATTGATTTGTCCTTCCTTTATGCGGCAACGGATATACTCGGTTTTGTTTACCTAATAGCTTTAAAGAACACTTTTAACTCTATACAACGCGACATCTATTTTCTTAAAAATTATATCTATCTATACTAATATATAAAGCTGAAGAGTTTGTTTGAACGCGCTAATCTCAGGAACTACTGGTTCGAATTTAAAAAATCCTGTTTCTGTTCGCTAGAGCATTTATCGAGGAAGGCTGTGAAACATCGCTGCAGGTAATAGGAGCGACGAGACAGGGAATATGAAAGGAACGGGGAAAGTTTTTTCATCTTTGTGGATTGCCGTTGTGTACTACAGTTGCCTCTTAGAGGACTCCACTCAGCTACGTTGACAATTGATGTTCTGTGGCCGATCCGAGGCCAAGTAGACGTCAAGTTTATGTGTCC